AGGGTTCACTCCCGGTGGTGGTGGGGCTCGAGGGACCACAGAACATCCCAGGGATGAAAACTGGGTCAGCCACATGCAAGACCAGCGCCTTGCCCGCTTTACCATCTCTCGGGCCTCTCTGCCCCCTTTTGTGGCTCCGACCAACAGCTCGTGGCACGCGGCGTTGTTCCCGCTCGGGCGCTTGTCTGGATAATGCCGCGTCTGTGCGCCTGTATCTGTGGCCATAAGGGTTCTGTTCTCTCGGGAACGCACCCAGCAGGAGAACTGCTGAGTCATAGAGTATCTGTGGCTCTTTTCATTTATTTTCCTTCTTATTTTCTTTGGGTGTGTTGGGGTCACCCCCCAGGTGTGTCCACGCCCTGCAGAACCTGGGGCACCGTGTGGTGCTGGCGGAGGAGCCTGGGGGACCCGCGTGCTGCCGCTCCCTCCGCCCGAGCGCCTCCCCTGCCGGGTATCTGCGTCTGATCTTTTGAGGAACTGCCAGGCTGTTTTCCACTTGACTGCACCGGCTCTCGTTTCCACGGCGGTGAAGGTGCCGCTTTCTCTACGCGCCCCCAACGCTGGTGCTCCCTGCCCTTGTGGGTGGAGGGTGAACTCACCGCGTTGTTGAGTTCAGTGCTTTTCCCTGATAACTGACGATGTCGAACCTCCTTTCTCTCTCTTTTTCTTTCTTTCTCTGTCTTCTTTCTCTAGTTTTCTTTTTTCTTTCTCTCTCCTTCCTTCCTTCCTTCCTTCCTTCCTTCCTTCCTTCCTTCCTTCCTTCCCTCCCTCCCTCCTTTCTTTCCCTCCCTTCCTTCCTTCCTTCCTTCCTTCCTTCCTTCCTTCCTTCCTTCCTCTCTCACTCCCTTCCTCTCTTTCCTTCCTCCTTCCTTCCTTCCTTCCCTCCCTCCCTCCCTCCCTCACATCTGGCAGGGCTCAGGGGCCGCTCCTGGTATGTTGCTCAGTGCTTGCTCCTGGAAGTGCTCAGGGGCTCCTGTGGGACCAGGGACATCAAAGCGTGTGCTCCGGCCCTTTCAGCTATTTCCCCAACCATTTCTTACACATAGTTTTGGGCCACCTGCAGTGGTGCTCAGGGATCACTCTTGCAAGGCTTGGGGAACCATAGCAGGTGCTGGGAATGAAACCCGGTTGGCATCAAGTACATTTACCCACTGTACTCTTTGGCCCCCTCCATATATTCATTTGTTTTGGAGTCAACTGGCTGTACTCAGTGCATACTCCTGGCTCTGTGCTCAGAATATTTCTTGAGGGGGTCCCACACCCAGTGACGTTCAGGGGCTGTGACTGGCTGTGCACTCAGGAATTATTCCTGGTGATGCTTGGGGGACCATCTGGATTGCCGGGGATTGAGCCTGGGTCAGCTGAGTGCAAGGCAAGAACCCTTCCTGCTACTGTACTTCAGCCCCAATAAAATAATTGTCTTTTATTTTTTTTTTGAGGGGGGTGGACACCCAGTGATGTTCAGGAGTTATTCCTGGCTTTATACCCAGGAATTACTCCTGGGCGGTGCTCAGGGGACCATATGGGATGCTGGGGATAGAACCCAGGTCGGCCATGTACAAGGCAAACAGCCTACCTGCTGTATTATTGCTTCAGCCCCAGGAATCCATATTTTTTTTAAGAATAAAAATAGGGGGGCTGGAGTGATAGCACAGTGGGTAGGGCGTTTGCCTTGTACGCGGCCAACCCGGGTTCGATTCCCAGCATCTCATATGGTTCCCCAGGCACCGCCAGGGGTAATTCCTGAGTGCATGAGCCAGGAGTAACCCCCGTGCATTGCCGGGTGTGACCCAAAAAGCAAAAAAAAAAAAAAAAAGAATAAAAATGGAGGGGGGGGGCTGGAGTGATAGTACAGTGGGTAGGACATTTACTTTTCATGTGGCTGACCCACATTTGACCCCCGCATCCTATATAGTCCCCTGAGCCTGCCAGGCGTGGCCCCTAGTCTCAGGACCAGGAGGAAATGCTGAGTATCACCGGGTGTGGCCCAAAACCAAACAAGAATGAAAATCGGGGAGTGGGGGGGGGATATCTCAAAGGGTTAGTGCATGTGCTTTGCACTCCAGAGGCCTCGCTGGATCCCCAGCATCTAGCACAGCGGGTAGGGCGTTTGCCTTGTAAGCGGCCAACATGGCCGACCCGAGTTCGATTCCTCCGCCCCTCTCGGAGAGCCCGGCAAGCTACCGAGAGTATTCGATATGCCAGACACAGTAACAACAAAGTCTCCAATGGAGATGTTACTGGGCCCACTCGAGCAAATCGATGATCAACGGGAGGGCCTTGTATCACTTAAATTTCAGAAAATAAAACATTTATTTATTAAAAAAAATTATCTATCATGACTCAGATAAGGATTAATATCAGTGTTTTAGAGATCCAGTGCTGTGTACCACGTCTCTCACCAGAGTTCCGATAGACTTCTAGGCTGTCCTCAGGCCCTTCTAGGCACCCAGTTTCCCCTCTCCAGCTGAGTGAATTCAGTTCTGTTGGCAGAATGAACCCCCTCCCCCGCCACGTCCATTGTCTGTTCTTTGCAGTTCCCTGAGCACCATGGATGGAGTGGGGGGTGGAGGGGAATTAGGGACGGGGGATGTGGCTCAGTGGTACAGCACTTGCGTCACTGGGCTTGATCCTTGGTATCTCAAAAATAAAACTTCGTAGCCAACAGCTGATTTGGGTGTGAAAAACTGCCTAGTCCCTCTGAGCTTCTCTGGGTTCTCCTTAATCCTGTCTTTTCCTTCCCCTCCAGAGGAATTTCCTGAGTTTTAGGTCATTTCCTTGGCTTTCTCTGCTGTGTTAGACAATGTCTGTGACCCTTTGAACTTCTCCCGAACTCCTTCCCTGGGCTTTTCCCCCAACTTTCCCCCTGCTGATGCCTGAAAGCAAAGCTCCCTCCTTTTCACTCCGTGATGCAGGTTGCGTGAGTCGGGGACACTCGGTCCATTCTCTGCTGATGGAGGTTTTGTTTTGCAGTTTTCACTGCAAACTGCTAGGTACTGTCCCACCTTCTTTTTTTTTTTCCTTTTCAGGTCACACCTGGCAATGCTCAGGGGTTACGCCTGGCTCATGCACTCAGGAATCACTCCTGGCAGTGCTCCGGGGACCATAAGGGATGCTGGGAATCAAACCCAGGTCGGCCGTGTGCAAGGCAAACACCCTACCCGCTGTGCTATTGCTTCATCCCTGCTGTTCTTGCATTTGCTCCAGCCTTGAAGTCATCCCACTGGGCCTCTCTTTAAGTCATGCCAGAGTCGCTTCCAGAGCTCAGCCCTCCACGTCTGCCCAAACGCTGATCCTGCCCATTTCAAACCAGCTCAAAGTTCGTTTCAAACCGTAACTCAGGTCACGCACTTGCCTCTGCTGACCCCTCTGCTGCAGACTCCTGTTAAACCCTCTGCCCTCTGTCCTCCGCCCTCAGACTAGCTCCTCCCAGAGACCTTCCCGTACCCGCTCCCTGGGGTGGCCCCTGGGACGGCCTGAGCCTTTGCCTTTGCCATGAGCTCCGAACTCCAGAGGGCCAGTCAGTTGCGTCCTCCTGCACACTGTCCCCACTTGTGGGCCATGCTGACCGCTTAATCTGTCAGATGAATCAAGCTCCTCAGCCACCAGGCCCCCGGGGAGACCCGACAGCATTTTTTGGTGGACCCCAGCGTGGGGGGCATGCTGGTGGAATTGCATATGCTCCCCCTTTTATTATATATTTTCATTTTTAATTGAATTAATTTCTTTTGGGGCCACACCTGGCAGTACTCAGTGCTTACTCCTGCCGCTGCACTCAGGGATCACTCCTGGCGAGTTCGGGGGACCCTGAGGGATGCTGGTGGTCGAACCTGGCCACAAGCAAAGCGAACCCCCTCCCCACGGTACGGTCGCTCTGGCCCGTTGCCTGTATTCAGACTCGGCCCCGGCACGCTTGCTGGTGGATCAGAGTGAGCAGCTGTGAGTCGTGTCCATCTCCCTGGACGCGCTCCCGTCCCTGGTGGCTTTGTGGTTTGGCTGCTCAGAAGCCTGAGCTGTCATGAACAGAGCGGGCCCGTGAGTTTTCCTGACCAGGGTCCAAGAGGCCTTCGCCGCGGCAGGAGGGCCCTGGAGGGGAGCAGGTGGGGCGCTCCTGTGAGACCCAGGGGCCGGGTCGGTACCGCAGTGATGTTCTGGAGCGGCCTGCAGCCAAGATTTAGTGACCCTCACACAAGCCCTTCTCAGCCTTGTCTTGACCCTCGTCTCGATCCTTGTTCAGGGTCCTCTCCTTGGCCCAAACCCCAGACGATCTTCTTAGGACCTTGCCCCAGTTTTTTGTTTGTTTGATTTTGGGAAAACAAACAACAAATCTGCACTCAGGATTCCCCCCCCCCCCCTTCCCTCCCCCAGCGGGCTCAGGAGACCATCTGGGATGCTGGGAATCGAACTGGGTCAGCTGTGTGCAAAGCAAGTGCCCTCCCCCCGCTGTGCCATCGTGCCGCCTGTTAGCACGGGGTTGAGTGATGAAGCTACTGCCCGAGGGCCAGGCCCTAAACCCTGCCATCCTGATGGGGAGCGGGTCCAGGCTCTGCCCCTGCACCAGAGCCGGCCAGTGGTTAATGGTTCACCTGGGAACGCTCGCCCAGAACCCAGTGGGAGAGGAGGGGTCCAGGCCCGCGCCCCCAGCCCTGCCTCACGGGTGGGGAGGGAGGCATGTTAGCCAGGGTCTCCTGGAATCCTCTCCGGGCCATCCGTCAAGTTTCACCTGGAATTAACCTCACACGGCCAGACTCGGAACTTCTCAAACCCGTTTCTCAGAGTCACTCTGGGGAAATCTCTTTCCATGCTTGTTTACCTTCTGGCTAATAAGTGAGGCTGGCGGGAAGCACGTCCTCAGAGGCCCGCGGTGGTTGGAGGGCAGCGCCGGCCTCGCCTTCTCTCCTGCAGGCTCCGTCCCCTGGGGACCTGTGTGGACGGGGCTCCTGTGGCTCTGTGCAAGGTAGTGGCATGTTCATCCCTCACCCTCAACCCTCCTTTTTCAGGGTCCCGCGGCTGCAGCCCGGCGCCTGCTCTGAGTGAGCCTGGGGATCCGTGCTAGCGCCAGCCTCTGGGGGCAGGAAGGAGGCGCCACAGACCCAGAGGACCGTCCGAGCAGCTCCCTGCCGACCCAGCCCCCGAGGACCCCACAGCAGAAACAGGAGCTGCGCACCTCCCCCCCGACGCCACTGCAGTTGGGACCCGGGCAGCGCATCGGAAGGACCAGCAGCCGCCAGTGCCAGGAGGGTCTTGGGCGTGGCAGCAGGGGTTACCCACGGGGCTTCGTCCCCTTCCCTGGCAGGGGCCGGGGCTGGGAGGGCCCCTCCCCGGGCCGGCGGCTGTTGCATGGAAGCCCGGCCGCACCATGCCCAGGCCTTCTCTCTGCTGACGGGGTGGGAGGGCATCCCCGCTGCCTCCGCCTCTGCTCATGAGCCACAAGGACCCCGGCTGCTCCAGACTGGACCGTTCGAAGCCGCCAAAGAGGGGGCCCCCCAGAGCTGGCAGCCAGCAGCCCCGAGGGACTCGAAGGCCGGCATGGACTGACCCCTCGCGTGCCGGCAGGGCAGAAGGCGCCGAGCACCTGTGGCCCAGCTAGTGACGGAAACTCCACGAAGTCATAAGGGAGGGCCCAGGCGGCTCGGGGATGGGGGTCCGCTGCCGCCAGCGTCCTTCATCCTGACGGGGCTGCGGAGAGCGTGGCGTGGGGGCCCCGCCGCTGTCCCCTTATGCCCTGTGCGCCCAGAGCCGGAGCAGGCAGGCTACTGCGGGGCCCCGGCGCCCCTCCACGGCCCCCTGGCACGGCGCACCATGAAGTGCTCCCTGCGCGTGTGGTTCCTGTCGGTGGCCTTCCTGCTGGTCTTCATCTTGTCCCTGCTCTTCACCTACTCCCACCACAGCATGGCTGCGCTGCCCTACCTGGACTCGGGGGCCCTGGGCGGCACCCACCGGGTGAAGCTCGTGCCGGGCTACGCCGGCCTGCAACGCCTCAGCAAGGAGGGCCCAGCCGGCAAGAGCTGCGCCTGTCCCCGCTGCCTGGGCGACTCCGGCGCCTCCGACTGGTTCGACAGCCGCTTCGACGGCAGCCTGTCCCCCGTCTGGACCCAGGAGAACATGGACCTGCCCCCAGATGTCCAGAGGTGGTGGATGGTGAGAGATGCTGTGGGGGGGGAAGGGTGGTGGCGAGGAGCTGCCTGTGTCCCCTTAGCCACATCCCCGTCCCAGGGGTCTGTGTCCCCAGCATGGGGGGCGCTCAGGCTGGCTGACTTTCGGCCCCAGAGCCAGCCTGACAAAGCACGGGACTCTCCTGGCCCAGGCCATCTGTTAGGTCGCAGACCCTGGAGGGAGCTGGTGCCGGGCAGAGAGAAAACTCAGATGTCCAGGTGCTCAGAGGGGCCAAGAGCACACCAGGAGGCCCTGAGAGCCAGGGTCGCAGGGAGCGGGTGGTGAGGGGAGAGGATGGAGGTGACAGGAAAACCGGTGGGGGGACACGACGTCCCTGTCGCTCTGCTGGCCCTTTAAGGGAGCCTGGAAATCCAAATCTATTTGCTCTGTTTCTTAATTTATAGCTATTGGCAAAAGATCATTAAATTAATTTATTTAGAGAGCCGCCCAGGCAGTGCTTAGGGGACCTGGGGGCCACCCCGGCTAATCAGGCCTCACGGTTCAGTGCTCAGGCCCTGGGGTGCTGTGGGCCACACCTTGTGTGCTGGAGAGGGGAGGGTGGAGAGTTGGCCTTGAGCCTGGCCTTCAGCACTGAGCCCTGAGCTCTCTCCACAGCCCTCGGAATCTTTTTTGCTGTTGTTGCTTTGGGGCCACCTGGCAGTACTCGGGGGTTACTCCAGGCTAAGGGCTCAGGAACGACTCCCGGTGGTACTTGGGGACCATATGGGATGCCAGGGATCGAACCCAGGGGTGCCATGTGCCTTAGACACTCTGCTCTCTCTCCAGCCCCTCAGAATCATGTGGCTTTTTTTTTTTTGGCTTTTTGGGTCACACCTGGCGATGCACAGGGGCTACTCCTGGCTCTGCACTCAGGAATTACTCCTAGCGGTGCTCAGGGGACCATATGGGATGCTGGGAATCGAACCTGGGTTGGCCGCATGCAAGGCAAACATCCCACCCGCTGTGCTATTGCTCCAGCCTCCCAGAATCATGTTTTAACACCTTGTATGTTACTTGCTTGGTTCTTTGCTGGGGAAGGACTGGGCCGGGAGGAAAGCTGGTTGAGAGGGTCAGGGGTACCCAGCCTCTCCTTCCTCGGGGCCCCTGACTGCTTCTGCTGCCCTATCCTCTCTGCAGGCGTGTTCTGCAGTCCCCGCCAGGCAGGCTGCTTGGGTCCCGGGCAGAGCAGTGTCATTGTTGTGGTCTGGCACCGGGTTGAAGGCTGACTTGGCCTCTCACTTCTGGGGAGCAGGAGGAGTCGCCCACAGGAGCAGCCGGTCAGACCCTTGCCCACAGTTCCTTGACCCACACCTGACTGCTTGGGTCAGAGGGCAGAGGTGGCCTGGCGAGGCCGAGGCCAGGCCTGCAGGGATGGTCCCCGGGGGTCCTTTAAACACCCGCAGGTTCCAGGCAGCAAAGCTCTGCTCTCTGCATTGAGTGCCTTGCCTCGCCTTGCTGAGTTGCTGCTCTGGATCTTGGGTCCCTTTCTGTGTCGCCCCCACGGAGCTGCCCGTAGCCCCGACATCCCGTGCTGTATCCCCGCCCTGCTGTATCTCAGAACCTGGTTTTTGACTGCTGGATGAGGGCTGGGACCAGGGACAGTCTGTGCTGTTTGGAAGGTTCATGGTGTCCTGTTACCCCTGAAACCCACCCATTCAGTTTTCCCTGGAACTGGGCAGGAGCTGGTCCTCATGGGGCCTCACGGAGAGACAGTTGGCAGAGGCTGCCCCTTTGGGTGGGGCTTCCTGTTTGCTGCTGCCCCCTCCCCACATTCCTGCATGTTACTTGTCTGACTCAGCCTTCCAGCTGAGTCTGATTTCTGGTTGCTGGTTTTTCATGGGTTGGTGGGTGGTCTGTGTGTGTGTGGGGGGGGCGCACGCGCGCGCGTGGATAGGGGCCCAGCAGTTTCATTCCAGTCCCTCCCCACTTTGCAGGAATTTCTGTGCCTCCTCCTTTCCCATGGGGCCCAGGGAGTGGCTCCAGGTGACCCCTGCTTCTATCTCCCGCCAGATCAGTTCTGGCATCCCAGCCTTCAGGCTGAGGCCCGGGGGCGCCCCCTGGAGGCAGATGAGGAACCAGGCTGAGCAGCCCCTTCCTGCACCTGGTCACAATGGAGAGTCCCTAAATGCATGCCCAGGCCTTCACCCTGAGCTGCCCGGCGCATCAGGACAACTTGTAGTTCAGGTCCATGGCTGTGGTTGAGAGGAGGGAGGATCCTCCAGGTTTGGGGGGGTTTCACAAACCCAGAGGAGGCCTGGGAGGGGTGACCAGTGGGCGCCCCCTCCCTGCTGACCTGCCTGCCCTGGCCCCTCCCTGCCTGTCCCCCCCGCAGATGCTGCAGCCCCAGTTCAAATCACACAACACCAGAGAAGTGCTGGAGAAGCTGTTCCAGATTGTCCCAGGCGAGAACCCCTACCACTTCCGGGTCCCCCAGCAGTGCCGTCGCTGCGCCGTGGTGGGCAACTCTGGCAACCTGCGGGGCTCGGGCTATGGGCCAGACGTGGACGGGCACGACTTCATCATGAGGTAAGCCCCCAGGAGCGGCCCCGGACCCCCAGAATCTAGTGCGACATTCTTCTTCTTCTCCCCTTTCTCAGTGGAGTGGATGGAGAGGCAGGATTCCCGGTTTTTTTTTCTTTTTCTTTTTTCTTTTTGGGTCACACCCGGCAATGCACAGGGGTTACTGTGGCTCTCACTCAGGAATTACTCCTGGCGGTGCTCAGGGGACCATATGGGATGCTGGGAATCGAACCTGGGTCTGCTGCGTGCAGGGCAAACCCTACCTGCTGTACTGTCGCTCCAGCCCCAGGATTCCCGGTCTTGACTTTGCCTGAGGCCTACGCAGCCTCTGACACGGGGGTTCCTCTGGAGAGAGCTCAGAGTCAATTCAGGGGGTGTGTAGTGACAGGTCCCGCCCAAGACCCTTCCCAGTGCCAATCTGCGTGGGTGCTGGGCCAGGAGTCAGTACCCACGACAGATGGGGGTGGGCGGGAGAGAGCTCAGTGGGCTGGAGGCCTGGCGTCCATCCCGGCACCCTGGCACTGAGCTCCTGAGCACTGAGCAGGGTGTGGCCCCCAAACAAACAATAGCCACAGGGGTCCCTGTCACAAACCCAGCTGGCTGTCCTGGGCAGGAAAAAAAAAACAAACAGCTGTTCAGTGCTTGCTTCAGCTGCCCTCCCTTAACCTCTTCAGTGTGTGGGGGATGGGGTAGGGGAGGTAGGGGGTGTCGAGGACCAGAGAGGGGTGAGAGGGGTGGCCAGGAGCCTGGAACAAAACAGGACGGGAGGGAGGTGCTGGTTCTGCTCAGACCAGCGCTTTCTGCCTCATCCCTGGATCCTGGGGGACAGGACACCCTGGACAGGAGACCCCCCACCCCGCCCTGATGAACGAAGGTGACTGGAAGTGCCGGGTTCTCCAGAAGCGCCTCTTTGGGTGAGCCTGGCGGGAAGAACAGCTTTCCCCGGAGGCAGAAGGAAGGGCTGTGTCTTAGAGACCATCGCTGTCTCCATAGCAACCCCAGCCTCGCAGGCTGCCGCTTCCCACATTCCTTGCAGAACCTTTCTTGTGTTTTGAGTGATGAGGGGTGCCACGGGGAGAGGGGGGGTGCGAGCCCCATCCAGGATCCCAGAGTTACCTGAGCGTGCCTCGGGCTGCAGTCACTGACTCCCAGAATGTCAGGGAGGCTGTCTGGGGGGTTGCCAAGGGCTCACTCGCTCCCTCTCCACCCAGAGAGACTGGCACTCCGGGCTGCCCCGGGAAATGCCCTGGAGGGCCTGGACCTCCCTTACCCTGCTGGCCACCTGCCCCTCTCTGGCCTGCTAGGGGCTGCAAGCACACCGACCAGAAGGGCCTGGACTCTAGGCTGCAGGGGAGGATCTGGGTCATGTAGGAAAGGGCGACACTTTGTTTTTCCGTTGGTGCCGGGGTGGCTTGAATCCAGGCTCTGCTACGTGCTGGACTTGGCCGCCGAGTCACACCCAGCCCCGAGAAGTGGCGTTGGATGTAGGGCTGAGGGTTCCAGTGTGGGAGGGCGGCCAGCGTGGGAATCCTACTGTGGGAGCCAGTAGGGAGGCCTCCGCTCCTGCAGGGGTGAGTTAGAGGAGTGGGACTGGGTTCTCCCCGCCACCCCCTGCCTCCCATGTCTCTGAGCCCTGCCACAACTCTGGAAGGTCCTGCTGGTAGAAGCGCGTCTGGGACAGAGCCTGGTGGCTCGTGGAGTAAATTTGCAAATGTGTGAAAGGGACAGTCCAGCTGCCCTGAACTCTGGGCACAAATGCACACACGCCCTGCTTATGTCCCAGGCTCTGGGGCTGCACTGGCAGCGAGGGACAGGCAGGGACAGAGTTCTAGAATGCTCTCCCCCACCCCCACGCCCACTCAGCAAAAAATCCACCTCCTCCTCCTCGCTGTCCTGCCTGACTCCTTCCTAGGCTTTGGCTTCTACAGAACAAATCAGAGCCCTAAAGGCAAACCCTCATTCCCCACAGCGCTTCATTCTGTCCCTTTGTGCCTCCCAAAGCAGAAAAGGGGGGGCTAGAGCAATAGTACACCCGGGCTCGACCCCTCGGGGCCTGGGGAGTTGGCGGCTCTGAAGCAGGACCCTCTGGGGCGCTGCCTCCCTCCCCCCAGTGCTGGGATACTGTGGGGGAAGCTCTGGTGACCCGTTCAGTGGACAAGGCAGATGGTGGGGGGTGCACCTGCTGCAGCCCGATGGCTGTCACTGGTGGAGGGACTCTCGGCTTCTGGGGGACAGTATCTCTGTACCCTAAGGAGGAGTCCAGGACTGGGAGACTGCTCAGGGGGCTGGTGTGCTGGCCCCAGCCTCAGGGTGGGTCGCTGCCGGGCAACACAGCTGAGGAGGTTCCTTGCCTCTCAAAGCAGAAAAGGATGGGCTAGAACAATACTACACCACCTGGGTTCGATGCCTAGCATTCCGTATGGTCCCCAAGCACCGCCAGGAGTAATTCCTGAGTGCAGAGCCAGGAGTATCCCCTGAGCATCACCGGATGTGGCCCCCAAAGAGACAAAAGCTCTCCTATGTTTTAAGATGCTTACCCAAAGTGGGAGCTTGAGTTTACCCATTGTATATTTTGCCCAAATGGGAAGGAAAGTTAGAAGTCTTTATTTTTTTTTTAGTGAAGCAAGATAGTTTTTTATTGAACAGCACTTGCTGTTCAGTAAAGACTTGAGAGGAGAGAAAGGGGAAATATATGTTCAGGAGAGAACACAAGCTTCTCCAGAGCGGAAATGAGCCAGCAAAGGAATGTAGGAATAAGCAAGCGAACTTGGTATTCAAGGAAGAACACGGAGCGAGCTGAGTATGAAGACTTGGGGCTTGTTACATCCAGAGGGTTGACTCAGGAGACAGGGAGCTGGCTCCGAGGACTGGAGCAAATAGTTTGCGTGCCCAAGCAGACTCTGCTCGACCCAGAGGGCATCCTCCCCCCCACCCCCCAGCCGAGCCAGGAGTCCTCCCACCCCTAGCACGGCCTGTGAGGCCCAGATTCGAACTATGCGTTACTAGGGGGTAGCCCAGGACAGACTCCGACAGAACTGGGGCCCTTCCTCTTGGCCTGGGAATGGAAAGGTTGAGGAGAACTTTGAGTTCTTGGCCGAGTGTGGTGGTAGAGGGGCTGGTGGCAGGAGTAACTGCCACCAGCCCAGGGGCCAAGGGAACACACCAACTTCCTGTCTTACTCTCACCGTCTTCTGGGAAAGTTGGACAGAATAACCGAGGCCAGAGCTGCACCATTGTATTCATTTGTTTGAAAGAATTATAAACGGGCCTGCGAGAGAGTACAGGGGTGAAGGCATTTGCCTAGCCTGCCACTGACTCTCGTCAGACCAGTGATAGACATTATGGGAAAAAAATCCTCAGTCTCTTCTTCTGACTCTGAATACTAGTTTAGATTATTTCTCTATGCCTTTCTTTTTCTTTCTAGCTTTCCTTCATTACTCACTGTCACTGTCCTCCCGTTGTTCATCGATTTGCTCGAGCTGGCCCAGTAATGTCTCCATTGTGAGACTTGTTGTTACTGTGTTTGGCATATTGAATACGTCACGAGTAGCCAGGCTTTGCCGTGTGGGTGAGATACTCTTGGTAGCTTGCCGGGCTCTCCGAGGGGGCGGAGGAATCGAACCCGGCTCGCCTGGGCTAGCTGCATGCAAGGCAAACGCCTTACCGCTGTGCTATCGCTCTAATAGCACAGCGGGTAAGGCATTTGTTTTCCTTGCACATGCCCAACCCCAGTTCAATCCCCGGCATCCCATATGGTCCCCCAAGCACTGCCAGGAGTAACCCCTGAGCATTGCCAAGTGTGACCCAAAAAGACAAAAGTATTGCCCTATCAGTTTGTTCATTTATTTTTTTGGTTTTGGGGCACACCTGGGGCTCCATAATGCAGAGCACATGCTCAAGCCACCAAGACGCCTTGCCAGCTCTCACTGCTATCTCAAAGGGTTCCCTTTACCCCAAACCATCCTCTCACAGCACCTACCCACGGCACTTTCATCTCACGTAACCTTGTTGCCCTGCAGGATGAATCAGGCTCCCACTGTGGGGTTTGAACAGGATGTTGGCAGCAGAACCACCCACCACTTCATGTATCCCGAGAGTGCCAAGAACCTGCCTGCCAACGTCAGCTTTGTGTTGGTGCCCTTCAAGGCTCTGGACCTGCTGTGGATCGCCAGTGCCCTGTCCACAGGCCAGATCCGATTGTGAGTGCTACGGGAGGGTTGGGCAAGCACTGGGGTAGGAATGTGGGTGGAGCACCTCCTTGGGAGGAGTCTTCCAGCGGGGCGGATCATAGATTCCCGTTAGCTGAGTAACCGGGCCACTGGGAACTGGTAAAGAGGCCATTGAAGGGGTGCCCCCAAACAGTGGTAGAGCAGAGCCATGGTGAGCTCTCTGTCACTTCCTGCAGGGTGACAGCCAGTGGACTGATGGTAGCAAGAGGAGAGGACAGTTGGCTGTGTGGGAGCTTCTTTCCCACGGGCTTCTCACTGGAGATGCTGCCTTTTGAGACTTTGTTTGGGGGTTGCTGCTCAGGGCTTACTCCTGGATCTAGCTAGACTTAGGGATCGCTCCTGGCTGGCTTGGGGGACCCTCCTATATTGGGTGGTGGGGATTCAACCTGCATTGGCTGTGTGCAAGACAAATGCCCCACCAGCTGTACCATCTCTTGGGGATACCATGTATTTTTATTTTTAGATGCAGAAGTTTAAGTTATGGCTTCCTGATTTGGGAGACTTGGGGCCAGAAATACTGTAGAATTCCAATCTCACAGATACTAAAGAGAAGGAACACAGGTTCCAGGCCCCACAACTGGCCAGGAGGAGAGGAGGAATTTGTGCCAGAGATGAGGGAATAGGAAGTGGGTCATCAGTGAGCTTAAGTGGAAAATTCAAGAAAAGTTGGGACTGGATTAGCGCATGTCAGATGCCAGTTGGAAACCTCCTCACTTGCTCCTGACGTTTCCTGTGACGTGCTGTGGGCAAGCGCGCTGGAAACGGGCCAGTGTGAAGTTCTGTTACCACTCCCGGAAGGGGGAATAGCATCCGGGGCATGGGCGCATCTAAGGGGTGTTTCCTTACCTGTTACAGCACCTACGCTCCAGTGAAATCCTTCCTCCGAGTGGACAAAGAAAAGGTAAGATTCCGCCTTCTCGCCCGGCTTCATCCCTCCTCAGAGGAAACGGTGCGGATGCCTGGACCTGTGGCATGCATGTCTCCTGTTCCCTTCTGTGCTTTTCAGAGCTCACATCTGTGACCCCCACAGGTCACGGGACCTGGGGAACACCAGCCCGCTGGCCCCCTGATAAGAGCAGCTCAGTGCTCTGCTGCATCCCCTGGACCCCAGGAGGCCCTGACCTGTGTTCTCTTGTCTTCTCCCAGGTTCAGATCTACAACCCGGCCTTCTTCAAGTACATCCACGACCACTGGACGGAGCATCACGGGCGCTACCCTTCCACGGGCATGCTGGTGCTCTTCTTCGCCCTGCACGTGTGTGATGAGGTATGTGCACCAGCCAAACAGGGACTCGGGGAACTCGACCTGCCCTCTTGAGCTGAGCTCAAGAGGGATGTTTCTGTAGGCAGAACCTAAGTGGTGTTGATTCTCTCTCTCTCTCTCCCTCTCCTTCTCACAAAAGTTAAAATTAATTCAGAAAGGAAATGGAGGGTTTGGGGAGATAGTTCCAAGGATTCCACGAAGTCATTGATCTCTCCCCGCAGTACCCCTGAACCAAAAATTAATATATAATAAAGGAGATTATTCCCATGATTATACTACTCACCACAAAACGTCATCATAAACAAGCAAAAAATAGAACAGTAATAATGGAGCTAAGTGTTGTGGGGGATGGTTGTGTGGCTCTGCTGTGAGTCCCAGACCTAAGGCTCAGTGTTAAAAATGGAGGTTTGGGGCTGAAGAGGTAGAATGGTGGATCAGGTGTGTGCCTTGTGTACACCCAACTCAGTTTCGATTCTAGGTGCCATATATGGTCCCCTTGCACTGCCAGGAGTTATGCCTGAGTGCAGAATCAGTCCCGAGTACTGCCCAGTGTCACCCAAAAACAAACAAAACAAACTGAAAAAAAAAAAGTTTGGGGTCTAGAGATGTAGTACAGGGATTAAGGCACTATCCTTGCATGAGGCTGAGAAGCCCTGGCACCAAACACAGTCATCTGCGCACCAACAGGTGTGGCCCAAAAAGCAAAACAAGAAACAAAGAAACAGGTTAATAAGCAGCTGGTGCCAGGCTTGCCAGTGCTTATGTCCAGCATACCCACTTTAAGCCCCACTATGTTCCCCAGTGTATGGAATTGGGTGTTTGATCAGATTGCAAAAGTACCCCGATTCCCCAAAAAAAAAAAAAAAGACCAGCAAGAGGCATTGAGTTGTCATAAACTAGCCCCAAACCAGGACCCGCAATCAGACAGAGGAGCAGAAGTGGAGCATCTCTCCCTGGAAGGCCTGGTCCTTTGTGCCAGATCTTGGTGACCCCTGTGTCCAAGGGGAGGAAACCTGGGCAACCCTGTCCAGGGAAACACCTCCTTTCCGCGGGGGTTCTTAGCTGTCACTAGTCCCTATGTCTCTTTCTCCCCATCACGACCCAAGGCCCACACCCCGCCCTGTCCTCCCGAGTCCCCGATGTGGGGGTGACCCCGATGTGCTGCCTTTCCCCGCAGGTGAACGTGTACGGGTTTGGGGCCGACAGCCGAGGCAACTGGCATCACTACTGGGAGAATAACCGGTACGCGGGCGAGTTCCGGAAGACGGGCGTGCACGATGCGGACTTCGAAGCCCACATCATCGACATGCTGGTCAAGGCACGAAAGATCGAGGTCTACCAGGGCAACTAAAGCCGGCCTCGCCACGACCCTGCCGGGCCCAAGCCGCGACGCCCGGGCGCGGGCTCCAGAGCGGGATCCCGGGCGTTGGAAGCTCCCGCGCCTGGGGCCGCGCCTGGGTACGCGGGCAGGCCGGACCCACCGTGCTGCAGCCCTGCGAGCGCTGCCGGCCCCCGCCAATCACGAGACTCTGAGGGGCTTGGCACCAATCGGCGCTTCCGAGGGCGGAGCGGGCGGAGCCTCGCGACCAATCATGCGACTCAAGGAGAACTTCCGGCCGCTGCGCTCCGGCCCCTCCAATCAATGGCCTTCGGGGGCGGGCCGGCGGCCGTTCGAGTCCCCGCTTCCCTGCGCTTCCGGCTAGGATCTGATTTCTTGCTCGCTGGGGAGCCGACGTGGGCTCTAGGCTCGATCAAGGACTGTCAGGCCGAGCTCGGGGCGCCGCGGAGGAAACCGGCGAAGGATCGGGACGGCGGCCTGACTTCCCGGGAGCGTCTGGCCGAGAGGCGGTCCCCGGGCCTCCGGGGGAGGGTCGGTGCCCCGCCCCGTGGGCGCAGAGAGGCGCGCGTACGCCGGCCAAAGAAACGCAGTGAGCAGCCGGGGGCGGGGCGCCCGGCCCCTCGCCCCGCGCCGCTTCCCGCCTTGGCCACCCTATGGAATGGCCTTTCCGACCAGGGCATCTAGTGCCTCACTGGGAAAACAGAATCCTCTTTAACTCGCGTCTAGGTGGAAGGAACTGGGCAGGGGCCCGGGAAGCCCCTCGCATCCAACGTCAGGTGCTCCTCACTCCCGTGAGCCCTTGGCCCCTCCTGGTCACGCCCTTTTTAGCGTCTCTCCTGCGGCCCTGGGCCGCCTCACCAGCCTTCTTGTTGCTCTGGAAAAAAAAAAAATCCAAACTTGCTCTGGGATCGGGGCGCTGCTGCTTCCTCTCTCCTCTCTCTTCTGTCTCTCCTCTCCTCTCTCTCGCGCACACTCGCGTCTCCTGCTGGCTCTGGGCAGAGGGGGCAGCATGGGGGCAGGGAAGCTGGAGGGGGTGGGGGTGGGGGGCGATCCACGAAGGTTCTTCGGAGCTCTAGGCTGGGGCGGGGTGCGGGGGGGGGAGGATTGGAGGGGGGGAGGCGGCGACTGCCCGGTGTCCCCGCCCCCGTCCCCGCTCCCCACCAGGGGCACGACCTGGCTTCAGTCCCAGGAGAAGCGGCTCTGCCCTTGAAGCGGGGGCAGTTTGAAGGGGGGTCCGGGCTTCTGTGAAGCGCCTCAGCGTTAAAAGGGTCCCCCACCTCCACCCGTGAGGACCACCAGACACCCCTGCAGCTCTCCGACTCAGTTCCGGGCTAGGAGCGGGGGTGGGGGGGTAGGGGGGGAAGGGAGTAGGGGGGAGGGGTTGTCTTTGGAGGAGGGCAGGCAGGGCCTGAGAACTTTGCTGCAGCGTTTTCAATTTCAAAAGTAGGGGAAAAAGAACGGGGCAGGATCGGGGAGCCCGGAGTGCGGTGCCTGGGGCACCAATCCCTCCTCCAGGCACCAGTTGCATCCCTGTGCTTCCTGAAGAGGCTATCTTGAGTGTTTAGAAGATGAAAAAAAAATGCAATTATGCCAAACAGTATGGAACGGAGTAATTTATTTCGTTTTGTTCTTTTTTTCATTTTTTTTAAAGCCCTTTAAGTCCCCTTTCTGGAAGAGGTAGGTCTCAGCACCCATCCCAGATCTCCTTTTCTGTATAATAGTTATTTAAACTTTTTTTTATTTCCTTTCTCTTTCTGAATTAAAAGAACAACAACAAAAGCCTGTTTCATCCTAAATGTGTGGGCCCAAGCAAGAGTGTGTGGATGAACGTGGTTCTGAGAATGAGCCGCGACTGAGGAGTGGCTGAGACTTGCGGGGAAGGTGGGGACAAAGCTCAGGTGGTAGGATGCTGCCGGGTTCCTGCACAGTCCTGAGTTTTCTCAAGTGGTCTTTGGGGGCTACCCCCAGCTACACTCCAGGGACTCAACCCAGGGCTTTTTTGCATGCAGTGCATGTACCCCAGTTCCTTGAGCCCTCTCCCCTGCCCCAGAACTATTTATTTTGTTGGGGTGGGGGGGGGAAGCACACCCGGCAGCGCTCAGGAATCACTCCTGGTGGGGCTTGAGGGGCCATATGCAGTGCTAGATAACTGCCTCATAGACTGAAGGGGTGGGCTGGGATTCACTCAGCCATGGTGGAACCACTGCACCGCTGTGGGTGGGCTGGCATGGGCGTCTCTTACTCAGCGCCATGACACTTTCCGGGAGCTCACAATGCCTGTAGCTCAGGTCCTTTGCCCCTGCGGGGGGAACAGGGAGGTGCTTTTCAAACAGAAACTTATGGGGGCTGGACTGACAGTACAGTTGGGTGGGTACCTGCCTTCCAGGGTTTGATTCTGGGTAGCCCAATCATTCCCCTGAGCATACAGCCAGGAGTAAGTCCTGAGTACCACAGGGTGTGGTCCCCAAACCAAAATCTGAATCAGCCACATGCAAGACAAGCGTCTTAATCAGGGACTATCTCTCTAGCCCTTTTTTGTGTTCTGTGGTTTTGAGAACATTTGTGGCCGAGTCTTGGTCAGTTTCATGCCGAGGTCCCTGGGCTATAATTCTCCAACATAGGCAGCACCCACAGTCTGCACCACTCAGCGGTCTTTTGGCCAGACAGGCTGCTTTCCCTGGCAACATATGAGGTCCTTTGAACACCACCACAGGAGTAATTGCTGAGCACAGAGCCAGAAATAAGCCGAGCACCGCAGGACGGGACCCCGAAACAAGATACTTCAGTACCATAGGCTGGCATTGCATCTGCCAGAGTGTCGTGCCAGGATTCAGAGGGGGGCTGCAGAAAGTGCTCACTGCATGGCCTGACTTTGGTGGGCATCTTCATGGGATGCATGCTGGCCTTACCCTTAGAGCTAGTGCAGGCAGTTCTAAGGACTTCTCTTGGCCCACCTCATCCTGAGAATCACCCCTCCATGTGCCAGGGTGCCAATCCAGGACTTTTTCATGTAGAAGACACCCCTGTTCTCACCTGAGACCAAGGAGCTGGGGTCTGCGTCATGTCAGACTTTCCATGGAACATGCTGGACCGGAGCCCCTCTCTCTGCCACTGAGTGCCAGCCACATGGGCAGCGGGGGCTCTGTCCAATCACAACTCCTGCCCTTGGGCCCTGGTTCCCCCAAACTGGTCCTCTGGGCGACTGCTTTCTTCACAGGGAATGGGCGCTGCAGGGAACAAGCGTTAGTCGCCCCCTAGAGGCGTCCCTTTGAGGAGCAAGAACCAGGTCCTCCTAAGGGCCTATGCTAAGGCTCTGGGAACCAGTAGGTGCCCAGGCTGGGAGACAGCTCGAGTGGTCAGGGTCAGACCCAGCTAGCAGAGACCCTGGATTCAATTGCCAGCCCCTAAATACCCCACCCAGGCCTGAGGAGTATCACAGCAGCCGAACGGAGTGGTGCCTGCCCCAACAAGGCAGTGTGGCCCCTTTGAAAAGAAGCAGGGGCACAATGGCCTGTATAACTGTATGTATGCATTTTGTATGGGGGCACTGACAGGTGCCAACCAATTGGAAGCAGGAGCCGCAGCAGCCCTGGATGGTGCCAAATAAGACAACTGTGCCCTCTGGATACATGTTTTTAATGAGTATAAATTAGTCTAATAAGCAAAGAAGTACAAGTAAAATAAAATCATGATTAGTAAAGCATTGCATGATTTTCAAATTAAAATTTATCGACAACCAGGATGCTGGTCACTGGTGCGGGCCCATACAGAGAAAGCATGAGCGCGCCAATGGTGCAGTGAGTGATGCGCCTCCCGCTTCCCTCCAGGCGTGCTGACGGCCTATGGGGAAGAACCAGCTCACTCAGCCAGGCTGAACCGGAAACTGCTGACCACCCCCACCCACTGGGGACAGAGCAGACCAAGCCCCCCAGGGCGTGGCCATCCCACGAGGCCTCACGTCTGTTCCCGCCCAATCTGATGCCCACCAAGGGGAACAGGGCGTGTGCACACAGCAGAGAGAAAAGGCCAGCTGCATCCACTTTGGATTTTAGAAAGACGGCTGGCCAGGAGTTTTGCAGATCTCAGCAGGAGAAAGGTGGAGGCAGGCAGCGTCCCCTCGACGACTGTACAGGGCAGCGGGGTCACAGCGCCCTTCCCTGGACCACGCCCCTGACCACTACCGAGAGGGTGGACTCATGGCACCCCAGGCAGGAAGGTGGACGAAGGGCCTGGGGGCCAGCCCCCAGCTCACTTATAAAGTTGGGGGAAAACTTTGGCTGAAAGGACAAACTTTCCAAAATGCCTAATTTTCCTTCTTCTCTCCTCCATGATTTGCAGTTTGTCCCGTCCAAATGTAACTGAAATGAGGTAGGTAGTTTGTCGCGGCTTGCGCCATTGTCTCAGCGACAGCGGAGGCCAGGCTGGAAAAGTAGGAGTCTCCCATGTGGGGACAGTGCCAGCGGCTACAGGGTACCCGGGACGCCTCAGTTGGCTATCTTCTCAATCTCGTCCAGGTCATCCGTGTCCAATCTCTCGATTTTCTTATCTGAGGACGAAGACAGGGAGAGCTCAACGGGGGCGCATGCGGAGACGCCACCAAAGGGAGAGTCAGCGTGGCAGAAATCACGGGGGCTATGGGCGTGCCGGGACCCAACACGCTCGAACCTGTGGCCTTCCCCAGGGTGCAGGTGCAGGGAGTGTCCCCACACCCTGACCCAGGGGCTCCAGAGTCGCTCACTGGGACCGAGGCCAGGCCCGTCTCCCCCCTGGACAGCAGCGCAGGGCGGGGCAGGGCAGGGCCCACTCACTGAAGTGCTCCTGGATCCTGTTGAGGATGTCCATGCTGTGCTTGCTGTCCACCATGTTCACCGCCAGGCCCCTCTTGCCGAAGCGGCCCGTGCGCCCGATGCGGTGCAGGTAGGTCTCATTGTCGGGATTCCCGTCCTTGTCCACCGGGAGGTCAAAGTTGATGACGACGGACACCTGCTCCACATCGATGCCTGTGCGGGGACAGGTGTGAGGCGGGGGCCGGCAGGGCAAGCAGAGCAGGGGGTGTGGGCAGGACCCGGGAACAGGCGCTGGGGGCACAGGCAGCTCAGGTCGGCAGCACCTCCTGGGCCCTGGGGCAAGCCCCCTGCAGGGCGCCAGGCTTCTGGAAAACTCCCCGAGACCACAGCGTCCCCCCGACCATCCGGGCCCCAGCGCGTCTGCTCACCGCGGGCGCACACGTTGGTGGTGACCAGCACCTTCTCTTTGCCCTCGCGGAAGCGCTCGATCACTGCTGCCCGCTGCTCCACCATCATCTCGCCGCTCAGCAGCGCCACCTGGTGGCCTTCCTTGGACAGCTCGGCTGCCAGCCAACTGGCGGTTTTGCGAGTCTGCAGTGAAAAGAATTGTTTGACATGCACATACCTGACAAAAGGAAAAATGGAAAGACCCACGACAAGGTGGCTTGCTACCGTCAATAAGTGTAATATGTACTACTGGGTCTAATCAGCAGGTTGTGTTTACACTATTTATAATTAGTAAATTGTAAATAGAATATTAGACACTATTTCTATGGGGGAAGATAGAAATAGGGGTCGTGCCCAGCATTGCTCATGGACCCATATACAACGATAGGGTTGAAGCCCAGTTGGCCACGAGCAAGACAAGTGACTTAATTCTGTACTTTCATTGGCCAAAATTTTAGCCACTTTTAACGGGACAATATTTGGATTTTTTTCTTCTTTAAGGCCATACCCAACTGTTCAGGGCTTACTCCAGGTTCTATGCTCAACCATCACTCCTGGTCATATTCAGGGGACCATGTAGGTGCTGGTGATAGAAGCCAGGTCAGCCACATGCAAGGCATGGGCTGTGCCCATTCCAGCCCCAAATTCTTTTTTTCTAACTCATCTTTAGATAAGTGCAATCCTAGCAGGTTTAAATTGTTAGTCTTCCCCTTTCTTTTACGGGGGGTGGAGGATGAAAACCACAGCTGGAGGTGCTCAGGGTCGGCAGTATGCACAGCAAGTGGCGAACCCTCTCTTGCTGCCCACCTTCCTTTTCTCACTCCAAGCCCTCAGCCACACAGAGGGAAGTGGGTCCTCCTGAGCCCACCCAAACCCCACACCACCCGCTGCTCACATGGCAGAAGATCATTGCCTGCGCGATGGTGATGGCCCCGTAGAGGTTGCACAGGGCCTGAAACTTCTCGTCGCGGTTACTGCACAGCACGTAGTACTGCTTGATGGTGTCCAGCGTCTCCTCCTCGCGCTTCAGCTTGATGATGTTGGGCTCGGGGACCACCTTCTGGGCAAACTTCCACACCGAGTCTTCGAATGTGGCAGAGAACAGCAGCATCTGGCAGTTCCTGGGCAGCATCCTGCGGGGAGGCAGGGATCCCGCATGGCCCCAGTTCGTCCTGGGGAGCACCGCAGCCCAGAGCCCCGCCCACCGCCCCAATCGCTACCCTGGGCTCCGTGGGAGCAGCCCAAAGCTGCCCAACCAGCCAGTGCTCGCAAGGTTGGGGACTCAAGAAGCTGATGCCAGAGACGAGGCTTTGGGGAAAGGGGGGAGCAGCCGCGGTCTGGGAGGCTCCCGTGTCCCTCCCCTCCAGAGCCCCCACCTCTGGATGCGGACGCTCTGGTCCTGGTGGCCCTGAGTCGCGATCATCACGTCGGCCTCATCCAGAACAAACACTTTAATCTTCTTGGGGTCGATGAACTTGAGCTTGGAGCACCAGTCGAGGACGGTGCCAGGGGTGCCGATGACGATCTGCTCGCTGATCTTCTGACCCCGCTCCACTGTGGACGGAGGTGACTGGTGGGTATTTCCATGCTAAACCCGGTTTGGAAGCCAAAGCCTTGCCCATCCTTCCCAAGCTAACAGATCAAATCCACTTTTGCTGCCAAATGCACAGTAGGGTTGTCAAATCTTTGCTTCTCTGTCGAGGGATGCTCCCGTGTGGTCGGGCCAAGGGCCCTGAAGGGTCAGCGCCACTTCCTGCTGCCGTAATCCAAAGCCACACTTCCTGGCATCACCCCCTCAATTCCTGAGACCGCTGCTCACAGGGCATGGATTTCCTGTCCACTGCTAGTCTGAGCCCCCAATCCAGCCCCGTGATTTTGCTCAGTTTTTAGTTTTTTGCTCTATGCTCAGGATCACTCCTGGCAGTGCTGGGGGAGTGGAAACCTTACAAAGGATTGGATTCGGGCCAGCCAAGTGCCAGGCAAGTGCTGCAATGCCTGTATTATCTCTCTGGCTCCATTTTATTGCCTTGTTATCTGGTATTGAGACAATCTACTTATGTAGAACATTTTCCCACATGGAAAATCTACAAAACTGTGGTTGGAATTAAAACTAAATGGAAATCCATTTGGTTTTGGCCAATGCCTTCACCAAACACTGTCTTAGGTGTATTACATGAAACATGAGCTTATGCACGCATGACAAAGGCAACTATTTCTGAAGCTGGGGGACATCCTTATCCATGTCATCCCTGTTGTTCTCCAGCCCACATGGCATTAAAAGAGAGATAGTACAGGGGTAAGGCCTTTGCCTTGCATACAGCCAAACTCAGTTTGATTACTTGTAACCAGATAAGGATCTCCGGCACTGCCAGGAGCAACCCCAAAGCACAGATCCAGAGTAGCCCCTAAGAACTGCTGGGTGTGCCCCAATACCCCCAACACACCCAAAGAAAATAGGTAAAAGGTTAACTAGGACACATGATGTGATTCCCAATGAGCAACACCAATAAAAATATAAAACTGGTCATAGACATGACAAGGAACAATCTTCACAACACACTTGATGAAGAAGAGCCCACAGAACAGTCTGCACAAAAGACAGGGGGAGCTGCCGGCGACTGCAGTCACTGAGAGGCACCACACCACCAGATACTGACACTGAGCTTCAAAACCGGAACCCCACGCATGCTCACACCTCAGCCTCGCGACTCACGTTTATTGCCTCGGATGGCATAAGCCAGCTTGAGTTCCGGATAAAACTTGCCCATCTGCTCAATCACTTTCCCAGTCTGAAGCGCCAGCTCGTATGTTGGGGAGAGGCACAGACACTGGCAGGGAGATCAGAGGGTGAGTTTCGGGCCTTCGGGCAAGCCGTCCTTCCCCCGTGGGTGATCGCACCCCCCGCCAGGGGACACTGGCAAGTGTCCCAGTACAATGCAGGGCGGGGGGGGGCTTTTTCTGTTGTTTTTGTAAAGGTAGATTTCCAGGGGAGTACTGAGTAAAGTTTATTTTCCTGGAAAAGTCAGCGGAGCCAAGTGACCATGGGGACCGCTACTCTAAAGCAACAAGGCAGCCGGGAGGGCCCCTTGGACAGAGTAGAAACCCCTTCATCTCCCACCAGGCCCCCTTCACTCAGTAGGCCCTTTGGCCCTGCTACAGGCTGCTATTTCTAAAAGAATTCTTCCTAAATCAGGGCTTGGAGGGCTCACGAGCCGCTGGGCCCGAGCCAGAGCCAGCAGAAACACACTCTGCCCCGGGGACCCTCACGAGCACCCACCCAATGGCACCGCGCATCCGGGCAGAAGTCAGGTGCCCAGGATGTCCTGCCCTCACCTGGGGGTATCTCTCTGCCGGCTCCACTCGGCTGAGCATGGCCAGCACGAACGCAGCGGTTTTCCCGGTACCCGACTGAGACTGAGCGATGAGGTTCTGCGGGCTGGGGGGATGGAAAGGACGGTGGTTAGATGGCCCGGGTCCAGCATTCCTTCCAGGCAGGAATTTTTCTCCCCTCAGGATTTTCTACATTACTGAAGTTTTCTGCAGTGTTACAATGATACATCGAGTCCCTCAGGAATAATTCCTGAGTGCGGAGTCCAAAAAACAAATGTTAAAGGACAAATTGTGCTTATGGGGTTTTTCTGTTTTTGGGGTCACACCTGGCAGTGCTTGCGGGACTGTACACAGTCCGGGGAGCAACCTGGGCCCGCATCTCCTGTATGCAATGAAAGCCTCTGGCTCCCAGCGATCTTTTCAGCTGGGTTCAGTCTAGATCTTAAAACTCAGAGGGGCCAGTTTTGTACCCCAGAAATCCCGGGGCAAGGGTAAAGGTGATCCAATGCTTTGGTGGGGGATCAGAGTGGTGATTTGCTATTAAGAGGTATAATAAAAGCACTTTTGAAAACTATACAAGGCACATTAAGGTTATTTAGGCAGGAAGGGAGGGAGGAAGAAAGGGAAAAAGAAAAGATGGGGAGGGGAGGGAGGGAGGAAGGAAGAAGAGAGAGCGAGAGCGCATGAGCGGGGCCGGGCTGGCACACAGCCCCAGGGATCCTTCTGCTGAGTCACAGTCTGTTTCTAGGACTGGCTCCTTCCGTGTGCTTCTGCCTTCGTAGCTTTATAGAAAATGCGAGATTCCCAATCAGGCAGATGTCTTAAAGGGAAGTTTTATGTTTCTACTACATAAAACCCACATTCATGCCATGGTGGCTATTTTTGGATTTGCGGCCACACCTGGCTTGGCACTTGGGACCCACACACTGCCAGGCACAGAACCTGAGACTTCCCAACACACCAGCTTTTAAAACCACCTTCTTGGGGTCAGGGCAACAGTATAGCAGGGAGGGCATTTCCCTGCACGTTGCTGTCTCGGGTTCGATCCCTGGCATCCCTTATGGCCCCCCCCAAGCACAGCCAGGTGTATTTCCTGAGTGCAGAGGCAGGAGTAACCCCTGAGTATCGCCAGGTGTGACCCAAAAAGCAAAAAAAGAAAAAAGAAAAAAAACCACCTTTTCAGCCCTACACATTTGTCATAAAATAGGAGGGTGGGAGTGGGCAGAGTGACAGTACAGCAGGATGCTTGTCTTGCACACAGCCAACCCGGGGTCAAGCCCTGGCATCCTGTATGGTCCCGTGAACACCTCCAGGAGTGATTCCTGAGTGCAGAGCCAAGAGCAAGGCCCGAACACCGCCAAGTGTTGCCCAAAAACCAAAAGAAAAACGAGGGAGCAGAGACAGTACAAGACAGTAGAGTGTTCCTTGCACACAGCTGACATGTATTTGATCCCAGGCACCCCATATGGTCCCCCAGCCCACCAGGAGTGATCTCTGAGTGCAGAGTCAGGAGTAAGCCCTGAGCACTAGTGGATGTGGCCCAAAAACTATGCACATGGCCGATATGGGTTCAATCCCCAGCACTCCATACAGTCGAGTGCAGAGCCAGGAGTGATCCCTGAAAATCGCTGGGTATACCTGTACTCTGCCCCTAAAGGCCAAAGAGCGAGTCCAATTCTGTGCCACTAGGTCTCTCTCTCCCTTCTTCCCGCAGAGCGGGAAGAGCAGGCACCCCACTGAAGTCATCCGACTCTGCGCTTGCCCAAGGTGCTGCCCTGAAGAAGCACAAAGCCCCCTTGCTCAGGAACAGAAACAGCTGCGGGCAGACAATAAACCAAAGACCACTGAGGAAGCTTCCGGGATCCTCATACTCACGGCTCAGCAAGCATCATGGGTAACGCGTTCTCCTGGATCTTGGAGGGTCGATTAAAGCCCATGCCGTAGACACCCTGGAGAAGCTGCGGTTTCCTGGGCGCCGGGGAGAAAAGGAGGGATTCCACATTGCACAGCTTGTTTAGAGACCCAGGTTAGTACCCATCCCTCTAGCAAGCAAAAACTGAGCTTCCTGTCATTTTCCTATGCCTTAAAACAAAAACACACACAAAAAACCAAACCTCCATCTTTCCCCACTAAATCTGTTTCCCTTTTTGTTAAGTCTTAATTGCAACTATTAGAAGATTCTTAGACTCATTTCTTTTCCTGGTGAAATTATTGCTTTTGGCAGACCCAGAAATGGTTGGTCTTTGATAACAAATCTTCTGTGGCTCTAAGAGTGTTATTAATCCACAGTATAAATTAGAAAAGACATCCAGAAAATTAACATGGCTTAAGATACTGGGTCCCCTTTAGGGAATGGGATTCAGTTTAAATTCTCAGTGCAGAAGTAAAACTGAACCACACTAATTTTGTGTTTCATGATCCTTCCAATGTTGCCTGTACAAATAACCAGGACAATCAAGAGAAAAAACAATTGATTTACAGCCACTTTTTAGTAAACAGTAAGGAGAACTCAGGTAATTAAGAAACACTCATACTCAGATACGATGTCAAGTATGAAGAAAAGTCTCAACTTCCGGGAACAGTGATACAACCATTATCTTCCACACTGCGCTCACGCATGTGCTGTGAGCTCATGCGGACAGGATTAACAGAAAACACACCAAACTGTCCCAGGTGCACAGAAAGGCCACACCAAGCCTCTGCACTTTACTCCTCAGGAGCTAACAGACTCTAGACAATACAAATCCTTCTGTCACGTAAGCTTTCACACAGGAGGAACATTTTGAAAACATACCCTTGGGCATCTCCCTTTGGAAGAAAAAGCCCTGAAGCTTGGTAGATTCAGATTTAGTTGTCAAGGAAACCAAGATTAGCTAATGGGGATCCAAAGTGATCCAAGAACTTCCAATGGGCTCCTTTTCCCCAGGATTTTGTGGATTCAAATCAAAACAGTTCAAATCTTCTCTCTCTCTCTCTCTCTCTCTCTCTCTCTCTCTCTCTCTCTCTCTCTCTCTCTCTCTCTCTCTCTTCCCTATCTGGGTAAACACATTAAACACATGGGTGTTCACTCCTAGTAGGGACCATTGGTTGAGACGACAGGCAGATTCCCCAGGTACGACACCTTATCTTCTGCCCACAGTACAAATCTTTTTGTTGTCATCTTTTAGGTCACACCTCACCACGCTCAGGAATTACTTCTGGCTGGCTCTGGGGACCATACAGGGTGCTGGGATTCACACCCAGCTCGGCCCTTGCCAGGCAAAAGCCCCACCCACAGTATTACTGCTCCAGTTCCTACACATTTTTTACAGTGTGAAACAGATCAAGTATAGGAGGCAACTTAGGCATCATTCTTTGTTTCCTTTTGCCATGAACAACTAAATCAGAGAACATGTCTTTCCAAAAGGACAATGTATCACTGACTAGAGAACACAAGTCTTGCAAATGAAAGGAATTTAAAACAACATAGACACTGGAAGAGTAGACAGTCCACTCGGAAACCAGCTGAGACATACAGCTGTCCCCAGCAGTTTGAACAGAGGCAGAAATACACCGGCTGAATGAAGCCCTGGCAGAAAAGATAAACAGGAAAGACACACAGTGTAATTTCCTGAAACACCCCCAAAGAAAAGGGCACCCTTTAAGATTTGCTCTTAGCTCTTACTCCACTGACCATGTTCAGGGGAGTCAGGCAGTTGTACTGAGCCTCCCGTGTGACGTCTCTGTTCTACTCGGCAGGCCGACAGTGAGTGCTACTCTCTGCCCACAGTGACACGGCAGCAATGATGTCGAACAGAGGCAAAGTGGTTTTTATCCTCCACTGCCTGATTCACCAGCTAGAACAGTCGTTCCATCTCACTAGTAGAACACTCAGCCTGGCCTGGCCATAAACAATTTCACTGACTCCCTGCAGAGGACGGAAGCCCTGACACGGCCGTCTGTAGTCCTCCGTCTTTAAGGCCTTGTTGGAGGTCAGCCTGAGCCCAAGCCCACGTTCCGTGATACTCAATTACGGATCCTGGAGTTCTTTTTAAAATTCGGAACACTGAAGGTCATCTTCCACCAAAGGCACTGGGACCTTGCCCAGGTTCTTCTGACAGATCTTATAAAGTGGATTAATGTTCAGACCTTTAACCCTAGAGGCTAACAAAGGGGCTTACCTAATAAGAAATGTTCCTGATATCCAGAAATCACCTGTCAGCCAATATTTTATTGAAAGTTCTAAGAGCATAAAAGAGAGAAGACTTTCAGCTATGAAGAATAAACTTGTGGCATTTAGAAATCCCTACCAAGAGAACCAGGGGGCCGACAGACCAGGGCGGGAGGGAAACCATTACCGTAAACGCTTCATATTCTGGTCCCTCTGGAGGCTCGTGAATTATTAACTAGCCAAGTCCGTTAGGATCTCCCGGAACTCAAGTGAAAGATCCCCGCGAAGCCTCGCGGGTCAGCTTCCCGGGAGGTCAGGGGCTACTCACAGGCGCAGCTCCTCGAAGGACTTGACGGAGTAGAGCGGGGAGTTGGGGTCCCGCTGCAGGACCTCCACCTGGTTCGTGTTATCCACGAGGTTGCTTCGGATCAGCTTGTTGAGTAACGACTGCGCAGCTTTGTCCTCTGGCCAAAGGAAACCAGGAGCTGCTCTTTTTGCTCCTCCAGAGCCCACCCGTCACCGGGCCAGCCCAGCATTGTGTGCAGAGGCGCAGCGCAAGGCCAGCGGGGGCCCGACTTCAGTGTTTCATGAGCACGCTGGGGCAGGCCCGTGCACACTTCCTGTACGTCCATTTTCCAGCCATGCACTCTGATCTTGGCCAACGTCCAGCCCCTCCACACCCTCAGATGTGGCTCAGTCAGCAGGAATCAGAAACGCCTGTGCAGGCTCCCTTTGCCCCTGAGCGTGCACTCAGTCATCCCCTCCACCGCTCCTGCCCAGAGTGAGCACTTCTCCCTGAGTCCCACCCCGCTAATCCCCACCACCCTTCCAGAAGGGTCCCTCCGTGTTTCCTTTCCTCTCTGGGCTCAACCTCCCCAATTCAGCAGCCCCGCCCCCGCGGTGTCAACCTCAAGTCCAATCGGAGCTGAGTCAACTGGCACCTACGCCTCACACCCTACCCGACAAGACTCCACACTCCTGGGGTTCCCCAGTCCCTAAGGCCAGTCATCGTGGGTCCCTCTCGGTTCCCTGCACTGGGCTGTAGGAGCCCTTACCTTTCTCGTCTTCGTCTGTCTTCTCTGCAGGTGCTGCGGGTTTGATGAAACCTGCACAAGGGAACAATCATCCTGAGCCGCGGCAAGTCACAAACCCTCCAGACCCGGGCAATGAAAACACCAAACCCACCCAGTGACCAAAATGCTAGCATAGCGGTAGGGCGTTTGCCTTGTGCGCGGCCGGACGGCCGAGTCGGGTTCAATTCCTCTGCTACTGAGAGTATCTCGCCCACACGGCAAAGCCTGGCAAGCTCCCCGTGAAGTATTCGATACACCAAGCACAGTAACAACGAGTCCCACAAAAGAGACGTTATTGGGCCTGCTCGAGGAAATCGATGAACAATGGGAGGACAGTGCTACAGTGACGTGCAGTGGATTTTTAGCCCAAGAAAAATAATTCTGGGTGACAACGGAAACCGCAAGAGCTTGGGCACTGACTCCTGGCAATGGAGGATGGATGAATCAGGATGGAGCCTCGGCCTCCCTGGCAGGCACACACTCTAACCCTCAGCTCCTCAGCTGCCCAGGAGTGAGTGGTTTCGTGGTGGTTTGGGCCATATCCCACAGTGTTCAGAGTGGCTCCTGAGCTGAGTCTGTGCTCAGGAATCACTCCACGCAGTGCTGGTTAAAATTGGAGCCAGCCACAATGCATGGCAATGCCTTAATACTCACACGGCCTCTCTGGCCCTCTGAAAGTTTCTTTCTTTCTTTCTTTCTTTCTTTTCTCTTTCTTTTTTTGCTTTTTGGGTCACACCCGGTGATGAACAGGGGTTACTCCTAGCTCATGCACTCAGAAATTACTCCTGGCGGTGCTTGGGGGACCATATGGGATGCTGGGAATCAAACCCAGGTCGGCCACATGCAAGACAAACGCCCTCCCTGCTGTGTATCGCTCCAGCCCCTGAAAGTTTTTGGATACATACAAAATCCTCACATTTTAAAAAACTTTGGCCAACTTCTTTTTTTTTTGGCGGGGGGTGGTGGAGGGTTTAGGGCCACACCTGGTGATGCTCAGGGATCAAACCTGGGTTGGCTGTGTGCAAGGCAAATGCCCTACCCACTGTACTAACACTCTTGTCCTTGGCCAACTTCTGTGTGATTACAATGTCACCTCTGGGGCGCAAAGATGAAGTCAAGACTTTAATCCTGGGCATGGCCATGCTTGCTGAAGGAGATCCAGGTGGCTCTGCCATCTGGAACCCCTGGCACTGCCCCCAGAGTTGAAGCTCCACACACCATTGATGATGGATGTGTGAGCACCACTGCTGGGAGCACCATACCAAGTGTGCACCATTAAGAGGGGCAAATAAGGGGGATGGGGTGGGAAGCCACATCTGGGGCCAGAGTGACAGCATAGTGGGTAACGTGCTCGCCTTGCATGTGGCTGACTGTGGCCTCCTGAGCATAAAGCAAGAGTAAGTCCTGAGCACGGCTGTGCATGGATGCTCCCCCCGTACCCAAATAAAAAGTCACCTCTGAGCTTTCCAAAATTAAAATATACCATTACAGTTGCAAACACATTTAGATGAGAAAGAAAATAAGTTACTAAAAAGTTAAAGGTGGGCCTGGAGAGATAGCACAGCAGATAGGGAGTTTGCCTTGTATGCATCTGACCCGGGTTCGATTCCCAGCATCCCACAGGGTCCCCCAGCACAGCCAGGAGTAATTCCTGACTGCAGAGCCAGGAGTAATCTCTGTGCATTGCTGGGTGTGACCCAAAAAGCACTGTCTGTAGCACTGTCCTCTCACTGTTCATCGATTTGCTCGAGCGGGCACCAGTAACGTCTCCATTGTGAGACTTGTTACTATTTTTGGCATATCGAATATATCACGGAGAGCTTGCCAGGCTCTGCCATGTGGATGAGATACTCTCGGTAGCTTGCCAGGCTCTCAAAAATAAAAAAAATAAATAAAAAGGTAAAGGAAATCTGGGCCCAGGAGCTACTAAAGGGCTGTGTACAGAAAGTCTGTGTTCGCGCCCACCTCCTATCAATGCAAGGTGGTCCTGGGGTCCCCCAGTACCCCTGGGCGCACTGAGAATATACCAATATCTGTCATCAACCAATGGACATTCATCAAGAATCTCTTGGCAGTATAGTGGATTGAGTATTTGCCTCGCAGGCAGCCTAGTCAGGTTCGAACCCCAGAACCCCACATGGTTCCCTCATGACCACTAGGAATAATCTCTGAGCACAGAGCCAGGGGTAAGCCCTGAGAACCACCAATGTGGGGAGGGGGACAGAAAGAGGAAGGGGGGGATATGGAGGGACATAGGGAGAGGGTAGGGGTCGGGGAGAGGGAGAGGGTTTTTGCAACAATCTTGAGCCCATAAACTTCCTGCTTGGACTTGTCAAATATTCAGAAATAACCAAAAGAAAATCAATGAATCACTGAATTAGTCATAGGGAGAGATTTACTGTGTACACACCAAGCGAATAGTTTGTGAGCCAGAGGTTCTTAGGGGAAAATAAGAGAATGAGCTCAGGGAGGGCCGGGAGAGAGTTCCAAGGGTTGGAGAACACCTTTGTCTGTGGGAGGCCCACGCACACGCTCTACAAGACCCCAGCCCACCAGCCGTGATCCCAAAGCAACAATCCCAGGGATAAATCACTACAAAGCAGATCAGGTAATACAACAACGACTTCGGGCATGAGCGACAGTATAGTGGGCAGAGCGTTTGCCTTGCAACGCGGCCATACCAGGTTTAATCCCAGCATCCCATATGGTCCCCTGAGCACTGCCAGGAGTAATCCCTGAGTGCAGAGCCAGGAGGAACCCCTGATCTTTGCCGGGTGTGACCCCAAAAGCAAAATAATAATAATAATAAAACAATGACTTTATTTTCCACAATAACTGAAGTACAAACATTTTCCGTTTTTGCTTAGGCCTGAGCACTGAGGATCAAATTTGGGGCTTCTCGCGTGCCAAGCACATGGTCTACCAGGCATATCCCCAGCCCAGGATTTTCTTAAATGACAGGAGGTTAATTAGAAAGGATCCAAACTGGATTGTTCGCCAAAAAAGGGCTAAACTGAACTAATTCTGGCTATGTGTTTTTCCTTCTTATTTTAAGACTGGAGCCTGAGAGATGCACAATGCGCCTAGCACATGCCAGGCACAAGGAGGCCTAGGCCACTCCTCGGCGTTGCCAGGGACCCCAGCACAGAGCCAGCAGCAGCCACTCCTGGTGTGGCGGCTGCATGTCTGTCACCCCAGACAGACAGAAGAGGCCCATTAAGCCTCCTTCCCCTACCTGTAAACAGGAGACTCCAGAGCCTCCAGGAAACCTCCTAGCGCGTGCCATAGGCTGTGTGTTCTAAAATGTAATTTTTCTGCTATTCCCAAATTTGAAAAATTTTAAAACAATTCAGTTTGCCTCAAGTTGTCCTCTTTGTTTTCAGCAACTCAAGTAACAACTCTGGGGACAGCTGGATGACAGAGTGTCTGCCTTGACACCTGAGGCCCCGCGCGCCACACCCAGTCGGCTTCACACACGCCAAGATCCCAGCAGCGCCGCCCCTGGAACTTGCCAGACCCTGGGTGGGCACAGCCGAGAGTACCACACACTGATGTGAGAGACCCCGCTCTCAAAACGTCAGAGGCTGTGCCCCAGGGTGCGGGACCCGCCTCTAAAAAGGCAGCAGAGCCAGAGCCAGAGCAGAACCAGGTGAGCACAAGCTTTGCACGTAGGAAGCTAGACTGTCCAGTACACAGGATCCTTCAAGCACTGCTGAGCACAGAGCTGGGAGTAGCCCCAGAGCACTGCCAGGTGTGGCTCAGAAAACAGCAATAAGGGGCTGGAGCGATAGCACAGCGGGTAGGGCGTTTGCTTTGCACGCGGCCGACCCAGGTTCTATTCCCAGCATCCCATATGGTCCCCTGAGCACTGCCAAGAGTAATTCCTGAGTACAGAGGCAGGAGTAACCCCTGTGCATTGCCAGGTGCAAAAAGCAAAACAAAACAAACAAAAAACAAGAACCAGCAATAAAAATAGGCCAGGCAGAGAGTATGGAGTTAATGTGCTTGCGTGCAGGCTGCACCACCAGGAGACACAAGCAAAGCCAGGAGTAAGGCGTGGGCACTGCTGGGTGTGGCCCACCCCTCACAAAAGGGAAAAAAAAAGCATTTTGTTTTTTTTGAGGTTTTGAGGAGGTGAGGGGGCAGTCCCAGAGACTGAACGCAGGTCTCAAGCATTTGCAAGGCTTACTCTTACCACGGAGCCACATCTCCAGCCCAACGTAAATAAAACTGTTAAAACAAGACAAAAGGGTTGGAGAGAAAAATGAAATATATATATATATATATATATATATATATATATATATAAAGAGATAGGATTAATACATGCCTTGCATGTGGAAAGCCCAGGGTTCAATCCCTGGCACCTCATACTCTCATAAATACTTCTGGGAGCAATTCCTGAGCACAGAAATGGGAATAGCCCTCAAGCACAGTCAAGTGTGACTATACTCCCAAATGTTCTAAGTTAAAATACAGAAGTTTGGGGCCGGAGCGACAGCACAACAGGTAGGGTGCTTGCCTTGTGCGCAGCCAAACCGGGTTCGATTCCCAGCATCCCATATGGTCCCCTGAGCACAGGAAACAGGAGTAACCCCTGAGCATTGCTGGGTGTGACCCCCCCCCCCAAAAAAGAAAACCCAGAAGCTTCCTCAAGATTAGCTCAACATAAATAAAACTCTTTTGAAAAAACTGAATACACACACACACACACACACACACACACATATATATATATATAGAGAGAGGGATTGGATAGATATAGAGCTGGTAAAAGGCACCTTGCACATGGTTGACCCAGGTTTAAGCCCTGGCACCCCAGATGGTCCCCTAAGTCTGCCAGGAAATGATCCCTAAAACGGGAGTAAACCCTGAGCACAACTGGGTGTGCCCCCACAAAAACCAACCAACAAACAGTACCTAAACAGGAACAGTGTCACATGAAAGTGCCAGTGTGACCTGAAAGATTCTTAGGAGACAAAGGCCAGGTGACATCTGGAGAGGCACACATGCTAAAGGAATGCGGCTTTTCCACTCGCAGCTGTGAGGGCAAAGCGAAAGTGTCTCTGCAGCTAATGGAAACTAGTGACTCACCATTGGAATCTGGTTTGACTTTCTCTTCCTTGATCTGCAAATCGCTCATCTGAAATGAAAGCGAAAGAAATGCAGTGAGTCACCAAAGGGCTCTGAGGAACTAGCCCCCACCTCCAGGGAGCTCATCTGCAAGGCTCAGTGGGCCAGAGAGGAGAGGGGTGAAGCTGCTACCCTGGCCCCAGTGGGTTCCGTCTGATCCCTGGCACTGTGTGTGTATGATCCTCAGCAATTCTCGGCAACTGGGCTGTCAGTTCAACATAAGAGCCAAGGACACAATGCCGCTCAGGCCCAGCGGTGATAAACCAGGGATTATCCGGGATCACTCTGGTGATCCTGGGTGCTTCAGGGCTGCACCTGGCTAAGCTCAGGGGTCCAGGTGGTCTGGGGTCAGATGCATGCAATGCTTGTTCCTTATCCCTGCACCCAACAAGCCTTAACCCCTATACTGCCACTTCTGCATCTTCTTTTTCTTTATTCTCATTTTCTTTTTTTTTTAATTTTTTTAGTGAAACACCATGAGGTACAGTTGTAGACTTACAAATTTTTGTGCTTGGGTTTCGATTATACAATGATCAAATACCCGTCCCTCCACCAGTGCCCATTTTCCATCACCATGGAACCCAGTATCCCTCCCACTCCCATCTCATTTTCTTTAGACATTACTCCTAACATGGTGTTTCTTTACAGTGGGATCAATCTTGCCAGCTCTTAATCTATTCTCATAATTGTTTTTAAAATCCCTACACCAAAAGCCAAAGCAATTGTATGGGAGTTACGGGAGTTACTTATAGGCTGCATCCCGTCAGTCCCAGTTTGAACCCTCGGCAATACATACGTTCCCATGAGCAACATGCCAGGAAGAGCCCTTGAGCCCTTGAGCGTTGAGCACAGCTGGGTGACATCCTCCCCCGACCCCGCCCCGCCCCAAAAAAACACTTCCCTAAACTGGAGCAAGGGAAATAGCTTCAAAGGGCAGGAGTGCATGTTCTGCAAGCCAGGCTTGATCCCTGGAATCAACTAGTCTCCTGAGAATTGCAGCAAGGAGTGTGTCTCCCACCGCCCAAAATAAAAACCAACAAAAAAACCCAAACGGACCCAAACAAAACCTCTCCTCTGTGAGTTGTCCTGGCGCATGAATGTCTTTACCCCGTTCCAAGCTCTTTTATTGCCTCCCTCTGTACCAGAAACTTCCTCTGATGGCTTCTGGTACAGAGGGAGGCGATAAAAAGCACAGCACCGGTCTTCTAACAAGACCCCTACTCCACTAAATCCGGCCCATTTCAAGAATCTGCCGACAAAGTGAAAATCCTCCCAAAGCAATAAAGAAATATAACTGGGACAAAAGTTGCATTAAACCACATTACAAAAGAAATCTACATTCTGGGCTGGGAAGAAAGCCCAGTGGGTAGGGCACCTACCTGGACAGCTGACCCGGATTCAATCTCCTGAGCCCCCACTAGGAGTGGTCTCTGAGCACAGAACCAGTAATGATCCCTGAGCATCACTGACTGTCCCTCCACCCAAAAATATCTATATTCTGAAAAATCCGTTACCGTTATCAATGATGAATTTATTTTAGTTTTGGGGTCACACCTAGCGATGCTCAGGGGTTACTCCTGGCTCTGCACTCAGGAATTTCTGCTGGCGGTGCTCAGGGGACATATGGGGTGGTGCCAGGGACCCGACCCTGGTGGGCTACGTGCAAGACCAAAGCCCTTCCTGTAGGACTACGGCTCCTGCCCCACACCGACAGATTTAAACTTAGATACCCATTCCAGTTGAATGGTCTTCAGTAATCAGAAGTCCAACAATAAAGGTCACTCTGAACATCAGTTAAACAACTGACGGTGACTCGGGCAATCTAGGTGCAATCCACTGAAGCAATCTGAACCTGAATCTGTTATTCTGCAAGAGCGACAGAGTGCCGGCCACGCTAACCGCGGGTCTACACCTACTAAACTAAAGGTGGGGTTGGAGAGATGGCGCCAAGGGCTGGGCCCACAAGGGGTTCGATCCCCTGCACCTCATGGTCCCCCCCCATCCCCCGTCCGCGGCAGAGACGTAGGGGCCGGGGCTGGAGAGAGCCAGGGCACATCTTGAATGACCCAGAGAAAGACGTTCCACACCGGACGTCTGGTCCAAGGCGCGGATCCCACCCTGCAGTTCCCCACAACCGGCTGCAGGCGTGGACGGGCCACTGCCTGTCCCCCGCCCCCATCACCGCCCCCCGCCCCGTCACTCGGCCCCGCCGCGTCCGCCCCAACCCGAGCTGAAGCCACTGACCGACTTGACAGCCGCCTCCTGCTCGTCCACCGCCAGCGCCCAGGAGTCGGTGGCCATGGTCGGCGGCAAGGCTGGCGGGCTGGCGGGAGAAGGAGCCACGCAGCGTGCCCACGGCGACCGGAGCCCGCGAGAACTTTCCTCACGCCGACCGGAAGCGGGAGGGGCCGACGTGACGTCAGGGCCCGCCCCGCGCCGACAGTTGGCGTCTCGCTGACGTCATCACCGCGCGCCGCGCCCGCCGCCTTCCCCTCTTCCCAACCCACCCCACGCGTCTAACGGCCCCGCCCGGGTTCCCCGCGGGTTGGTGCGACTTGGTACCTGGCGAGACTGGGGGGTCGCAGCCTGCCCCGCACAATCCCGCCGTCTCCTGACTGTCTTCGCTCTGACGCCACTGTAGCTGCCCCCGTCTCGGATGTGACGAGGAGACCCAGGAGAATACTTGGTCCCGCTGCTCAGAGTGCAACGCCTGGGCCGTGTTTGGCATTGCGGGAGCCCTGGGTTCTAGCCCGGCATGGCATGGGGTCCCCCAACACTGCGGAGGGAGCCCCAAAGGTGACCTTGCGATAATGCCAATAAGGGGTGAATAGGGAATGAGCACGGGGCATTAGGGGGAAATGGCAGAAAAATGAGGCACTCTCCTGAAGAACTGGTTTCTGTCGTTGAGTAGGAAGAATGAGGTGGTTATTCTGGTCGTTGGCGGCAACTTGAAGGGACCGGTTAACTCACAGTATATCCAAGGCTCCTGTTCTCTGATGGGGACTTGAGGAGTCTGGGGCAGTTCAGCGCCCGTGGGGTGGCACAGGGCAACGAGATGCAAGTGACCTCATAACTCAAATGCCGTTGGAGAATTCCCATTTCATCACCTTCTCTTTCCCCTTGTCCCTCCCCTCTTAGCTAGAATCCCAGGCGCCCAGACTTTCCCCTCCTGTGAAGTTCCAACAGTGAACTGTTTCTGGGGTAGCACTGTAGCACTGTCCTCCTGTTCATCGATTTGCTGGCGCGGGCCAAGTATCCTCTCCATTGTGAGACTGGTTACTGTGTTTGGCACAACGAATACGTCACGGGTAGCTTGCCAGGCTTTGAGTGCAGGGGGGATACTCTCGGTAGCTTGCTAGGCTTTCCAAGAGGGGCAGTGGAATCGAACCCAGTTTGGCCAAGCCAGCCTCGCGCAAGGCAAACACCCTACCGCTGTGCTATTGCTCCAGCCCAGAGAGGGGTAGGGATGAAAATTGGTCAGAAAGAGAAGTTGGGAGGGGGGAGTAACAGAAGCATCAACTTCTATGAGACAGCCCACTCAGCACGGGACTGCAGCAATAACACAGCTGGAACTGAGGAGTCTGAGGGGAACAGTTAAGCAAGTGAACCTGGGAACCATGTTCCTATACACAGTGAGAAATCATGTGTGTTTTATTACTGGGGTTTAGGCTACAACTGGCAGTGTTCAGGACTTATTCCTAGATCTGTGTCCAGGGGTCACTCCTGGCAGGGCTCTGGGGACAGTATGTGGTGCCAAGGATCCAACCTTAACCAGCTGAGTACCAGGCAATTGCCCTAGTCTCTGTGCTGTTTTTCTGAGCCCCACACCTCATATTTAATAGGAACCACACCCAGAGTTATGGCGGGAACTTGACCCCAAAAGGGTGGGCGTGCAGATACTCTCAGGATCACACATACAGAATAAGTACTGTAGGGGCCAACGCAACAGTGCAGCACGTGGGGCATTTGCCTTGAATGCGGGCCACCTGGGTTTGATCCCCAGCACCTGTGAGACAAGAGTCCGGGACGCAGGCTACAGTCCCCACCCTCACAACCCCTCCTCCTCCTTAGGACTTGCAAAAGCGAAGTCCACCTGGGCGGCATCAGTGTGGACAGTGGTGAGAGAGGGCAGGGTCCTCACAAAAACCTACATAAGGAAGCGGCAGGTCCTGTGCTCCCTGCCTGCCAGACCCTCCCGATGGCAGCTACAAGACACACACACCATCGTACCCAAATCCTTCCCTGCTAACTCACGAGGCGTGCTGGAGGCCCCCAGCACTATGCCCGGCACACACATGCGTTACCTGGGCCTCTTTCTCGGGGTTGCCTCTACACCTCCTTTCCCTCACTTGCACCCAAACGCTCAGAACAGAGAGGGCAGGGCTGCCACATAGGACATTAACACGCAATCAGCCGCAGCAATCAATGCACCAGGAAACAATGGCCAAAGACAAGGAATTGCCAAAAGGTAAATTTCTGTGTATTCACGCCTAATCTTCAAAAGTTGTGTAAACATTTTTTCTCTACCATCCCCCATCATTTGTACAATTTTTGTCAAGTCCAAACGTAATTGAAATGAGGTAGGTAGTTTGTCGCGGCTCGCGCCTTTTGTCTCGGTGACAGCCGAGGCCGGGCCGGGAAAGCGCGAGTCTCCCGCGCAGGGGCAGCGCCAGCGGGCACCGGGTACCCGGGACGCCTCAGTTGGCTATCTTCTCAATCTCGTCCAGGTCATCCGTGTCCAATCTCTCGATTTTCTTATCTGAGGACGAAGACAGGAAGAGCTCAACGGGGGCGCATGCGGAGACGCCACCAAAGGGAGAGTCAGCGTGGCGGAAATCACGGGGGCTATGGGCGCGCCGGGACCCAACACGCTCGAACCTGTGGCCTTCCCCAGGGTGCAGGTGCAGGGAGTGTCCCCACACCCTGACCCAGGGGCTCCAGAGCCGCTCACTGGGACCGAGGCCAGGCCCGTCTCCCCCCTGGGCAGCAGCGCGGGGCGGGGCAGGGCGGGGCAGGGCAGGGCCCACTCACTGAAGTGCTCCTGGATCCTGTTGAGGATGTCCATGCTGTGCTTGCTGTCCACCATGTTCACCGCCAGGCCCCTCTTGCCGAAGCGGCCCGTGCGCCCGATGCGGTGCAGGTAGGTCTCATTGTCGGGGTTCCCGTCCTTGTCCACCGGGAGGTCAAAGTTGATGACGACGGACACCTGCTCCACATCGATGCCTGTGCGGGGACAGGTGTGAGGCGGGGGCCGGCAGGGCAAGCAGAGCAGGGGGTGTGGGCAGGACCCGGGAACAGGCGCTGGGGGCACAGGCAGCCCAGGTCGGCAGCACCTCCTGGGCCCTGGGGCAGGCCCCCTGCAGGGCGCCAGGCTTCTGGAAAGCTCCCCGAGACCACAGCGTCCCCCCGGCCATCCGGGCCCCAGCGCGTCTGCTCACCGCGGGCGCACACGTTGGTGGTGACCAGCACCTTCTCTTTGCCCTCGCGGAAGCGCTCGATCACTGCTGCCCGCTGCTCCACCATCATCTCGCCGCTCAGCAGCGCCACCTGGTGGCCTTCCTTGGACAGCTCGGCTGCCAGCCAACTGGCGGTTTTGCGAGTCTGCAGTGAAAAGAATTGTTTGACATGCACATACCTGACAAAAGGAAAAATGGAAAGACCCGCGACAAGGTGGCTTGCTGCCGTCAATAAGTGTAATATGTACTACTGGGTCTAATCAGCAGGTTGTGTTTACACAATTTACAATTAGCACTGCACTGTAGCACTGTCTTCCTGTTGTTCATCAATTTGCTTGAGCAGGCCCAGTATCGTCTCCATTTTGAGACTTGTTGTTACTGTGTCTGGCATATTGAATAGTCACGGGTAGCTTGCCAGGCTTTGCCATGCGGGCGAGATACTTTTGGTAGCTTGCCGGGCTCTCCGAGAGGGGCAGAGGAATCGAACTCGGGTCGGCCGCATGGGCTGCGTGCAAGGCAAAAGCCCTACCCACTGTGCTACCGCTCCAGCCCATTTACAATTAGTAAATTGTAAACAGAATATTAGACACTATTTTTATGGGGGAAGATGGAGATAGGGGTCATGCCCAGCACTGCTCATGGACCCATATGCAGTGATGAGGTTGGAGCCCAGTTGGCCACAAGCAAGACAAGTGACTTAACTCTGTATTTTCTTTGGTCCAAATTTTAGCCACTTTTAATGGGATGATATTTGGGTTTCTTTTTTGGATTTTTTTCTTCTTTGGGCCATACCCAAGTGTTCAGGGCTTACTCCAGGTTCTATGCTCAACCATCACTCCTGGTGGTACTCAGGGAACCATGTGGGTGCTGGTGATAGAAGCAGGTCAGCCACACTCTCTCCAGCCCTGAATTTTTGTTCTAACTCATCTCTAGATAAATGTGAGCCTAGATGGTTTAAACTGTTGGTCTTACCCTTTCCTTTTCACTGGGGGTCGGGGGGAAAGGGAGAATGGAAACCACAGCTGGTAGTGCTCAGGGGCCCTGTGTGGTGCTGGGAATTGAACTAGGGTCAGCAGTATGCACAGCCAGCAAGTGGCACACTGCTGTCGTTGCTCCTGCCACCCACCTTCCTTCTCTCACTCCAAGCCTGCAGCCACACAGAGGGAAGTGGGTCCTCCTGAGCCCACCCAACCCCCATACCACCCGCTGCTCACGTGGCAGAAGATCATGGCCTGCGCGATGGTGATGGCCCCGTAGAGGTTGCACAGGGCCTGGAACTTCTCGTCACGGTTACTGCACAGCACGTAGTACTGCTTGATGGTGTCCAGCGTCTCCTCCTCGCGCTTCAGCTTGATGATGTTGGGCTCGGGGACCACTTTCTGGGCAAACTTCCACACTGAGTCTTCGAACGTGGCAGAGAACAGCAGCATCTGGCAGTTCCTGGGCAGCATCCTGCGGGGAGGCGGGGATCCCGCATGGCCCCATTTCGTCCTGGGGAGCACCGCAGACCACAGACCAGTGCCCTGCCCAGTGCCCCGGGAAGGAGGCAGGAGCAGGCCCGGGGCCAGGCAGGGTGGGCCCACCCCGATTTCCACCCCGGGCTCCGTGGGAGCGGCCCAAAGCCGCCCAACCAGTCAGTGCTCACAGGGTTGGGGGCTCAAGAAGCTGATGCCAGAGACGAGGCTTTGGGGAAAGGGGGGAGCAGCCGCGGTCTGGGAGGCTCCCTCGTCCCTCCCCTCCAGAGCCCCCACCTCTGGATGCGGACGCTCTGGTCCTGGTGGCCCTGAGTCGCGATCATCACGTCGGCCTCATCCAGAACAAACACTTTAATCTTCTTGGGGTCGATGAACTTGAGCTTGGAGCACCAGTCGAGGACGGTGCCAGGGGTGCCGATGACGATCTGCTCGCTGATCTTCTGACCCCGCTCCACTGTGGACGGGAGATGTTTGGTTGTTTTGCATATTCCTACGGTAAAGGCAGCTCCCCTTTCTTAGAAACTTAAGGACACACACACAAGAAACTACTGCTGGAGAGCTACGGAAGAGACACAAACAACAGTATGAAAACCGAGCAGGAGAGAGAGGCCTACGTGCTGAGCATGGGCTCTGGAGTCGGCCCCACTGCACTGCATGGTTTCCCGGGCTTGGCAGGGAGCAGACCCCAGACCATCAGGTATGTTCCTCCCCCCAAAAAAGGGTAAAAGAAAACCTCTTGAATGGGATATTTTTTACTCTAGAATCATCCAGTTCTCTTTTAAGAGTGTTACTTGTGTTTTGGGAGATGGGGGGCTCGGGGCCACACCTGGTGGTGCTCAGGATACTTCCCAGCTCTAATCTGGAGGCTCTGGCAGGGTTGGGGCAGGTGCTACTGCACTTGGACCCTTGTTGACCACCAGCCAGGCAAGTGCCCTACCCCTGCACCAACTCTCTGGCCATTAGGGTTATTTCTTCATCGACAGTCAGTCCCAGTGAGGTGCAGGATGGGCTTGCGTGTCACAGTAGACACGTTCCCATCTTCCTCAGCTGTTCTCACGGTGTGCAGGGTTCATGCACACCTGCCTGCTGTGTGCCAGAGATCTCACTTGGGTGGGACACAGCCGTCCGCCCCAGTGAGCAGCCTCTGGGAGTATCTCTGCTTTACACCTCGTAGTCCCAGGCCCAGAGACTCTCTCCCCAGGGCACCCTGCCCTGCAGCTCCCCTAACATCTGTCAAACAAGCAGTTGTCCTCACTTACCCTCTTCACCAATTTCGGGATATATGTGACCATTCAGTAACAGGATTAATTATGAAAGACTTCGTCTTCGAAGAAAAGTAAAAAAAAACTGCCTCTTCGAAGTGCTTTCCCAGACCAGGTCTGGCCGACCACGGGCCATTATAGACCCTGTGTGCTCAAAAGCTGAGGAAATCCAGCTTTCCCCCTTATTTACTAAGTTTTCTGGCCACACCGAGCCATACTCGAGTTACTCATGGCTCTGCACTAAGGAGTGATTCCATGCAGGATCCCGGGAACCACACCTGGGAAGGCTCCGTGCAAGGAAGCGCCCTGCCCGCAGCACGACCTCTCCAGCCCCACCAGCTCTTTCTTTGGCGTCAGATGCTCCCTTTGAGGGTCACAGCAGGTAGAGCTCCAGGGTGGCTCCCCACAGTGCTGCGGCAGGATCTGGGCTCTCTGTAAACACACTCTAGTACTTTCACTCTAGTCCAGCCTCTGTTCCCTTCATTTCAACCCCGACAACTCGAATCACCTTCAGTCACATGGGAATATTCTCAAAACTAACAAGTGTTCCCATTTATCAGCTCAGTGAACCACTGTCCTCTACATTAAAAAAAAAAAAAAAAATTCAGAGCTTGGCCAAAGTTCACAGGCACTGAGACACTTGCCTTACATCCCGTATCACACAGGGTCCCAAAGCACACCCGGGAATTACCGCTAAGCACAGAGCCAGGAACAGCTCCTAAGCACTACAGGGCATGACAGCACCCTCCCCAACAAACATCCAGTCGGTCAGGGAGGAGGTACAAGGTAAGGCACTTGCCACTGTATGTAGCAACCCCAGATCAATACCCAGCACCACATATGATTTTGTGAGCACTGCCGGGGTCAATCCTGAGCAGAGCCAGGAATACCCTTTGAGCACTGCTGGGTGTAGCCCAGAACATCTGAAAATAAAGCAAAAACAAAACATTAAGGAGTTTCTAGCCTGCTAGCTCAAATTCAAACTGCAAACATTTAAATTCTCTTCAGAACAGAATCCAGGTTGCCTTTAGGCACTGGTACAGAGTGAATTTCTGTAAGTCACAGACTTGTGTGAAAGAACCATAGAATTTAACCAAACTTCTATCACATCTTTTCTAACTAGCAGGGGCCTCCCCAGAGGTGCTCTGGGGCAGGGCCAGTGCATCTTGATAGCTGGCCCCGCAGTGAGCTCCAAGAGGGCCACACACAGTGCTGAGTGGGGATGGGGGTGCTGGGGTCTCTAACAAAAATTGCTTGACACTGTTTGTCAAAAAATTAAAAATAGAATAAAGAAATAGTAGTAAAAGTTTCCAGATTTAATTACTGGACTCTCACTTTATTTCTGAGCTACACTTAGTAGCTCAAGGCTTACTCCTGGCTCTGTGCTCAGGAATTACTGCTGGTATGCTGTGGGACCATATGCAGTGCCAGGATTCGAACTGGGGTTGGCCGCATGCAAAGCAAGTGCCTTAATCCCTGTACTATCTCTCCAGCCCCTACATGTCTAATGATAATGAAACATCATCACATGCCTTTCATGCAAGATATGGGAGTTTGATCCCTGGCACAGAAAAATAATTAGGAAATAAAACATATCCAAAAATAAAAAATTTTTGACCAGGCTATGTTCTGGGCTTACTTCTGACTCTACACTCAGGGATCACTCCTGGCAGGGCTTGGGAAGCTATATGAAGTGCCAGGGATTGAACCCAGGTCAGCTTCATTCAAGGCAAGCACCTTAACCCAGTGTTATTTCTTTGATGCCACTGTGAAATACTTTTTAAACCCACTGATCTAGTGTCTTCAAACATGCAAATATGGGGGCTGGAGCAATAGCACAGCAGGTAAGGCGTTTGCTTTGCACATGGCCGACCCGGGTTCGATTCCCAGCATCCCATATGGTCCCCCAAGCACCGCCAGGAGTAATTCTTGAGTGCAGAGCCAGGAGTAACCCCTGAGCATGGGTTGGGTGTGACCCAAAAAGAAAAAAAAATGCAAATATGGCACTGGAGAAATAGAACTGAGGGAAGGGTATTTGCCTTGCATGTGGCTGATCAGGGTTTAATCCCCGGCACCACACATGGTCCCCAGAACCCTGCCGGGAGTAATCCCTGAGCACCAGGGAGCATGGACCGAAAACAAAATAAAAAGAAACTCAGATATAACAGGGGGAGGGGAAAGGTAGGGGGAGTAGTCTGGATTGGAAGAAAATTAAAAGTACGATAACCAAATCAATGTGTAAGATTCATCTGTGGCTCAAAGATAATTCCTAAGTGCAAAGATCAAGCAGTGGAAGCAAGTCAAGTTAGATCCCTGATACCACATGGTCCTCTAGGCAGGGCTGAAGTGACACCGAGGCACAGAGCCAGAAGCTGCCCCCAAACCCGAAACAAATAACAAGAAGGGCAGATGTGTGGCTTGGTGGCAGAGCTCCACCTTCACAGGTGCTGAACTTGGTCTGATCAGCACCACCGCCCCCCACCAGCCCCCACAACAGAATGTCATGAGTTCCTGCTACCACCAACGATGTGGAAGAATGTAGAGTAGTAAGCTCAGTAAAGAAGACAAAAAAAAAACTGTGATTTCACTCATGTGACATATAGAGAAAAAAAGTATGAATAAAACAAATCAATGATAAACTTTAAGAAAGATTAGCGGTTACCAGGAGGAAGAGGGGAAGAAGGCGAGTGGGTAAATCATGTTGCAGAGAATATTGTCGGGGCCGGAGACATAGGACAGAGGGAAGGGCACTTGCCGTGCAAGCGGCCAACCTGGGTTTGATTCCCGGCATCCCATATGGTTCCACATGCACCGCCAGGAGTAATTCCTAAGTGCAGAGTCAGGAGGAACCCCTGAGCATTGCCAGGTGTAGTCCCAAAACAAAACAAACCCCAGAAGAGAATATTGTATTAAGAATAGAATTAGACTTTCAGTGGTGAACTTAATGTAGTATACAGGCATGCTGATTTTCAGTGGTGCACACCTGAATGTTCCAATATCATGGTACAGCAATAGAAAAGAAGTAGGCATTCCTGAAAAACCACCCAAACCCCATACACAGAAGCAGCAAAGATATCGCAAAGTTAGAGGTTTGTGAGTTTAGGTGGAGGGTTCGTGTGGATATTTCAAGTACCATGTATGTTTTGAAAGTTTTCAAATTACGGAGAAATATAATGATGGGATCACATTGTACTCACATTTATTGCCTCGAACAGCATAAGCCAGTTTCAGCTCAGGGTAAAATTTGCCCATCTGTTCAATCACTTTTCCTGTTTGAAGGGCGAGCTCATACGTTGGGGAGAGACACAGACACTGGTAGGGTAAGAGGGCAAAGATAATATCCCTTTGTGATGGGGAATTTCCATCAGAACCTGATCATGCCTCCCGCGAAGGCTGAAGAGAGCATGTATATAAAAGTGCACACCATTTCCTTTAACTTGCAAAGTCATTAAGATAGAATTTTGGGGGTGAGAGAGTGGCCCATAACCAGTGGTGTTGGGGAATCGTGTGCCGGGAACTGAACCTGTACCACCCACACACACATGTTCAGTCCTTTGAACCTTTGAACCATCTCCCCAGCTCCAATAGTTAAATTCTCTCTCTTTTTGGTGGGGGTAGTTTGGACCACAGCAGGCTGTATTCAGGGTTGACTCCTAGCTCGGTGCTCAGGGATCACTTCTGGTGGTGCTCCAGGAACCATATGTGGTAGCAGGGATCAAATCCAGCCTACTGCATGCAAGGGAAGCAGGTGCCTTATCTGCTATCCTATCTCTCTGGCCCACAAGTTAGAATTTTTAAGAATTACAGAACTCATTTGGTCATGAGAGCACCAAAACCCACATGAGCAAGAATGCAAAACTCCAATTAGAGATTAATACTCTCTTCAACGCCCAGTGGATGAGAGCTGTGGAGCAGAAAGGATTCCCCAGCATGTGAAGGAATGTGCCTGTCGGCATCACCCCCGATTTGCCAGCAAAGGGGAGCAGGCTCTTTACCACTACCGAATGGCCTGTGGTCCATTAAAGGGGTTCTAGTTTAGGTGAAAATATGAGCCACACCTTATGGTGCCCAGAGGGTAACTTCTGGTGCTGCCCGTGGATGCTGAGTGCCAGGGATAAAATCCAGGGCTGCTATATGCAAAGTACGTGCACAACTTAGCTTTAAGCTTTTAATCCATCAAATAGACTTTTTCTTTTGCTATTTTTTTTTGGGGGGTGGGTCATACCTGGCAATGCTCAGGGGTTTCTCCTGGCTCTGCACTCGGGAACTGCTATTGGTGGGGCTCAGGAGACCATATGGGATGTCGGGAATTGAATCTGGGTCAGCCGCATGCAAGGCAAACACCATATATGCTGTACTATGACTCCAGCCCCTCAAATGGATTTTTTCTTTAGTTTGTTTTGTTTTGGGGTCACAATATGAGGGCTTACTCCTTTGTACTCAGGGATTGCTCTTGATTCAGGGGACAGCATGTGATGCCAGGGATGACATGACAAGGCAAGTGGCCTACCCGCTGTCCTCTCTCTCCAGCCCCATCACATGGGATTTCTCCTTGTAGCTTCATTAGCAGAAAACCCAAATTCACAAGCCCTTACCTGAGGGTATCTGTTGGCAGGTTCTACTTGGCTGAGCATGGCCAACACAAAGGCAGCTGTTTTGCCAGTACCAGACTGAGACTGCGCGATTAAGTTCTGTGGGCTGCGTGAGGAAACAAGCTGGTTAGGATATGTGCAGTTACTAAAATGAAGAAAGAGTATCCAGGGAATATGCCACTCTAAGAGGCTGGGGAGGAGCTGTGTTGGCCTTCTTGGCCACTCGCTGCACTGAACTCCAAGCTGCACGTTCCCACTAGGAGCACTGCATCTCCCCCAGACGCGAGGACGAATGACTGGTGTTGCGGGGTGTGACGTTAAATGAAATAGGTCAGGGGGAAAGAAACAAATGCCACGTGATCTCACCCATGTGAGGTATATAAACAAACAAGGACTTCAAGACGGTGCCCAAAGAAATCAAACCTTTGGACAACATCACTGTGGTTGTAAAGCTGTGGAAGAAGTGGGCAGAGGGTCAGGGGAGGAAGAGGTGGACGGAAATGGCATTAAAGACAAGAGTGGAGGGTCTTCACCTGCCACTTGGGGCACTAATTATAAACACTGCAACCACATTACCTCTACTGAGATAAAGTGGCTGATTTATTAGGAAAAGAGAAATAATCAAATATGATTCTCATAATAAAAAATTTTTAATGAATATTCAAAATCAATTTCTAGAAGGCGGCCTTGGTCTCGGTAGCAGCTACATATGGTAGTTCTGCAAATGCATGGTTCTACAGGGAGATTTGATTGCGGTGCTGGGAATCTCATGTCTACAAGGTATGTACTTTGTCATTGAGTGCAGGCCTGGAATTTTTAAAAATTTCATTTTTTGTGGTGGGAAGGGCACACTAAGTTGTGCTCAGAGCTTACTCTTGGCTCTGTGCTAAGGTCACTCCTAGTAATGGCTCGGGGACTAGCTGTGGTACTGGGTCAAACCAAGACTGGCCGCATGCAAGGCAAGTTCCTTTACCCATGTACTGGATCTCCAGCCTGAGGCCAAAGGGATTTCAGGTGGGATTCAGAAGCACTTCATTACTTCCATTCCCTTTCAACACAGCAGTGATTCTTTAAATATGAGTCAATACTAGGGTCAGAGAGACAGTACAACCAGTAGGGTACTGCCTTATATGCGGCCGACCTGGTTTCGATCCCGAGCACCCCAGATGCCTCCTCTCTGGAGTATTCTCTGAGTGCAGAGCCAGGAATAAGCCCTGAGCCCAAAACACACAAACAAAAAATAATAAAATGATGCAGTATGTTACTGCTCTGCTCCAAAACCTTCCAATCACTCCCATTTCAGTCACTGTGAAGGCAAAAGTCTTCCCATTCTCCCCGATTCTGCTTGATCTGGCTCCCATTATCTCTGCTCTCATTTCCTACTACCCCCCCACCCCACCCCCGCGTTCACTGCACTTCACTCTACCTCCAGTGAAAACATACCTGCCAGGCACCCATCTGAGGCAGCACCTTCCCACTGCCCCAGATGACATGCCGACACTGTCTTCCTCACATCTGCAGACATCATCTGATGACGTCCTACTTGAGTCACTTTACTACATTTGTGATTTACTTTGAAATGTGGGGGTCAGGGAGCTAGCACAGGAGCCAGGGGCACATACTTTGTATGCACAAGACTCCAGTTTGATCCTCAGTGCTGCAGAGCATGCCCTCCCCCACTCCTATACTGCTGGCGAGGTCCTGGAGTCTCCGCAGCATGGGGGCAAGCAAGACTGACCTCTGGGCTCAAGTATTGAACAGGCCACCGGAAGTGGCTTCCAGATCCCCTGAGCACTGCTAGGGAAGACCAGGGCAAAATAGGACGTGCTGCTGCAAACACTGGGGACTGAAATACAGAAACATGCTGGTGGTAGAACCCAAGTTATAATATTTATGTTTTACCTGAAAACCCTTTCGAGGTTGATGCTTGAAAGTTCTCATAGTAAGATGTAGTGGGTGGGCTGGGCACGTGGCTCAGCGCAAGGGTACATGCTCAGCGTGTTTGAGTCCGTGGGTTCGATCCCCAACTTCACATGACACCACAGAGTTTGGCTTTGGATGGGTGGGGCTGGGCCTGGGTCCTGAGCATGCCTGGGTGTATAGTCTTTAAAATAATTTTTTTTAATGTTGTGGCTAAGATCACAATCAGGACTTAGCCTTCCTAGTCTCCCTCTTACTTTATTTGTTCTGTTTTGGGGTCACACCCAGTGATGTTCAGGGCTTACCCCTGGCTCTGCACTGTATACTACTATTTTTTTTCCCGTTCTGGGTCACACCCGGTGATCAGGGGTTACTCCTGGCTTTGCACTCAGAAATTACTCCTGGCGGTTCTTGAGGGACCATATGGGATGCTGGGAATCAAACCCAGTCAGCCACGTGCAAGGCAAACGTCCTTCCCGCTGTACTATTGCTCCTGTCCTCTGGTACTACTCTTGGCAGTGCTCAGGAGACCATCTGGGACAACAGGGATAGAACCCAGATTGGCCATGTGCAAGACCCTGCCCACTGAAACCATCATTCCAGACCCAGATCTCTCCCTTACTCCTTTCTTTCCTTTCCTGCCTCCATTTCAGGACTTACTCCTGGCAGGCATACATGGTGCAGAAATCAAACCTGGGTTGGCCACGTGCGAGGCAAGTGCCCACTGTCCCATCACTCTGGCTCCATGCCCTATTTACTTTTCCCCTCAGCACTAATTACACTTTAAAAAAATTTTTTTATATAGTTCATATGTCACACCAGTTATTAAAGTGTATAATTTAGTGAAGCATTTAGTATGCTATTAATTTCCAAAACCTATGATAAGTATATAAAATTTTTCGTTTTGTTTTTGGGTGACATGTGGCAATGGTAAGGATAGTTCCTGGCATTGCTCAGGGGAGCCTGCCAAGGCAGGGATCAAACACAATCCTCCTGCTTTTCTAAAGCACATACTTAGCCCTTTGGGCCATCTCCCTGGCCCAAAATTTGCCATTTAAATCACCTTTCTTTTAGAAGGGGCCCACATCTTGCAGTGCTTAGGGGGGATACTACTGGCAGTGCTTGAGAAACAGGACAGGGCTGAAGGCACTGGCTAGTCACACAGCCAACCCTAGTTCCATCCCAGCACTGCACATGGTCCCCGAGCAACACCAGGAATGATCCCTGAGCAAAGAGCCAGGCGTATACACCACAGCCAGGTGCCCCCAGCAGAAGTCAATAGGGCAAGAAAGACAGTACAGGAGTCTCCATGTTCTTTGTATTTAGTTTTCACTGTTTTCTTGGGGACACGGGTCGTGTCAGCAGAGCTTGGGATGCGCAGGGTCCACGCCAGGCAATACCTGACTCAGCCCAGCCGCACGAGTCCGATGGCTGAACACTTGGACCTGACAATGAGCTGCTGCTCCTCTGGCCCAACTGTGTGGGGGCCCAGGGGAGGGTTGGGGGGAACCATATGGTGCCTCCGCTTCAGCCCTTCCGACGATCTCCCAGCCCCATCTCCAAATTGGTTTGTTTATTTGTTCGTTTTTTTTTGGGGGGTGGCGGGAGGAGTCACACCCGTGAGGCTCAGGGATCACTCCTGGCTCTGCACGCAGAAAATACTTCTGGCAGGACTTGTGGAACCATATAGGATGTCAGGGTTTGAACCCGGGTCAGCCATGTGCAAGGTAGAAACGCCCTCACCGCTGTACTATCGTTCCAACCCCCTATTTCCTAAATATGAAACAACCATATATTACTAAGATAGCTTTTTAAAATAATGAAATGAAAAAATAAATAGCACGTACGGTTCAGCAAGCATCAAGGGCAAGGCGTTCTCTTGTATCTTGGAGGGGCGGTTGAAACCCATGGCATAGACTCCCTGGAGAAGTTGGGGTTTCCTAGAAGTTGAAAATAAATATCTTAGTTCCTTTGGTTATAGAAAGAAGCTAAATACCTGGGACATTTTTTTTCTGGTATTTAACTGCAGCTATGCACATTTTCTAATAACCGGTACCTGAATTATGCAGCACTGACTATAATGTGCAGGAAACTTAAGAGCACAAAGCAGCTAAATTTTCGTACTGACTGTGTTAGCTAAAGATGTTCTGCTCTCCACAAGGGCTCGGTCACTACCTAATGTGGCAGGGAGAGTCAGAGAGAAAACAGTGCTCACAGGCGCAGCTCCTCGAAGGACTTGACGGAGTAGAGCGGGGAGTTGGGGTCCCGCTGCAGGACCTCCACCTGGTTCGTGTTATCCACGAGGTTGCTTCGGATCAGCTTGTTGAGTAACGACTGCGCAGCTCTGTCCTCTGGAAGGAAACAAGAATAAAGACTTTTTTCTTTTTCCAAGTTTTTGGGTGATACCTGGCAATGCTCAGGGGTTACTCCTGGCTGTGCACTCAGGAATTACTCCTGGTGGTCATTGGGAAACTATATGGGATGCTGGGAATCGAACCCTGGTCAGGCACATGCAAGGCAAGTGCCTTCCCTGCTGTACTATCTCTCCAGCCCCCAAAAGGGTAAGTTCTTTTATTAACTGGACTTAAAATTTACCAAGAGCTCAACTGAATTCAACTTCCTTTGCTATCTGAAACAGTAATATGTGTTTGCACTGGACAGTTTAATTCCAAACATACCACAGTTTTGATTAGAAATACAATTGAAAAATTTTATTTATTTATTTACTTATTTTTGCTTTTTGGGTCACACCTGGTGATGCACAGGGGTTACTCCTGGCTCTGCACTCAGGAGTTACTCCTGGCGGTGCTCAGGGGACCATATGGGATGCTGGGAATCGAACCCGGGTCAGCCGCGTGCAAGGCAAACGCCCTACCCGCTATCTCTCCAGCCCCAATTGAAAATTTTTAAATAAAAGGGTTGATGACATTAATACATCCTTTCCCACTCATATTCTCCTCCAGAATATCACTGCTTAATTCTCCTCCTTTCCTGAATTTATCTATTCCTATTTAATGCAGATATCTACTCAGTTTGCACACAGTATAAACTACTGTTTGCTTAACATACAAATCACAACAAAAAATGAAATGTGTATCTTTATACATTTTGCTTGTACCTTTGCTGTTCATGCTAAATGTGTTAAAATATCACTGTCACCATCACTGTCCTCACGCTGTTCACTGATTTGTTTGAGCGGGCCCAGTAACGTCTCCATTGTCAGACTCATTGTTACTGTGTTTGGCATATCAAATATGTCACGGGTAGCTTGCCAGGCTTTGCCATGTGGACGAGATACTCTTGGTAGATAGCGGGGCTCTCTGAGAGTGGCAGAGGAATCGAACCCGGGTCCGCCCAGTCGGCCGTGTGTAAGGCAAAAGCTCTACCTGCTGTGCTATTGCTCCAGTCCCCATTAAAATATCATAGGTTTAATTTTATTAGACAATGGACAGGACTTAAATTTTCTTTTGGAATGTCCCTGCCATAATCATCCAGGAAATATTTTCTGCTATACTGAAGTTCATCAGCTGATCAAAGTAGAGTTTCTTAGAAAGGTATGCTATTAGTGTTCTTCACTAAGAACTATACTGAATTTTTATTGGTACTATGATTGCCACTAATGTTAAGTCAAGTTTATATAAAATTGAAGCATCATAACAATCCATTCTCTTGGAATGTAGAACCTCACTGAAATAGGACTCAAAGGCTTACCTTTCTCTTCTTCATCTGTCTTCTCTGCGTTTGCATTGGTCTTAACAGCACCTAAATCAAAAACAAAGTGTCCATAATTTAACCCCACAATTCAATCAAATCACATCCCATACCCAACTGCTAAGACAATTCAAATTCTAACTTTCAAATTCTTTTTCCCTTTTTGGGTCACACAGGGTGGTGCTCAGGACTTACTCCTGGCTCTACACTCAGGGATCACTCCTGGCAGTGCCCAGGGTACCATATGAGGTGCCGGGGATCAACTCTGTTCAGCTGTTTGCACTGCAAATGGCCTACTGGCTATACTACTGCTCTAGCCCCTCTAATTGTCAACATCTAGGACACCATAAATGTAAAGACCTGGAGAATAAAAAAAAAAAAATGAGACCAAGCTACAGATTAAATAAATAAATAAATAAATAAAATAAAAACGTATTACTGGGGCCAGAGATAGCAGTTTAGGTGTTGCTTTTCAGGGAGCTGACCCATGTTCAATCTCCAGTACCACACATAGTCCCCCAAGGCCTGCCAGGAGTGATTTCTGAGCACAGAACCGAAAGAAGTCTTGAGCATAGGCCTGTGGGCCCCTTCTCCACATTCATTCATTCATTCATTCATTTTTTTTTTTTTTGTGATTGAGCCCAAAAACTCAAGCTTTTTTATGGCAATTTTGGTTCTGGGTTTACATGAAAAAAATGGGAAAAGGGGGTCGAGTCAGCCTGCACAATTCAGCCCCTCCAAAAAAAATTTTTAAAGTATTTTGTTGTTCCTAAATAAAAGTACTGTTCCTGGGATCAGAGAGATAGTATAGTGGGCAGGGCACTTGCCTTGCATGCAGCCAACCCAGGTTTCTGGCATCCCGTAGGGTTCCAGGAGCCTGGCAGGAGTGATTCCTGAGTGCAGAGTCAGGAGTAACCCAAGCACCACAGGGTGTGGACCCCCACCCTCCCAAAAAAAGAGTACTACTGCTTATGTTTCAATTTTTTTCCTATTCTAAATCCTATCATTGTATCTCAAAACCTGTTATTAGGGCTAGGCATGATACGGCTGAAGTGGCAGAGCAGAGGACTGGGGCGATGTGGCTTGATTTTTAAGCAATTGACACTATTCAGCTTCTGGCACTGCATATGGTTCCCTGAGCACCACCAGGAGTTAGTTCCTGAGTACAAAGCTATGAGAAACCCCTGAACACCATTGGGTATGACTCTAAAAGCAAATAACTAAATAATCCAGTTTGGTAATTCACAGATGTAGTGACTGCCAGTATTGGCCAGTCCCATCAGGTACTTAAAAATTTTTTTTCAGGGCCAGAGAGAGTATAGCAGGTAAGGAGCTTGCCTTATACTTTTCCGAGCTGGGTTCAATCCCCAGCACTCTCACACGGTCCTCTGAGCTCCAAAAGCAGTGATCCCTGAGGAGTAGGCCCTGAGTATGGCTAGATATGGCTCCAAAACAAAACACACAAAAATTTTTTTCCTAGATGGTTGTTAAGATAGGAATACTAAAGGAAATCATATTTGTTTTCAAAGTAGATTTTAATCACTCACCATTGGCATCTGGTTTGGTTTTCTCTTCCTTAAGGTGCAAGTTGCTCAACTAAATGAAAGATAAGGAGGGAAAGTGTTAGGAAAAACTCATGAAGATTTTGAATCAACAGAACCTCTCCAGTGAAGCTGAGGAGACACAGGATGCTCTCGAGACCTACTCATACAGTCTACTCATTAGGCTGTTCTGCTGGGCTCCTTTGCTTATGAAAGGTTTGACAATAAAATGACCATAAATACAGTGGTAGATAGAAATTGGGGGTCCAGAGCAACAATACAGTGGGTAGGGCACAGGGGCTAGGGCACCTGATGCAGCAGACAGGTTCAATCCCCGGCATCCCATATGGTCCCCCAAGTACTGCCTGGAACAATCCCTGAGCACGGAGTCAGGAGTAACCCCTGAGCACTGTCGAGTATGGCCCAAAAATTAAAAAATGCTTCAAATAGCTCAAGATTCACATGTCCTAATTACAGTCTCCACGAGAAATGACAATTTGTGCATTTTCGTAATGCCCTGATTCCAAAGTCTCCCGGTAGAATACCATGTGTGTTGTCATTCTCCCACATTCCAGCCAAGAGGAAACTTAAAGAGAGACCGTGGGAAAGGCAGTCCTCCTTCAGATAGAGAGCGCTGCAGTTGGAAGCCTGCCCTGGAAAGCACCTGAGAGTAGGAATCAGTTCTGCTGAAGATGGGGTGCAGCCTGGGGCTCAGCAGGCCACAAGAAGTCTCGAACTGGGCCAGAGCGATAGTCCTGTAGGGAGGGCATTTGCCTTGCACACAGCTGACCCGGGTTCGATCCCCCGCATCCTATATGGTCCCCCAAGCACTGCCAGGATTAATTTCTGAGTTCAGAGCCAGGAAATCCCTGAGCATTGTCGGGGTGACCCAAAAACAAACAAAAAAAAACCCAGAGAAGCCTCGCATTCCGATCGCCTGAGCTGAAGGTCTGATATTCTAAACCTGGGCCACTGTGGCATGCTGATGGAAAAAACAGCCAGCTGACGTGGAAATACAAAGAAGGGATAGAGCAGAGACATTTCAAAGAAAGAATTATTAGAACTTGATAAAACTCCATTAATCAGGAATGCCCTGGCAGGACTTTCCTCTCCTAATAGAGTACAAAGACGCTTTTGTCAGGTATGCCTCAACAAAATAAAAAAGAAAACACCTTAAAGATGAGATATTTTTGTTTATAATAGGCCTTTCACGGCTGGAGAGACAACACATCAGGGAGGGCACTTGCCTTACAAACAGCCAACCCGAGTTTGATCCTGACACTCCATTTGGCCGCTAAGCGCCAAGAGGAGTGATCCCTGAGTGCAGAGCCAGGAGCGAGCCCTGAGTACAGCTGAGTGGGGGGGAAAATGGGGGAAAGGAGAGGGAGAAATGAAAAATGGTTTGGTTTATTCTAATGGTGATTAGCTGAGAACAGGGGAAAGTGGACAGTGAACAGTTTTTGGTGCCAGTTCTGCTCTGGCGGTGGTGGGTTTGGGGCAGCAAGGGGAACACGCTGAAGGCTGGGAAGAAAGAAAACTGGCAAAACAGAAAATTACCAGAAAGTAGTAAAGATCCTTTATAAACTCTTATTTTGGGGCCACACCCAGCAGTGCTGAGGCTTACTCCTGCCTTTGTGCTCAGGGATCAATCCTGGCAGGCTCAGGGGACCACAGGGGATGCCAGAAATAGAAGCCGGGTCAGCTGCATGCAAGGCAAACACACCCTGCCTGCTGTAATCTCTCTCTGATCCCTCCTTTATGAAATCTCAAGGGTGAAAAAGACACTACCAGATGATAAATATGAAGTACCCAGCATTATGCATGATGGATAATAAACAAGTTTTTCTTTTATTGAGATTCTATACTATTAACAATGGTTTCTCATGCATAGAATTCCAACACTATTAGTATATTTCTTTAAAACACTCCTCCTCAACCTGGCATCAGACCTAGCTTAAGTCTAGTATCCGGGATGTTAAGAGAGAGAGAGAGAGAGAGAGAGAGAGAGAGAGAGAGAGAGACTTAATGACTTATTGTCAATATTTTTAAAAGTAAAGTTAGTAACAATTTCTCCTGAGGTGACAACTGTTAGCTGTAGCTATAACACTGTTGTCCCATTGTTCATCAATTTGCTCCAGCGGGCACCAGTAATGTCTCCATTGTGAGACTTGTTGTTACTGTTTTTGGCATATCGAATATGCCACAGGGAGCTTGCCAGGCTCTGCCATGCAGGCGGGATACTCTCGGTAGCTTGCCGGACTCTCTGAGAGGGGCAGAGGAATCAAACCTGGGATGGTAGCGTGCAAGGCAAATGCCCTACCCTTAGTGCTATCACTCAGCCCAACCGCTAGCTAAAATAAAAAATAGGGTTGAAGTATAAATAAGTCAATAAGGTAGAACTGTGTTAGAATATTCATTACTAGTGAGGCCTGAGAGAGTACATTCAGTACAGAGAGAGCAGGTTTGAATGCCCTGAATTGACCATGCCGGGGGGAGTGTGAGGGGGGTACATTCTTACTTACACACCCAGAAACAAGCCCCTGAGCACCACTAGGTGACCCAAACAACAAATAGAAATATTACTTTAGGGGCTGGAGAGATAGTACAGCAGGTAAGGGGAGTGTCTGGCTGGGGTTTGGTCCCCAGCATCACATTATGTCCCCCAAGAAAGTTGGTCGTACTCAGTATCCCTGAGTACAAGAGTAAGCCCTGATTGGGTATGGCACAAAAAACTAAAAATAAAGTAAAAGATATATTCATTATTACAAAGCACTTTATTCTTAATCAGAAAAGAATAAGGCTGGACCCGAGCAATAGTAGAGCGGGTAGAGCGTTTGCCTCACACAGAGCTACACGGATCTGGGTTTGATCCCGGTGATCCCATATGGTCCCCAGCACAGCCAGAAATAATCCCTGAGCGCAAAGTCATGAGTAACCCCTGAGCATTGATGAGTGACCCAAAAAGCCAAAAGCAAGAAAAGAACATGGTTCTTTCCTGTTGCTACATTGTTCAAATGTAGTGATAATGAATTGTTAAAATAACTGTTAAAATAACTAATACTAAAATGCAAGTAAAGGGGAAAGTTGGTAGCAACAATGTAAACAAGCGGTTGTTTTGAGTAGCAGACTTTCAGGAAGCTTGCAACAGAAACTAAAAGCATCAGCCCTCAGAGCTATTAGGAACCTGCCGAGCAAAAGAAAGTTTACATTGTCTGCTGCAGTGGCAAGTAAGTAACTGAACACTGACATTTATTCTGAAGGTATCACTGGTTCAGAAAGCTTCTTTTGCTCTACTTGCACCAAAAGGAGAAATCAATTCTCTTGCAACTTTTCAGGAAACTATTTCAAATGCAGAAAATTAAATAAGAATTTCCAGAGAGAGAGAGAGAGAGAGAGAGAGAGAAAATCAGGGTTGGAGTCATAGTACAGTGGGTTGAGTGTTTTGCCTTGCACAGAGCTGACCTGAGTTCAATCCCCAGTATCTCATATGGTCTCCTGAGTTCTAAGTGCAGAGCCAGAAATAACCCCCTGAACATCTCCAGGTGTGGCAAAAACAACAACAACAACAACAAGAGACAAAATGATCTACCTATATCCATAGTTATGAACACCTTTAATATTTTAGGTTTTACAATGTTAAGATAATTTACAACCCCAATGAAGACTTACTAATGACACAGTAATATTGACATAATATTACGCTATAACATATAATAAAAACATGGAGAAGGGTGGTCATTATCTTTGGGGGAGTAATGTCTGAGTGCAAAGCCAGGGGTATCCTCTGAGCATCTCCATGTGTGGTCCAAAAACAAAGACAAAACCAAACCAAACCAAAAAACAAAAAAAAACAAAAAAACCCCTAATACCAAGAAGCCCGGGGGAGGCTGAGTAGTTAAGCTCATACCTTGTATGTGAGGAGTTCTATCCCTAGCACAGCAAAGAAAATGGGTGGGATGGGGAGTTGGCGGGGAGGGAAAGATACTAAAATTGAGAAAATTACATTAAAGAAAACAGACTCCATAAAAGAAAACAGGGCCAGGGATATAGCTCAGTGGTAGAGCACTTACTGTGCATGTGAGGCCTTCTACTATAAAGAAAAGAAAAAAAAACCCACCTTGCAGTGGGAGGGGTTGGGACACACCCTGTGATGCTGTTCACTCCCTGCCGTGGTGTTCACTTTTGGCTCTGCACTCAGGAATTAGTCCTGGCAGGTTCAGGGTACCATATGGAATGTCAGGGATTGAAATGAGGTCAGCTGCATGAAGAGCAAGTGCCCGAGCCACTGTGCTATCTCTCAGGCCCCCAGGACCTAAGTTTAAATCTCCAGCTACACATATGGGTCACTTCTGAGCACAGAACCGGAATTGTCTATAAGCATTCCTGGGGGTGGCCCAAAAACAAAAGGAGAAAATGTATCCTAATGCATAAAGCTTTATTTATAACTGCCCCAAGAAGAAAATACCCAAATTTCCATCAACAGAAGAATAATTATGGTACATTCATATAGTGAAATACTATTCAGCAATATAAAGGAACATACCACTAAAACATGTAACATGGATAAATTTCAAATACTATATGTTTAAAGAAACCACATTTGCCCACTCCCCCAAATTACACATTATATGATTCCATATTATATGACATACTGGGAAAGTTAAGACTTTAGCAAATGAAAACAAATCAGCAGGTAGTTGTAGAGACTGGTGGGGAGATGGAAGAAATTCCATTAAGTCTGAAGGAAATCTTTGGACAAGGTGGTGGAAAAGCTCTATATCTTGATTGTGGCATGGTTACACAAACTGCTGGCCTCAGTCAAAATTCACAAGATCTTACACTTCAACAAACCTGACTTTAAGAAAAAAGAAGAAAAAAGCAGGTATAGCAGATAAGGTACTCCTTGCATGCAGCCCTTATCTGGGCTCAGTCCTTGGCGTCCATCCCAAGCCCCACCAGGAGTAAGTCCTTAGACTGAGTGTGGCCCAAACACAACCCCAAGTGAAGACTTACTAATGACAGTAATATTGACATATTACACTATAACATAACAAAAAGATGGAGACAAAGGAGGTCATTCATAGAGGATGAGGAAAGGAGAATGGAGAAGAATCAAAAAGCAATAAATACCCAAAAAAAGAGAACTCAAGAAACAGAATTACTTTGAGGAGGCAAAATCTAGCTGTCGTTTTCAAAACTATTGGGTTTTTTAAAATTTTTTGTTTATTTTTGCTTTTTGGGTCACACCCGACGATGCTCAGGGGTTACTCCTGGCTCTGCACTCAGGAATCACTCCAGGCCGTGCTTGGGAGACCGTTTGGGATGCTGCAGATCGAACCCGGGTGGGTAGAATGCAAGGCAAACGCCCTCCCCGCTGTACATCGTTCAGGCCCCAATTTTTCTTTTCAAATTATATATATGCCCTCTTTCTTTTTAATCAGACTAAATCTTTGTTCTGGGGAAACGCACAGGAATAAGTACGAACAGAAGTAGGTGAGCATCATCAAAACTCTTAGGGAGGAGAAAGGCCCTCCACACAACCACTTCTGCTACCCGTCTTGCTCACGGATGCATCAGACCCTGAACAAAGTCAAACCACCACGGCGGGACTGACTGGCTGCCGGGCCTACGGAACGGATCATAATCATCACTGAGCAAGGAGAGGGAGGAGAGAAGCAGGAACTGACTACGGCCCCGGTTCCGGGGTCCAGCTAAGATTAGGAGCAGCAAAGATTAGGGAGGCGGAGAATCACCTGCAAAGGTGATTCTGGTCCAGGGTGGTGACCGTGCGCACGGTCTAGGCGCCAGCCTGAGCCCTGAAGGTTAAGAGAGCAGCAGCAGCACCCGCTGCACTCGCGAAACCCGGCAGGCGAGGGTTCAACATCGCATCTCTGGGTCCGAGTTCCGTCCCACCCACGCTTCAACCTGGCCCCGACCGCCCTGGGTCTGATGCTCGGCCACGCTGACCCCCAACCCCGCTCGTGGCTGAAGCCCACTCACCGACTCGGCCGCCGCTTCCTGCTCGTCCACCGCCAGGGCCCACGAGTCGGTGGCCATGGTCCCGGGCGCCGGAGGGAGGCTGGTGCCGGCAGGCTGACTGGCGGGCGCCGCGCGATCGCAGGTCCTCGCGGGTGGCGACGAGCCAGCCTCCCGCCCCACGGAGGGAGAAGTCATTCGCTCCGGTGCTGGGGACCGGAAGCGGCGCGGCGCGATGACGCCACCAGTCCGCGCCCGCTGGGGGCCCGGCGCCCCAGTGGGGCTGCCGCTTCCGTTACCCGCGATGCCCCGTCGCCGGCCCTGCTCGGCTCCAGCCTCGATACCCCGCGGCCAGACAACTACCGTTTCTTGCGTGCCTCGGTCCAAGCGCAAAACCACACTCGCACGTGCCACACGATCACACAGGGGACGCTCGTGGAGACGGAATATACGAAACACAAGGCGCCTGCCGTGTACGCGGTCATCCCGGCTTCCATCCCCGCCATCCCATAGGGTCTCCCCAGCTCGGCAGGAGTAATTTCTGAGCATCGCCGGGTGTGGCCCCAAAACAAACAAACAAGAGTGTGAGTGACTCTGTGTGTGTGTGTGTGTGTGTGTGTCCGCGATTGGGTAAAAGAAGTCCTGCCAATCAACGAAGGAACAGCATTTGCATGGGATGGTTCCGTGATGCATAGACAACGTTCAGACGCTAGATTCCTTCCTTTCAAAAGCACCAGGATGGGGCTAGAGCGATAGTACAGCGGGTTTGCCTGGCACGTGCCCGACCTGCTTCAATCCCAAGCATCTCCTATGGTCTCCGAGCAACGCCAGGAGTTCAATCCTGACTGCAGAGCCAGGAGGAACCCCTGAGCACCGCCGGGTGTGACCCCAAAATTTAATTTAAAAAGCACCAGGATTCTAGATTCGTCTTTGTCCACCCTGCCCCCAACCCTATGGCCTCACGTATTCAGAAGGGGGGCGCGGGAAACACTGAATTCCAAGCTCCCGCACCTATTCGGCTGGCTTCCATTTACGCTAAGCCAAGGGGAGCACCCACCTCATGGTTCATTTGCTCCGAGGATTCAACGACAAGCCAAAGCCCCGCGTCAGGCCAAAGTGCCATAAGTAGTAGCTATTATTAGGAACTGGAGAGATCGTACAATTGGTAAGGCACTTAGCTTTCATGCATGTGACCCCGTGCTCTATCCCCAGCACCCCATAATGGTCCCCAGAGCCCTCGTGAAGTGATCTCTGAGCACTGTTGGATGTGGATCAAAAAACATGGGGGCGGGGGGCGGAACCAGCTATTTTAAATGATTCCCACCTCCATCCACCCAAATTGGGGCGAGGAAGACGCTCAAATGGGGGTGGGGGTTGGATGAGTGAGTGGGGAGAGGCTCGGTTTCACCCTCAGAGATACTCACGTCGCCCACAGGCAGGGTGAGAGGAAAGCGGCTCAGTACTCGGCCTCCAAAGCAGCTGGACGACCCAGCCATCGCCCCAGCGCATGGCGGTTAGGAGCAGCCAACGGCAGATCACGACCCCAGTCACCTACTAGAGGGCGATCGCGCCAGCCAATCAGCGCAGGGGTCAGGGGCTGCACCACCTCGAGCATGCGCACTTCCTTACCTCCGGCCAAAGGCTCAGCATGCTCCAGCCTACTCCTGCCAGGGCTGCCTCTGCGTGCGAAGCGTTGCCATTCTTTTTCGGTGTTTGTTTTTTTTTTTTCCCCCCTCCGGAGCACCGCTTTGAGCCCCAAGAGGGCAGGGCAAGTATCGGCTTTATTTAATGCTGGCTCTCAGAGACTTAGGCATGACTGACACTCCAGTTGGTAAATAGATGCAGAATGCACATCTTCCAGAGCGACTTCTGTATTTTTGCCACTGACCAAAAAAGTGAGGAGTTTATTCTTGTAATTCCAAGTAGGACCCCTCAGGACCCCTGGGGAGCACAGATAACACATAACACCTGGGAGCCTGGTAGAACTGCAAAATCTATGGCTCCACCAAACTGACAAGGATCTGCATTTCAAGATCCCAAGTGATTTCTTATTGCACCTTTGAATTTGAAAACACCTAATAGCAAAGAAACAAACACGCTGGCCCCGGGGACATAGCTCAGCAGTCAGATGGGCATGCATCTTACACGGGCCCTGGAGCTCCGCTGGGGTTGTGTCTAGGTGGTCCCAGTATGGGCCTGCACAGCTGCGCATCTTTGGACCCTACCATTAAACCTCCCAACATGCTTGCCAAGTATTGCCCCTGCAAGAAAGGAAAGGAAAGGAAAGGAATGGAAAGAAAGAAAGAAAGAAAGAAAGAAAGAAAGAAAAAGAATAGCAGCGAGTAGTGGCCTTGTAAGTGGCTGACTGGGATTCCATCCCCGGCATCTCATATGGTTCCCAAAGCACCACTAGGAGTGATTCCTGAATAAAGAGAGCCAGGAGTAACCCCTGAGCATCACTGGGTCTGACCCCAAAAAGCAAAAAAAAGAAAAAAGAAAAAGAGAAGAAATTAACATTCTATGTTATAGGTATTGGGCTGGAGTGATAGTACAGTGGGTAGGGCTTGCACTCAGCCAACATGCCTTGCACGCAGCCTACCCGAGTTTGATTCCTCTGCCCCTCTCGAAGAGCCCGGCAAGCTACCGAGATTATCTCACCCACACGGCAAAGCCTGGCAAGCTACCCGTGATGTATTCGATATGCCAAACATAGTAGCAAGTATCACAATGTTACTGGGCCTGTTCGAGCAAATCGATGAACAACGGGAGGACAGTGACAGTGACAGTTTATAGGTATTGAAAGTTGCTTATGGTCCAGAGCAATAGTACAGCAGGTAGGGCAGTTAACTTGCACTGGTAGGCCCAGACCTAAATTCAATCCCAAGCAACCCATATGTATGGTCCCCTGAGCTCACCAGGAGCAATTCCTGAGCACAGAGTCAGGAATAAGCCCTGAGCATTGCCAGGCGTGACACCCCAAACAAATGAAAATACATGGAAGAATTAGAATCTAATACTGCAATTTCTAAAAATAAATTTTTTGTTTGGTTTTGGGACACATTGGTTGCACTTCAGGGTTTATTCCTGGTTATGTGCTCAGAGCAGTGGGACCATATGGGGTGCCAGACATTGCATTCTGGTTAGCCACAACAAGACATGTGCCTTGTCCTCTGTATTACCTCTCCAGGCTAAAAATATAAGGATTTTTTTTGGGGGGGGGGCAGGGCTGGAGTGACATTACAGCAGGTACAGTGCTTGCCTTGCGCTTAGCCAACTCATATTTGATCCCCAACACCCCAAATTGTTCCTCGAGCTTCATCAAGAGTGACCCCTGAGCACAGAATCAGCCATGAGCATGACCAGAAACCAAAAACAACAAAAAGTATTTTCACTTGCACTTGTTAGGGATTTTTTTTAAAGGTGCTGGGATAGAACCTCACACAGTCCCTTGTCTTATAAGTGCGCAACTTTCGTTGTTTTGTTTTGGGGCCACACCAAGAGGTGCTCGGGGCTACTCCAGGTTTGGTGCTCAGAGAACTATAACCTGCAGGAGATGGATCCTGGACCTCTGGCATGCGGAGTTTTAGCCTTTTGGGCGCTTTCTCCCACTCTCCCTACTCTTCAGCGGGCACTTGCAGGACAGTTCAACCTGTAAAAAGAGGGTCTCTGTTGTCATGTGTCAAGCGCAATTGAAAATTAATCTGCATGAAAGATTTCCTTTCATGACTCCTATGTATTTCTCAAAGGCAAATCTAGGAACCGACGTCAATTCAGTTGGCTCCTAAGGAGTAATCCCTTCCTTCGCTGCCCAACCCGGCAAGGCTCAAGAACCACTCCTTGGTAGTGTTCGGGGGACCATAAACGATGCTCCACCCCAAGAAAGTGAACTTTTTCCTAAATCAAATCCAAGGAGGTCTGACAAGGGCAAGCGTTTGGATAGAGACGATCTATCATCATCTTTGAGGCCCGCATGACACTCTGCAGCTAAAGGAGCATAACTATATAACAAGGGACTGGCCTGCTTCCAGCGAAAGGACCCGCTTCCCTGCCGAACTAAGGGTGGGAACGAACGCTGCCTAGGAAACCAAAATGTCGCCCTCCGCGATCCCGCATTCTGCCCCGTCACGTGACGGGCCCCGGCCCGGTCTTTCCCCGCCGTTGCATCAGCCGCAGTGGAGCCGCTTTCCCAGAAACCGACTCTCCAGCCGATTCGTGCTCGGCTTGATTGTCATGAGTGAGAACCAATAGTATCTCAGGACGTTTCGGCTCCGCCGGGCACTTTCCCACGGCGCATTTTGATTGGACGGCGCGGGGCGGCTCGGAGCGCTGTCTTGAGCTCAGGCCGGTGCAGCTGCGCGTCTGTCTAGGGGAGCAGGTAACCGCGGGCCGGGCTCGGTGGGCACTGCGGGAGGTCTTAGGGGGCGGCCCTCAGGGCTCGCAGGCCGGACACCGAGAACTCAGAGGCATTGGTGCGAGCGGTTCAGTCGAGGGCTTGAAATCGTGGCGGCCACGCCAGGCTCTTGGGCCTGACCTGGGGTGTCAGGCCCTGGGCTGGAGCTGTGGCCGGGACACTGGCACAGATGGCCTTTGTCAAACCACCGGGGTTCTGGGGAGGAGCGGCCTCCGGGGCCCTTGCTGAGGACCTGCAACATTCCCGGGAGAATCCTGGTTCCTTTTTTATTTTTCTTTTCTGGTTTTGGGACCACACCCGCGGGAATCTGGCCTCACTCCTGTTTGCGCTCAGGGATTACTCCTGGGGACCTTATGGGGTGCCGCCGATCGAACGCTGGTCAGCCTACCCTCTGTACTATTGCTCCAGCCCTTCCCGGTTACGTTAAATACCCTTTACATGAGACCTTTTTCCCTTCCATTGATTTTAATCCCCTAGGACGGTAGGCTTCGGGGTGGGGGTGGGGGGCTGTGGTCTAGAGCGTGGAGACCCACCGTGAGCTATTTTTTTTTTTTTAATTCTTAGCATTATCTTGGACTGGAGCGATAGCACAGCGGGTAGGGAGTTTGCCTTGCACGAGGCCCACCTGGTCGACCGAGTTGGATTCCTCTGCCCCTCTCGGAGAACCCTGCAAGCTACCGAGAGTATCTAGCCCAACCAGCGGCTTCCCTTGACTTATTTGATATGCTAAACACAGTAACAACAAGTTTCACAGTGTTAATGGCCCCCCCCCCAACTGATGAACAACGGGGAGGACAGTGACAGTATTATCTTAGTAACTGGTGCTGATCTGGACCTATCCCGGACCCACTCCCCTTACTGTCCGGTGGCCTCGGTGTCAGCCAGGGGGTCCTGCTGTGCTTTAACTCCATGGAGAGCTGGGCTTGCTGTACCTGTGTGCAGATTCATTGAGTCACCAGCATCCCCAGATGCGGGGATATACCTTGATCTTGAGCAAAAAGAGTCCTGCTTCCCACTTGGAATGGAATTGACAGCCTGGTGGGAAGTTGGGTGCGAAACCCGCTGTCATAGAATGGGGCTATGAGAATAAAAGGGACAGTGCTCCGGAGGGACAGTTCCTTAAACCACTGAATCGGTGTCTAGAATTAGAGACATTAAGTAGGGAAGTAGAAACAGTTCAATGGCAAGCTCTCACCCCAAAGGGCAGTGTGATCTCAGACTTCGCAGCCCCAGGGCTTCAGGGCCCTCCTTGTGCCACCTTGCACCCCATTCAGCCTATACATATATTTACGTGCAGTAAATGAATGAGTGATGGTGCAGCTTTTAATAGTCTCAGGCTCCATGGCTTCTCTTATCCAGTAGACTTAAGTCTTTGGGGGTTTTTGTCTTTGGGGCCACGCCTGGCTATGCTCAGGTCTTACTCCTGGCTCTGCGCTCAGGGATCAGCCCTGGTGGGCTTGAGGGGCCAAATGGGATGTCAGGGATTGCAAAGCAAGCACCGTACCCTCCCATACACATGCTAGAGCCTTTTTCCCTAGTTATTTCTGTGTATGGCTGTCTCCTCATCGAAGGATCTGGGCTGTACTGGGAGAGTACCTGGGGCTGTGCTCTACTGAGGGCAGGTTTTGCTTTGATGAGTTAGCCCTGGGCGTTACAGTGTAGAGTTTTGGCGTCAAATTCCTGTGCCTTTACTTGTCCTGAGAAGCCAGGAGTCTTGTGTGAAGTCTGTTGATCTTAGTTTCGTTTACCCTCATTTCTCTTCATTGTTTCCTTGGGTAGTGCTATAGGTTCGTTTCAAAATGGACTCGACCCTAACAGCAAGTGAAATCCGGCAGCGATTCATCGATTTCTTCAAGAGACATGAACACACCTATGTTCATTCATCCGCCACCATCCCGTTGGATGATCCCACTTTGCTCTTTGCCAATGCCGGCATGAACCAGGTAAGGGTTTTGCTTTTCCTCTTGGCTCTCTTCCCCTGGAGAGCAGCGGGGCAGTGATAATGGCCAGATCCCCGGAGGCGGCCAGAACCAGGCTATGGCATTTGTCTTGCACATGGCTGACTGGCGACTCAGGATCCCTTGAGCAGTGCTAGGAGTGATCCCTGAGCACAGAGCCAGGAATAAAAAGTTGTGGAAAAGAAAAAACAAAGCAGAACATCAACTTCACCTTCATTCCTATTCATTCCTATTGATATTACTCCTGGCTCTGCTCAAGGATCACCCCTCTGCAATGCTGGGGTTAAACCAGGGTCAGCTGCGTGCAAGGCAAGCACCTTACCTCCTGTACATGTTCCAGTCCCCTCCCTCATTGTTTTTATGGCCAAGTAAGCACACAGATGTTCAGAATAATGCCTTCCAGAAAGATGGCAAGGATCTTACCATTGCAGACAGCCTTTAGCTCACAGCCTTTGGTACTGACCGTGTGGCCTTGACGAACCAGAGCCAGGGAGAAACTTGCTTCTTGACCGGCTACTTGTGCACCAGCCCCTGAAACCATGGGCCTCCAATGCTTCAGAACTTGGGGCTGTGTAGATCACCAGCTGAGTTGTTTGTGCATGTCTCTTCCAGTCAGACCTGCAGCTCTTGAGAAACTCAAAAGGCCCCTTTCGAATGCCCTGCCACAGAGGCAGGGTAGGATGGAGGGGGTGGGAGGTGGGAGGGATACTGGGATCAGTGGTGGTGGAGAATGGGCACTGGTAGAGGGATGGGTATTCAATCATTGTATAACTGAAACCCAAGCACAAAAATTTGTAAGTCTACAACTGTACCTCATGATGTTTCACTAATAAAAATTGAAAAGTAAATAAACAAAATACAATATGCGGGCATGAGATAAGAAAGAAGCATGTTATGAAGGAAAAAATTCAAAAAGGCCCCTTTCTTTTTCAGTTCAAGCCTATCTTCCTGAACACTATTGATCCCTCTCACCCGATGGCAAAGCTGAGCAGAGCTGCCAATACCCAGAAATGCATCCGAGCAGGAGGCAAGCACAATGACCTGGACGACGTGGGCAAGGATGTGTACCATCACACCTTTTTTGAGATGTTGGGCTCTTGGTCTTTTGGAGATTATTTTAAGGTAAGGCAGAAGTAAAGTGGAAAATCTGTTGGTCTTAGCCAGCTAGCTAGTTCTTTACTTTTGTTTTCCCTGTTTGTTCTTGTTTGGGGTAATACCTAGCAATGCTCAGGGTTACTCCTGGCTCTGCACTCAGGAATTATTCCTGGTGGTGCTGGGGGACCATATGAGATACTGGGGATCAAACCAGGTCAGCCATGTGCAAGGCCAATGCCCTGTTCACAGTACTGTCACTCCAAGCAACTCCCCCCTCTCCCCCACCAAGCTGGTCCTTTCCATTGAGAATTTGGGATCTCCGTTTGCCTGTTTTAAGACAATGAAATCCCATGATCTGGGAGATGCCAGAGTGATGGAAATTGATCCTGTCTTTTGAGAGGAGTGTCTAATTCAGTGACTTCAGATTATATTAGATTTCTGATACAAATTGATTTATCAGGAAGATGTTCAGATTTCTGTTCTTTTAAGTTCATTCCCAGTTGATTCAGATGTGATCGTTTTTTACATCTCTCTGCTTTTTGTAGGAATTGGCGTGTAAGATGGCACTGGAACTTCTCACCCAAGAGTTTGGCATTCCTGTGGAAAGACTCTATGTTACTTACTTTGGTGGGGATGAATCAGCGGGCTTAGAACCAGACCTGGAGTGCAAGCAGATCTGGCAAAATCTGGGGTAAGGTGCAGCTTCCATGCTGAGGGTATGAAGGAAAAAATAATTCCAACAATTAGGGCTGGAGGGTCCCAGCACTACCTCTGGCCTCTGAGCACAAAACCAAAACATAAGAAAGCCCAACAAATGCTATAAGGAACATAATCTGGTCCAATGCAGCACAAATATTTTCATTTTCCTATTTTTTCTTTCTCTATATACACTTATTATTTTGTTTGGTTCTTTTTGGGTCATACCTGGAGGTGCTTAGGCGCTACTCCTGGCTCTGCACTCGGGAAGTACTCGTGGCGGTGCTGGGGGTCCATATAGGATGCCGGGGATCAAACCTAGGTCTGCCATGTGCCAGGAAAATGCCCTACCCACTGTACTGCTGCTCCAGCCCCACCTACACATATTTTAAATTATGATCATATCATATCTTGTATTTTACATTCTGTTTCACAGACTCTTTTATTGGTTTTTGTTTTTGTTTTGAGGCCACACCTAGTGGTCCTCAGGGCTTCCGCCTGGCTCTGCACTCAGGGATCACTCCTGGTGGTGCTCAGGGGGACCATATGTGATGCTGGGGATGGAACCCGGGTCAGCCGCATGCAGGGCAAATACTCTACCTGCTGTACTGTTGCTTTGGCCCCTGTTGTGGACACTCTTGAGAGAACTGTTGTCTCTTAGAGGATTTGTAGGCAGGCTTAGCATTAGTTTTTGCCACAGGGTTTCATTCTTAGAAATTTGTAATAATCCGGGCCTGGAACACACTATAGTGGGTAGGGTGCTTCCTTTGCACGCAGCTGGCCTAGGCTCAATCTCTGGCATACCATTTTGTCCCTTGAGCACTGCTGGGTATGGCTCTAAAACAAACAAAAACAAAAAGAAATGATGGGTCAGAATGATAGTAGAGGAGGTAGGGCGTTTACCTTGCACACCAACCCGGATTCAATCCCTGGCATCCCATATGGTCCCCCAAGCAATGCCAGGAGTAATTCCTGAGTGCAGAGCCAGGAGTTACCCCTGAGCAGAGCCAGGTGTAACCCAAAAGCCCCCCCCAAAAAAAGAAATTTGTAAGAATCCCCCTTTGTAATGGAGATAATCCTGGGCAGAATCCCCTTCAGTAGCTGTAACGGGGCTTTTCTTTCCGCCCTCTGCAGGCTGGATGACAGCAAAATCCTTCCCGGCAATATGAAGGACAACTTCTGGGAGATGGGTGACACGGGCCCCTGTGGTCCCTGCAGTGAGATCCACTACGACCGGATTGGCGGTCGGGATGCAGCACATCTTGTCAACCAGGATGACCCCAACGTGTTGGAGATCTGGAACCTTGTCTTCATCCAGTATAACAGGTGACCTTGGGGCCTTGCCCTTGACCTACATGTTGGAGAAAGCATGACTTCGAGCATGTGACTATCATCTATCTCTTCATCCTTGTCTTTGCAGACAGGACAGGGCTGATACAGGCATCAGGAATCTGAGAGAGAGGAGAGAGTGGGTAGGGGAGGGAGGGAGAGGAAGAGCTAGCTCTTCCAGCCGTGGAAGAAAGGGAGGAGGGAGGAAGAAAGCTGTCTTCAAGCCTGTGTTGTCCTTTGAAAATGTATCTCACTGGCTTCTCTGTTTCTTTGCTTGCTCATTTCCACTCTAGAAAATCCCGTTCTCTCTGCAACACATCATTTCCCTCTTTCTGTCCTCTCACATTTTTCTAAGCAGGTTTTATTAAATAAAAATCTATCTTATGGGCCGGAGATACAGTGCAGTGGGTAGGCACTGCCTTGCATACGGCCAAGCTGGGTTTAGTCCCTGGCACCCTACATGATCCGTTGAGCCCACCAGGAATGATCCCTGGGTGCAGAGCCAGGAGTAAACCCTGAGCACCACTCGGTGTGCCCCTCTCTCTCCCCCGCCAGAAAAACCAAATGAACAATCTTAGGAAAGAAAGAGAGAAAGAAGACTAGGGCTAGTCTTTTATAAAGTAGTTGGAGTTGACGTAATACTTGTTTAAAGACAATTCTCATCATTTTTCCTCTTAATTTGGATTGCAATTCAGTTTGTTTATTTATTTATTGGAAACAGCCTTGTTGGAAAGTAGAAGGGAAAGGGAAGGAAACTCCCCACTGGGGAGGAACTTAATATAGTACTAAGTTTTAAGTTCAGGACATGCAGTTTTAAAGTTTATTTCCTTTAAATAAGACTTTTTTTTTGAATAATTAAAAATTTTTTAACTGCCATGAATTACAGCGTTACAAAGTTATTTTTTTTTTTTTGGGTTGTACCCAATGATATTGTGGGGTTACTACTGACTCAGCACTCGGGAATTACTCCTGGCGGTCCTTGGGGTGCCATATGGGGTTCCGGGAATCAACCCTGGGTTGGCCGTGTGCAAGGCAAACACCCTCCCCTCTGTACTATCACTCCAGCCCCAGATATATTCATTATTAAGTTTCAGACATACTCATTTCAATCAGCCTAATCAATGGCTGAAAAATTAGCAATACTACTACATTTAAAAAAATTTTTTTTTAGGCATACTATGTTCCAACCGCAATCCCTTTTCCTGTGTCCACTCCCTTCCACCAACGTCCCCAGTTTCCCTCCCATCCCCCATCTCTAGAGCAGGTACTTTTCCCATCCAGAAGCTTGTCTCTTCAACATACCACCCCAGAGTTCTTCTTTCCATCCTTCCCCTTCCCCCCATCACGACAGGCAGAGGCAAATGGCAAACTTGCGGTCAGCTTGGGGCGGCAGGTGAGTCGGCAGGCCTCGGTGTCAGCCTCCTGTTTCTCGGCCCCGCGCAGGGAGGCCGACGGCGTCCTGAAGCCTCTCCCCAAGAAGAGCATCGACACGGGCATGGGCCTGGAGCGGCTGGTGTCCGTGCTGCAGAACAAGATGTCCAACTATGACACTGACCTCTTCGTCCCGTACTTCGAAGCCATTCAAAAGGTACTGGTCTCAGCCAATACCGCAGGCCTGGCCGGGGACCCTCCCACCCCTCACCCCCCACCCCCGCTGGCCCTCCACGGGGCTGTCCCAGATGCTGCACCAGGGGAACCCTAGAAGCCTCAACTAGGTCCATCCTTGATAACGAGGCCTTGGCTGGGCTCCTGACGCGGCTGGCTTTACTCAGAGGCGCTTTACTACTGCTGCTGCCGCCGTTCCTGGGCTTGGAGGACCTGGCAGGGGGTCGGTCCACTTCTCCTTATGCCTCCTCAGCCTTCTCACAACCTCCAGGCCAGACAGTGCCAGGGGCTGCTTCCTGATGCCTCCGGGTTTGTGTCTAGGGCACAGGCGCACGGCCATACTCAGGGAAAGTGGGCGCTGACGACGCGGACGGGATCGACATGGCCTACCGGGTGTTGGCTGACCACGCGCGGACCATCACCGTGGCCCTGGCGGATGGCGGCCGGCCCGACAACACAGGCCGGGGGTGAGTTGAGGGTCGGCCCTGTGACTTTCGGGCCCCCCTTCTTGGCCTTCTTTACTCCCTTATAATTGCCTTTCTGTCTCTTTGGAGGAAGGTCTTTAATTTTGGTGTTTTTTTTTTGGGGGGGGGGCGTGTCCACACCTGGTGATGCTAAGGGCTTACTCCTGGCTCTGCACTCAGGAATCACTCCTGGGAAAGTGGTTAGACTATATGGGATGCCGGTGATCAAACCTGGTCAGCCTCCTGCAAGGCATGCTCCATACCCTGATACTATCACTCCAAGCCCGGAAGCCCTTTTTTCGGGGGGAGAAGGGGTCACACCCGGCAATGCTCAGGGGTTATTCCTGGCTCTGCACTCAGGAATCACTCCTGGCGGTGCTCGGGGAACCATATGGGATGCTGGGAATCGAATCCGGGTTGGCCGCATGCAAGGCAAATGCCCTACCTGCTGTGCTATCGCTCCAGCTCCAGGCCCTTTATTTTCTGTGGGTGAAGACAGTCAGTTCTAGAGCAAGGGAGAAGGTTCGGAGTCCCGGAGCACATACTTTTCACTGCAGAGGGCTGGTTCCTTTCCCAGCCCATGTGGTCCCCCAAGCATGAGACCTTGAGTAAGCCCCTACCAGGTGCCCCAAAACCAAAGCTGGAAAAATAAGAATCGGTTCAAGTTAAAGAGCTGCAGTAGAATAAATAGCAGTATTCCTACATTAAAAAAAAAAAAAGAGCTGCAGTGATACTAAATCTTTGCTGCTCAGGTACAAGGTTGACTTTAAGTTTGTCTTGAGAGGCTACTTACTGTCGGGTAGGTATTGACGACCTCTGGGCAGCTTGGACCTGGGGTCGTGGACATCAAGTCTTCGTCCCTCAGTACTTCCTGCCTCTCTGGGCCCATAGATCATGGTTGGAAAGCAGATGAGGGTTATGCCAGGTCATCCTCGGTGCGTGGCCCTTGCGGGTCTGGTACGGTTTTATGTTGGAATGATTTTTGGTGACCTTGGAGAGTGCAGCGAGCAGCAGGCAGAGGGCAAAACTGGTGCTTTAGATAGAATTCCAGAGTACCCCCTGCAAAATGTCACCTAGCAGAGGGACTGGGCTCTGCTTCTTACAGGTATGTGTTGAGACGGATTCTCCGCCGGGCAGTTCGCTACTCCCATGAAAAGCTCAACGCCAGCAGAGGGTTCTTCGCTACCTTAGTGGACGTTGTTGTACAGTCCCTGGTAAGTGCATTTCCCTGCTGACAGCTTCTGCAGGGAAGCACAGGCCTGGGCCGGGCATGGTGGGCACAGCATGCTGCCAGAGAGCCTTTCGAGGGGCCCGGTTTCCCTATTGGTGTTTCTCCCTCAGGGAGATGCATTCCCTGAGCTCAAGAAGGATCCAGATATGGTGAAGGACATCATTAATGAAGAAGAAGTGCAGTTTCTCAAGACTCTGAGCAGAGGGCGGCGCATCCTAGACCGAAAAATTCAGAGTCTTGGAGACAGCAAGACCATTCCCGGTAAGGACCAGTTGGCCCCTTCCCTGGCCAAGCCATTTCCTCTTCAAGTTTATTTCAACAGGCTGACAGTCATCAACCCATGTCTGCAGAGGCTGGGCAGATGCTTTGTGAAAAGACATTCTGTGTAACAGGGAATTAATAGGGCCAGAGAGAGAGTACAGGGGTGAAGGCAGTGTCCCTCTGACGCAGGTTCAGTCCCCAACACCAAGCACTGCCAAGTACTGCCAAGGCTCACTCCTGAGCAAGGAGCCAGAAACATTCCCTGAGCACTGCCAGACAGCTCGCTCACTCTCTCTCTCTCTCTCTCTCTCACACACACACACACACACACACACACACACACACACACACACACACGCGGGCGCGCGCCAACCAAAGGGGGAAATTAAATTTATAGTAAAATTACAAAAACACTGCATTTTTGTGGAAATTTACCCTATAATTCAGAAGCAAAAAGTGAATGTTCTCTTCCCCAAAATTTATCAGAAGTAACAACCCAACTGTGTATTCAGTAGTTACTCTTTAACTGTACAAATATTTGTGGATTTTGTTTTCTTTTGTTTTTTGGCGTCAAAACCAGCGCGGGTTCAAGATTTCTAAGACTCTATATTTATACAGCAACATATCCTCATGCCATGTACATTTCTATTATATAGGTAACGTGTGTATAGAAAGTCTGTATTCCGATGTTTGTGAAATGAAAGTGTGTATATCATGAAAAAAAAAAAAAACCAGTGATGCTTAGGGGTTACTCCTGGCTCTGCACTCAATAATAACTCCTGGCAGTGCTCAGAAGACCATATGTAGTGCGTGAATTGAACCCAGCATTCAAGCCAAGCCCCCTACCTGCTGTACTGTCTCTCTAGCCCAGTGATGCCTTGTGTTTTTTTTTTTTTTTTTTTCACTTTATTTGAACACTGTGGTTTACAAAGCTGTTCATGCTGCACTGGTTACAGGCATTCAATATTCCAAAATCAATCCCACCATCACTGTGACCTCCCACCCCACATTCTCCCCATGTTCCCAACCACCCCTCAAGCCTGCCCCCACAGTAGGCATAAGCTCATTTATTTAATAGTGTTTGCTACCACTAAATGAGATGCATTGGTTCTAATCCTGCCATCTCTGCTGCGTTCTGGGAAGTTTTGGTGGGAAAGGGTGCTGCCATGTCACTCTAACATCCTTCCTTTGTCCTGTGTAGGGGACACTGCGTGGCTTCTTTATGACACTTACGGGTTCCCAGTGGACCTCACGGGACTGATCGCTGAGGAGAAGGGCATGCTGGTCGATATGGAGGGCTTTGAAGAGGAGAGGAAACTGGCCCAGGTAAAGAGTCTCGGGCATGAGCAGAAGCCCAGCACCAAGCATCGTAAGGACTCAGCAGCAAAGCAAGAGTCCTTGCACCAAAGTCTTTGGCCTTTGGTTGGTTTTGGGGCCACACCACGCAGTTCTTGGGGGCTTCTCCTGGTGGTGCTCGAATATGTGGTGATGGAGGGCCCCTGCATGCAAAGCATGTACTGAGCTACCTCACCCCTGTCAAAGACTCTCCGGGTCAGACTTAGAAATACTTTTTTTTGGTTTGGGAGCTACACCCAGCAGTGTTCAGGCCTTACTCCTGGCTCTGCATTCAGGGATCACTCCTGGCAGGGTTCAGGAGACCATCTGGGGTTCTGGGACTGAGTCCAGGCAGGATGTGTGCAAAGCAAGTGCTGTAGCTGCTGTATTACCCCTCCAGTACACAGAAATCAGTTTTTTCCCTAGACCAGTGGGTCTCACCTCAGAATGATTCCTCTCTGGACCCCCAGCCCCCCAGAACATTTGAAGCCCCAAGAATATTTGAAATCATTTTTGTTTTCCACGGCTGGGGACAGGATCCCACTTACATCTAGTGGGTAAAGACCAGGGGTGCCACTCCATACCCTACAGTGTCAGGACAGGACCTCTGCCCCCTGCACAAAGACTTATGCCCCTTGATGTCATGGCACCGAGATGGAAAAAGCCAATTCTGGAGCTTCACATCCAACACTGCTTAGTTAGTGCCTTTGAGCTGTTCAAAGTTTCAGGTTAACTTACGAGCATTTGTCTTGCGGGCAGCTGAAATCCCAGGGCAAGGGAGCTGGAGGAGAGGACCTCATTATGCTGGACATCTATGCCATTGAAGAGCTCCGGGAAAAGGGTCTCCAGGCAACAGATGACTCCCCAAAGTACAATTACCACTCGGACTCCAGCGGTAGCTACGGTACGTTACTCTGCTCCCCTGGGTCTTTATCAGAGGACCAAGTTCTCTATACTAGTTTCTTCTGTGGTGGTTAATAGTCATGCTCCATAAATTTATACGCAGATTCTTGGTGACTGGTTTTCTTCAATCTTTATTTTGGAATTATAGATTCACAGGAAACTGTTAAAAAGGGAGATTCCTTATACCCTTCCCCTCGCTTCCCCCTAATTGTGATAATATGTTTTGGGTGGGGGACACACGTGGTGATGCTCAGGGGTTTCTCCTGGCTCTGTGCTCAGGGGTCAGTCCCGGCAGGCTCAGGAAACCACATGGGATGCCGGGGCTCAGACCTGGGTTAGCCTCATGCAAGGCTAACGCCCCTACCTTTACAGGCCCTTTTGGAATAATGACTTGCAGAAATAAGGATAAAATCCATGGTGACCGCTGTATTTTGCATCAAGTCAATAACATTCTGAACTTAAGAAGGAAACAAAAGAAAAAGAAACAGGCGATACACGCTTTTGCTCTTTTTTTCCAACTTTATCTTTTTGGCTAAAATATTCAAGGATATCTAAAAAACAAGCATGTCCTTTGTGAACTGACCTTGAGCATGGAATGTTTAACTGCTCTTAAAGTCTAGTCATACTCAGTACGTTTGTGCTCAGTAGCGCAGAGGGGGATGACCACCTATCCCAATTTCCCAGAACTGTCCCAGTTTTAACACTGAAAGGCTCACAGCCTGGACACGCCTCAGTCCCAAGCAATGCAGGGTGCACAGTCAGCCTGCTGAGTACTGCATGGGTCTGCTCGGTCAGCCTGCTGGGTACTGCATCGGTCTACTTGCTAATGCCCCTTCATGCAGTCTCAGGGCTGGACTAGCCTTCAGAACATAGACGTTTAGGAACTTTTTTTTTTTCTTTTTTGGGTCACACCTGGCGATGCACAGAGGTTACTGCTGGCTCATGCACTCAGAAATTACACCTGGTGGTGCTTAGGGGACCATATGGAATGCTAGGAATAGAATCCGGGCCAGCCGCATGCAAGGCAAATGCCCTACCCGCTGTACTATCACTCCAGCCCCTTAATTTAAATTTTTTTTTTTGATCGGGATGAGATCAGTTGCCTTCTACTTTATACTCCATCAAATGCAGTTTGCTACTTTTGGTACATCAGTGGTGTAGAGTGAGATGTTGCCTGCACGCTTTAGAAGCATTTTAGAAATAGAATCCTAGGGCCGGAGCCATAATACAGCAGGTATTTGCCTGGGTTCGATGCCCGGCATCCCATATGGTCCCCTCCACTGCCAGGAGTAATTCTTGAGTGTAGAGCCAGGTGAAAGCCTTGAGCACCACTGGGTGTAGCCCCAGAAAAACAAAAGCAGAGGGAGGGAGGAAGGGAAAGGGGCAAGCCAGCAGAAACTGTGCAGATGGAATCACTAGCCCTTCTCCCCTGCCCGCAGCATTTGAGAGCACGGTGGCCACGGTGCTGGCCCTGCGCAGGGATAAGATGTTCGTGGATGAGGTGTCCACGGGCCAGGAGTGTGGCGTGGTGCTGGACAAGACCTGCTTCTACGCTGAGCAAGGAGGACAGATCTACGACGAAGGCTACCTGGTGAAGCTGGAGGACAGCAGTGAGGATGTGAGCCCGCTTGGGAGCAGCCGCGGGGGGGTCCCTTGACACTTTCTCTAAGAGGGGATCTACTGCTTTGTTGTTTCTTGGGGGGCCAAGCACACTGGTGCTAGAGGGCCAAGACCACATCAGACGATGTTGGGGGCTGCCCAGCCCTGCCAGGCCATGGCCGCAGCCCCAGGAGCAGATACTTGCCCCGAGTAAACCCAGATTAAGGCACACACCTTGCTGTAGCCGACGCTAGTTTGATCCTCTTGCCTGCAAGCCTTTCTGTTCTCTCAAAGCCAGGCCCTTATAGCCAGCCTGCTTTGGTTGGTCTTGGGTTCTTCCATAAATACAGAGATTCTTTTTATTCATTTGTAGGTCTGGTTTTGGGGGGAGAGGGGGGTGGATATCTGGCAGTCCTCAGTGGCTGCTACTCCTGATTCTGTGCTCAAGGGTTACTCTTAGCAGTGCTTGTTTGGTGGAGGGCGACTGTAAGTGGACCAGGCTCAGCCACATGCCAGGCAAACCCCTTACTATCTCTTCAGTCCCCTGAGAGGCAGCTTTCTTTTGGTTTTGGTTTTTGGGCCACACCTGGCAGTACTCTTGGCTCTGCACATATAGGAATTATTCCTGGTGGTGCTCGGGGACTTGAACCTAGGTTGGCCACATGCAAGGCAAGCTTCCTACCCACTATGCCATCACTCTGGCCCCAAAGGCAGCATCTAAAGAATACTCACCCTTCTATTTTTTTCAAAATTTTGGCTATTTTGGTCACACCCGGTTTTGCTCAGGGTTTACTCCTGGCAGTGCTTGGGGACCATATGGGATGCCAGGGATCGAACTGGGTTGGCTGTGTGAAGGCAGACACCCTACCCGTTATACATTGCTCTGGCCCAGAATACTCACCTGTGTGGTCCCCCAAGCACTTCCAGGTTTTATTGTTTGTTTGTTTTTGAGTCACACCCGGTGATGCACAGGGGTTACTCCCGGCTCTTCACTCAGGAATTTCTCCCGGTGGTGCTCAGGGGAAACAAGGAATGCTGGGAATCAAACCCAATTTGGCGGCATGCAAGGCAAACACCCTACGTGCTGTGCTGTCGCTCCAGCCCCAGCACTTCCAGTTTTGATCCTTGAGTAGAGAGCCTGAGTCAGCGTGGAGCACCACCAGATTTGACCCAATAAACAAACTTAAAATGAATTTTTGGCTTGGGAGGATAGCCCAGCACTAGAGCAATTGAATTGCATGTGTGTGGTGCTGGGTCCAATCTTGGTCACCAGCAAATCTCATACATACACAGGTAAAAATCACATATGCGGGTCTCTCTGTATTCACGCCAACCTACACACCCGTGGGTATTTTCGGAACTGACATGCTTCCACCTTGCCTCCTCCACTCTTAGAAAACTGAGTTCACGGTGAAGAACACACAGGTGCGAGGCGGGTACGTGCTGCACGTGGGGACCATCTACGGCAGCCTGCAGGTGGGGGACCGCGTCCGGCTGTTCATCGATGAGGTGAGCTGCGTCACTCTGCTGCACAGGGGCTGGTCAGTTATTGCCCGAGTTCTGCATGGATGGGGTGAGCGGGGACCAAGAGACAATGGAGGCAGCATGCTGGCACTCTGATGGGGGTGGCATGCTGCACCCTCTTACAGGGCTGTATGTCAGGGCACTGCCTGACTATAAAAGTGTAGCTATGCCCACCTGTGCTCAGAGCTTCCTCCTGGCTCTGCACTCAGGGGTCACTCCCGGTGGGGCTCAGGGGACCATATTGGGTGCCACAGATCAAACCTGGATCAGCCATATACAAGGCAAGTGCTGTACTCTCTGGCCCCACAGACCAATCATTGACCAGAACTTAGTCCTTGGCTGAGTTCCACCTCCAGACCTAGCTGGGGATGCCCCAGCAACTTAGCATCTGAGAAATGTTACCTTTCTTCTGGGCAACATGTGTCCAACTAAAATTTCTAGTGCAGATTTGTGATGGGGCTATGCCCATTGTCAGTTGCAGATTTTTATTGTAGGGGCCAGAGAGAGGAACCCAGGTTTAAGGCACACGCCTTGCTGTAACTGATGCTAGTTTGATCCGCTCAGCCTTTCCAGGCATGGTCTTGGAAACCCCGAACGGCATTGGGTGGCCTGGGTTATCCCTGGCAATAGCCCGGGGAGCATCACCTCCTCGGACCCTCTCATTGGACCACAGATCTGGTGGGCTGAGAAGCTCGGAGGGCCCCGAGGTCTCCTGCATATCACTTCAGAGGTTTCCCCCACCCCAGGAAAACCTAGGAAATACACATTTTAAGTTGAAAATGCATTTATGAGGCCAGAGAGCTAGTGTTTTTTGTTTTGTTTTGTTTTTTAAAATTTTTATTAGTGAAGGGACCGGAGCGATAGCACAGCGGGGAGGGCGTTTGCCTTGAACGCGACCGACCTGGGTTCGATCCCCGGCATCCCATATGGTCCCCCAAGCACCGCCAGGAGTAATTCCTGAGTGCAGAGCCAGGAGTGACCCCTGAGCATTGCTGGGTGTGACCCAAAAAGCAAAAAAAAAAAAAAATTTTATTAGTGAAACACCATGAGGTACAATTGTAGACTTACAAATTTTTGTGCTTGGGTTTTGGTTATACAATGATTGAGTACCCCGGAGAGCTAGTTTTTAAGGGGCTGGAGCCCAGGGTCTGAATTCAGGAACCTTCAGTGGGCCAGATGGGGCCCAGACTCTTGAATGCTGGAACCTTCCGTGGGCCTGATGGGGTCACGGTCTGGATGTAGTCACCTTGGATCCGTCCTTGGCATTGCTGTCTTGTTCCCTGGGAGCATCAGTGGGAGTAGCCCCTGGCACAAAGCCAGGCTTGGATGTGGTCCCACTCCCCAAATGATGCATTTAAGGGGGAGGAATAGAAAGTTTGAAAAGGGGTGTACACACTTAATACACCTGGCCTATTGAACAGCATAGTAACTCAGCATAAACTGAAATCATTCGGACACCTACATTAGCTTCTGGCTGGGCCAAGTTATCGCAGTTAGGAAGTGTCACTAGCATGTGGCCTCAGCTGAGTACTGCATGAGGTGGGAGGTAAGAAGACAAACCGATATGCTGGAAACACTTGCCGGGGTGCATTCTGGTGTCTCTGTGATCAGGGGGCTGAAGGGGACGCCTTGGGGGCGCCCCCATCAATACAGGGCTGTGATGTCACATCCGGCTCACTCTGGAGGAGACCTAGATCTGATGTGTGCGGGTATTGCTTCTGCACTGCCCTAAAGCGGAGACATTTTCAGTGTCGTGAGTGGGGAACTAGCTCAGGGGAGAAGGTGAGGCCAGGAGGGGGTCAGCGCAGTTGCTGGCCGGCCTCTCCACCAGCTCCTCCACCTGCCCCACAGCCCCGCCGCAGACCCGTCATGAGCAACCACACGGCCACCCACATCCTCAACTTCGCGCTGCGCTCTGTGCTGGGGGAGGCCGACCAGAGAGGCTCCCTGGTCGCGCCCGACCGCCTGCGGTTCGACTTCACAGCCAAGGGGGCCATGTCTACCGAACAGATCAAGAAGGCCGAGGAGATTGCTAACGGGATGATTGAAGCAGCCAAGGTGGGTTGGGTCCCGGGCCCTGGAGCCTCCTGCCTTCTGCACCATCACCTGGTACCCAGGAGCTTCTGCACCAGCCCAGGGACCAGTCCCTACTTGGCGGGCAGATTTCCTTCAGGCAGTGCTTCTCAGATCTGCCCAGTAGGGGGCAGTAATGGAGGCTGGTGAAGGAGTTTGTGTGTATGTGTGAGGGGCGGGGAGGAGGTTGGTGAGTCCACGGGCAGACAGAAATCCTGATACACAGTCCATGTACCTTTTGACACGATACTTGAAAGTTCTTGTGATTCCCTGGTCTGGCTTTGGGTGGCTCTGGCTATTGATTGGGTGGAGGTGGGCTTAGAAACCCAGAGTGGCCGCTGCCCGCTGCCCCAGAGAATGTGCCCAGCTTGTTCTCTCTGCCCGCTTTTGCAGCCAGTCTACACCCAGGATTGTCCCCTAGCAGCAGCGAAAGCCATCCAGGGCCTGCGGGCTGTGTTTGACGAGACCTATCCTGACCCCGTGCGTGTCGTCTCCATTGGGGTCCCGGTGTCCAAGCTGTTGGATGACCCCTCGGGTCCTGCTGGCTCCCTCACTTCCGTGGAGTTCTGTGGAGGAACGTGAGTGGCTCGGTGTGGGGTGGGGCCTTCATCCACTGACTCCTCAAGGGAGCCTCCTGGGAGGGACTAATCTCACAGGGCTCCCAGGCAGTGGTGAGGACCAGGGCACCTGGCTCGGCTTCCTCGTCACCCCCAACTCTGTGTCCTGCCACCAGGCACCTGCAGAATTCGAGCCACGCGGGCGCTTTTGTGATCGTGAATGAAGAAGCTATTGCCAAGGGCATCCGGCGGATTGTGGGCGTCACGGGTGCGGAAGCCCAGAAGGTGAGCAGACGTGGGACCCGGGATGACAGTCTAGGCAGCGCTGCCCTGGGGGATATCCCGGCTCCTGCTGCCGTCTCCTGCTCTGTTTCCTCTGGAGAAGCCTGTGGAGTTCTGCTCTCGGTGCAAGGGAATGGCCACCCACCCGCCTCTGGGTGCATCATTGCTGCCGTGGCACCAGCACCCTCAGCCCTGGCCCATGTCTCCTGGGGGGTTGGGGGGAGGTGCCTCTGGAGTCTGAGGACTGTTGCTTTGGGTGGTGGGGCCTGTCACTTGTGGCCGATGTCTGTGGAAACCTGCAGGTGACCATTTCTGGGTAATAAGGGCTGTGCCTTGAGTTCTTGGGCAGCCCCTGACCCTGTGTGGTTCAGCCTTTCTGCTGGCCAGTAAGGCCCGTGAGGCAGTGCTCCTCTGGAGCACAGGAAACCGCCGCTGTTGAGGCAGGCATGTGTGCGGGCCCACAGCCTGCCACCTGTGCCCGCCCCTGATTACAGACAGGATGACCTGACCCAGATCTGTCCCTGACCGTTCCCTTCCAGGCCTTGCGGAAAGCAGAGAGCCTGAAGAATTCCCTCTCGGACATGGAGGCCAAAGTCAAGGCCCAGACTGCACCGAATAAGGACGTGCAGAAGGAGATCGCAGACCTTGGTGAGGTAGGGACCCTCTACTGCCCACCCCCTCTCTCCTCACCCTGGCTCTGGGGGCTTCCTGCATGCCCAGAACAGGTGGGCACACTGCCAGCTGGGGTCCAGGTTTCTCTTTCCTGGCCCTTCTAGAAGGTGACCAGTCGAGACCCGTGGGTCCTGTTTTGTTTACTTCCTTTGAGGCATTAGTCGGGCAGGACTCGGGTGTTTGAAGCCAGAGGGGTGAGATGGGCTGGACCCTTGTGCTCTTGCTCCCGTGTCCGACCCAAATGGCCTTCCGGTTCTGGTTCTAGGCCCTGGCCACCGCGGTGATCCCCCAGTGGCAGAAGGATGAATTCCGGGAGCATCTCAAATCCCTGAAGAAAGTCATGGATGACCTGGACCGTGCCAGCAAAGCCGACGTCCAGAAACGAGTGAGTCCTGGCCCGGGCTGCAGGGGCGCCTGACGCTCTGCCCCCAGGGGCATGCAGGCTGTAGTCTGGGCAGCGGCTGGGCCTAGCCCTGACTCCTTTCTGGGGGACTCCCTCCCTTCAGGTGTTGGAGAAGACGAAGCAGCTCATCGACAGCAACCCCAACCAGCCCCTCGTCATCCTGGAGATGGAGAGCGGCGCTTCGGCCAAGGCAACTCAGGGCTGGGGCTCCCTCCCACGCATGCCGGGCACGCCGGGCCTGTTGTCTGCTGCCTCCCACCCTGGGCTCCCTTCAGCTCTGGCTGCCTGAGGACCCCCTGCCTGGCACTGAGCGTCCCTTCCCGAGGCTGTCGCCGTCAAGCTCCTCGGACTGCCCCTGCTCTAAGGCTGGGGGCTGCTCTGAGAACCGCCGCCTGGCCTGATCCCAGCTTCTCCCCACAGGCCCTGAATGAAGCATTGAAGCTCTTCAAGACGCATTCCCCTCAGACATCTGCCATGCTCTTCACGGTGGACAACGAGGCCGGCAAAATCACGTGCTTGTGTCAAGTCCCCCAGGTCAGAGCTCTGTGCTGCGTGTGCCCGCGGGGGGCTTTTCCTACGGGAGTGTGGATCTCCGAGCTGTCTGGCGAGACCCCCAGGGGCCCTTAGTCAGCATCTAGCCGCATCCCCCGGGGCTCTGCTTTCTCCAGCCCATCTTTCTTGACTCCCGCTCTCCACTTTTCTCTTCCAGAACGCAGCCAATCGGGGCCTGAAAGCCAGCGAGTGGGTCCAGCAGGTGTCCGGCCTGATGGATGGCAAAGGGGGTGGCAAAGATGTGTCCGCGCAAGCCACAGGCAAGAACGTGGGCTGCCTGCAGGAGGCACTGCAGCTGGCCACTTCCTTCGCCCAGCTCCGCTTGGGAGATGTCAAGAACTGAGGGGAGGCCCAGCTCCCATGGGGCAGTGCGGCCCTCGCCCAGGTGGACCGTCCCAGCCACAAGGACACTTGAATCTCGGGACGTTTAAACTCTCTCACCTGCCTGCCTAACCCAGCAGTAACTGGAGCTCACCTGGGAGCCGGCCGGTGCCCACATTACATTTCTGCCCTGCGCCGTCCACATTGGCACCGCCCGTCTAGAACCACTTTCCCAGGGTTGCTATTTATCATCCTCGCACTCATGTCTACCTATGAACTCTGCAGGACGGAGGCTCTGGGCTGTAGACAGGAGCCACCTGTGCTGCAGAGAATTAAAGGACCATGTGCAATACTTGATGATGTCGTGTGATCTCAAACCTTGGGCCGTTGCCCCTGGGTCCCTGGTTGTGGGCAGAACAAAGGCTGTGGCCCGCACTGGCTTCTGTTTGTAAGAAGTCCTCCGTCCTGCTCCAAAACCCTGTACGTGGGGGTGGCCCCTGGGATTGACTCAAGCAAGGTAACTGGAGGTGGAGTGAGAGAGGGAAGGCCTTAATCATTCTATTAAAGATACTCCCAGCAATTTCTAAATACTATGAGGGAGGGCCCTCCCCCCCCCCCCCCCCCCCCCGCAAGAGAACCCCACTAGTGCTTAGGCCTCCATTCCTCCATTCCTCTGGCCCTTCTGATGTTGGGGTCAGGCAGTGCCTTGGAAGCCTCCACTGGCCATCCCATCGTTTTTCCTTCCCTGATCCGGAGGACAGTGAACATGGAGCCCTCTCCTGCCCTGACTGTCTCACCCACTTTGTACCCACATGTGAAGACAGCTGAAGTCGGGAACGGACCGCAGGGAGGTTGAAGGTACCCTTGACTGCTGCTGCTGCCGCATTTCACGTCTGAGTATGGCAGGCTGCTCCCGGTTGCAGGGTTGTTCAGCTCAGAGCAGGCAGAGGGCCAGGCTTCAAGATATGTGCCAGGGAAACAAAGTTCACCGTCCAGTGTTGGGGAGAGCTATTTATTCATGCACTGATGCCACTGAACGTCACAGCCCAGTGTGAGGGATAGGTGGTTCATTCATTCATTCATTCATTTATTTATGCCACTCTGGGCACTGAGGTCACCGGAATGAACCAGATGAAAGGTTTGCCCCTCTTGGGCGAGGGCAGTGAGAAACACGGATAAAATAGTCACACCAAAAGTGCAAGTTTCGGGATCGGAGAGAGAGTAAGGGGATCAAGGGCTTTTCCTTGCACGCGTTACACCCCGCTCAATCCCCAGCAACCGCATACGGTTTCCCCAGCATCGCAGGTGGAGCACGGCCGGGGGTGATCCTTGAAGGCAGTGCCAGGAGCGAAGCCCTGGGGATGGCCGGTTACAAACCCCGTAAGCAAATTTTAACTAATTCAGTGTTTCCAAGTGAAGGACTTAAGCCCTGGCCCCAGGAGGCTTCCGGCCGTGCCCGGAACCCGGAGCCCCCGCCTCAACCCCCGCCCCGCCCCCCGGCGCAGGGGGCGGGGCGCGCCGCGAGCCGCTTCCCGACAGTCCCCGCACGCGCACGCGCGGCGTGAACCGGGCGGAAGCGCGGGCGAGCCGGGCCGGCGGCCGGGCGGAAGCGGCACGCACGCCGGGGCCGCCATGCCTGGGGACCACCGCCGCATCCGCGGGCCCGAGGAGTCGCAGCCGCCGCAGCTGTACGCCGCCGAGGAGGAGGCCGAGGCGCCCGCGCCGCGCGACCCGACGCGGCTGCGGCCCGTGTACGCGCGCGCGGGGCTGCTGAGCCAGGCCAAAGGCTCGGCCTACCTGGAGGCGGGAGGCACCAAGGTGCTGTGCGCCGTGTCGGGCCCGCGCCAGGCCGAGGGCGGCGAGCGCGGCGGCGGCCCGGCGGGCGCGGGCGGCGAGGCCCCCGCCGCGCTGCGCGGCCGCCTGCTCTGCGACTTCCGCCGCGCGCCGTTCGCCGGCCGCCGGCGCCGCGCCCCGCAGGGCGGCGGGGAGGAGCGCGAGCTGGCGCTGGCGCTGCAGGAGGCGCTGGAGCCGGCCGTGCGCCTGGGCCGCTACCCGCGCGCGCAGCTCGAGGTGTCGGCGCTGCTGCTCGAGGACGGCGGCTCGGCGCTGGCCGCCGCGCTCACGGCCGCCGCGCTCGCCCTGGCCGACGCGGGCATCGAGATGTACGACCTGGTGGTGGGCTGCGGCCTGAGCCGCGCCGCCGACCCCGCGGCCGCCTGGCTGCTGGACCCCACGCGGCTCGAGGAGGAGTGCGCCGCCGCCAGCCTCACCGTGGCGCTCATGCCGGTGCTCAACCAGGTGGCCGGCCTGCTGGGCAGCGGGGAGGGCGGCCCGACCGAGAGCTGGGCCGAGGCCGTGCGCCTGGGCCTCGAGGGCTGCCAGCGCCTCTACCCCGTGCTGCAGCAGTGCCTGGTGCGCGCCGCCCGCCGGAGGGGCGCCGCCGCGCCGCCCTGAGGACCCGCCGCCCGCCACGCTGCACCCCGGAGAGAGGATCGGTTCCCGTCGCCGCGCGCCGCCGTGGCGCTGGACGAGCCACTGGGTTGGTCGCGCCGAAACTGTTCCATCAGGATCCTTTGGTAACCTTGGAGAAACCAGCGAATGCCGCCCGGGTCGCGGGGGGAGGGGCTGCGGATGAACTGGCCTGGAGCACAGCACCCCGAGGAACTGCACCCTGTCCCGCAGCCCAGACTGAGCCCGGCTGTCGCGAAACTGCTTTGGGCCGAAGGAAGAAGGACCAGGGGGCCTGTGCCTTCTCGTTGGTTTCTGAACTGAAAACAAAACTCTTTTAAAAAAAAAAACAAACGTAAAAAGTCCTTTTGGTGTTTCTTGGTACAGGATTTCAGGGAACAGGCCCCTGCCTAGCAGGGCAGTGTGTTTCCGAACCCAGGTGTGAAGGGCTGGCTATGGTTAATGGAGAGAAGCGTGCCCAGGGGAATTTGTCCTCAGAGGGCCACTGCAGCAGCACAGGGAGGGGTGTGACCCCTGGAGCACGCGGGCACCCCCAGCCCCCTGATTGAGTGTTGGGGCAGGATGACAGCTCCGACTTGAGCAGCGGGAAAGGGTTTGTTTCTGGGGGAAGCGGGGTCCTACCCTTCCTCCACCGTGTTCAGAGCAGCACAGCCGGGGCCTCCTCTGCTGCTAGAATAGGGGTGAAAATAGGGGTGCAGACTGGCTTCATTACCCTGAGCCCATGTTCTGGCTGGGCGGGGTGGATTGACAGGTACACTGCTGGAAGAACTTGAGACTGGGAAGCAGAAACAGCCTTGACACTTGTTGGGCGGAGATGGTCTGACCAGAGGCCCCTAGAGGTGAAATTCCTGGTCCCCACAGCAAGGGGTGGGTGGGCTTGGTGTGTGTGGCTAGGAAGGGTTGTCCCTGGGCCCCGAGGACCAGAGGGTGTAGGGGAAAGAAACATTCTATTTTTCCCTTCCTAGCAATACATTTGTGCCCAGAACTAGGTATGAAGTACACAAGCAGCAGACAAGATGCAAACAAGGTCTACAAGGATCCTCCTTACCCCTGCTTTTTATTTATTTTAGAGACCACAAGCACTGGTGGTATTTAATAAGACTTTGAACATTGGTGCCAGAGGTGGATTCCCGGTCTCCTGCATGCAAAGCAGGTGCTCAACCAGTTTAGCTCTGGCTGCGGTATCCCCATCCAGAAGGGTAGAGTAGTGGGGAGTCAGGAACAAGAAAAGGGGGATTTGGGGGAATGGGTCAAAGACTTCACAGCTCACTGGGACTGTAGAAACAGTTCTGTGTACCACCTGCAAGAGAAAATTGGACTGGCGGGGCTTGAGGTGGTATTTGGCAGTTAGACTGGGCTGTCCCGCACAGGACCTGCCCAGCTGCCCCTTGTAAGAGGCGTCGCTACTACCTGAGGATGCTGAACTGGTATCAGGCATTTGCCAACTCCTCTGATGACCTCTGAGGCTTTTGCCACCAAAGAGAGGTGGTTTGGAGGAGTCTGCCTCACTTGCCCTCTCGAACAGTGCTTTGGAGACAGAACCACCAATGGGCCACAGACAGTACGAAGGTTAAGGCACTTGCCTCTCACGTGGTTTGGGGCACAACCCGGGTTCAGATCCTGCATATGGCCCCCTACATGGTGAGCAAAGGGGCCAGTGGGCAGGCCAGGAAGGCCACGTGTGCAGCTCCACCGGCAGGAAATAGCAGGTCTCAACCCCCACCTCCCATTTTGTGTGTTTTTCTTAAAATTCTAAAGCGGGAGCAGGAATCAGGTCAAAGAATAGTCCTCCTGGGGCTGGTGTGACTTGGGCCTTCTGGAGCCCAGTAGCTGTGCTGGGAACAACCAGATAGGTGGACAAAGGGACTCCCCAGCAGCCCCTGACAGCATGACCCCGGGGAGAGGGTGTGGCTGCAGAGAAGTTTCAACCATTTAGTCCTGTCTCCTGCCCAGGTCAGGAGCCACAGCTTCCCAGGGGAGCTCCTCAGACAGCCAAAGGGCGGCAAAGGGCAGCTGTCTGAGCTGCAGTGAGCTTGCTAGGTGTGCTCCAGAGGTCCGTGATAATTCCTCGGCGATGCTTCAAACCTACCTTCATGGACCGCTGGGGTGGCTTGGGCAGCACGCCCACATGTGTAAGACCCTGCAAAACAAGTAAACTGTCCCTCCTGGGCAGTCAGAACTCATTTAACTGAGCCCACCTGGACATCTGAGCTCTATGGTGGAAGTTGTAACTTCCCCTCAAACACGGGGAGAGGATGGAGGTGCCGAGGCACCCCAGCCACACACTGCCACCTCTGTACCGGCCTCTCACCTCCGGAACCCTCAATCCCAGGGCTCCTGTTCACCGCTGTTCAGGGGAGTCACCGGCCAGTGACAGAGGGTCAATACTAACGACCTCAAAGCCACCAGGATCCCCAAGCCCCAGGAACAGCAGGGGTGTGTATGTTGGGTGGGGAAGGATGGGGAGAGGGAGGCCCTGGGAAAGCTTGAGGCAGGAGCCAGGGAGCTGGGAGGAGCCTGGCCTGGACTCCCCGACTTCTGCTGGTGCTGGTGCGCCAGAGTACAGCCAGCAGTGTGCCTGGTTTCAGCTCAACTGCCCCACGAGGGAGGGGATAGGGCATAGCACTGGGTTTCCACCAGCTGGCTGTGGGCTCAGGAACAGCAAGGAGAGGGTCATGCTCCTGCTGTGTCATACAGAGGCTTTGTGGGGATCAAAGCTGCTCTGAGCCTCCAATCCACAGGAACACTAAGGATCTTTACAGGGCAAAGCTGATGAGTGGGGGTGGGGCGGAGGGGGGTGTCTTCCCTTCATTTGGGAAGGCCGGGGACAATCCTCTAGGCTTCCCCAGCAAAGAATGAAAGAGAAAGTTAAGTCTGTTGCCAAAGCTACCTGGGGACGCCAAAGCCTTTAAGGGGTGTGTGGGTGTCGGCAGGATGTAGGGCCAAAGGGCGGGCGGGGGTAAAGGCCAAACTCCCTTCACTTGGACCCGGAACCGAACCCGGGGAGAGAGACTGGCCCCGGCTCTCACCGCCTCTGCTCAGGCATGTCTCCTGCCACCGTATTCCAGGGACAGGACGGGCGGGCGGGGACGACCCAGACGGGCAGCAGGTCCCTCCGGGGCAGGACGGGCTATGTGGGGGGCCGCAGCCGCCGCTCAGGCCCCCAGCCCGGGGCTCGGCGGGTAGGGTGAGCCGGCAAAGCCCGCAGTCACGGCTCCAGCTGAGAAAAGCGCGCGCCTCGGCGGGTCCCTGGGCGGAAAAGAGCGGGGGCTCGGGGGTCCTTCCCTCCCGCGGGGTCCGAGCTCTGTCGGGGAGATCTCCCATCACCCCAGGGAGTGGCCGGGGAGGGCGGCCCGGGACCCACAGGGCGCAGATCCGGGGGTGGGAGGCGGGTCCTGGGGGCGCGGGAGCGGGAACCCCAGGCCGGGGAATTCTTGCTCCGCCGGGCCCTCCCGGGCTGCCTGGGACCCCCTGGTGTCCGCTTTCGGCTTGCACTGCCGCGGAGACCGGCCGTGGACCACCTGAGCCGCAAAAACACACCCTACTTCGTCGCGGCATTGGTGGTTCAGTGGTAGAATTCTCGCCTGCCACGCGGGAGGCCCGGGTTCGATTCCCGGCCAATGCATGACTCAAGATTTTAGCCTTTTTTTTTTTTTCTTTTTTTTCTTAAACCACACGAGAGTGATCAGAGACAGATGTGCGAAACAAAACCAGGCTCTCGCCACCCGCTTAGTTCACGGCTGGGGCCTGCGCCCTGGAGGTGCGGCGCGTGGCGGGGCGTTTGGGCTTCAGGGCGCATGCGCCGTTTCTGCTGCCCGGGCTCTGCCCACCGCGGGGGTGTCCGCACACTGGCCCGGAGGTGAGTCAGGAGTCCAGGGAGCTGCGACAGGGAGAGGCTGCTCGCGCCGCCGTGCCCGGGGCTCCTTCCTGCAGGGGTTCAGGCGCTCGTGAAAACGCCCGGGAGAGAGGCCGGAGCGCGTGCACCCGGCCGAGCTGTGCCCCCTGTGCACGGGGATACTGTGCCCCCTGGGTCGGTGGGGGGCTCAGCTAGGGGCTGGGAGAGGGTTACTCATCAGTCCCGGGGAGCCCAGGGCAGAGCAGGCGGTGAGCCTGCTTCTGGCTGCGGTTCCCTGGCCAGGTCTGGGTGCTGAGGGATGTGGGGGGGGGGGGAGGGGCCCCCCGTGCTGCATGGTTTGTCCTTCCTGGATCCTCTCACTGGATGGGGGGGTGGGAGGGATACTGAGACCCGTGGTGGTGGAAAATGGGCACTGGTGGAGGGATGGGCATTTGATCATTGTATAATTGAAACCCAAGCACAAAAATTGTAAGTCTACAGCTACCTCATGGTGTTTCACTAATAAAAAAAAAAAAGTACTAGTCCCCCTCTCTCTGTCCTCTGAGGATCTTGGCCCTTGCTCATTCCCAGTTGCTCCCCAAACCAGTCCGCAGCACTCTCACCCTCTCCCGGCCTGGGTGTTTGCTACCTGCAACAGGCAGGAACCAGTCAGCCTGTGAGGCTTGTCTGCTGTGGAAACACCGACCCAGGTCTGGGGTCACTCTCCTGGGCGCTCCTGCTGCCAGTCTGTGTCTGTCTCCTGAGCTGGCCCTGGGCTGGCTGTGTCTGCATTGGCTGGAACTGCAGGAGAGTGGAAGTCTGGGCTCTCAGCTCAGGCCCACCCTCTCACTGGGGCCCAAGGCACACTCCTTTTCCTACCAAATCTCTGCTCTGAGTCTCTGGCCAGGCAGTCAGTAACTGTGAGTCTTGACCCCGGGAGACAGTTCAATGTCCTGCAGCATGTGCCTTGCATGTAGGACGCCCAGATTCCATTCCTGGCACCACATTGTCTCCTGAGCACTTCCAGAAGTGGCCCCTGAGCACTTATCTGCGAGCTTCCTAGCCTTATTCAGTGAAGGAGCCACCAAACAAAATGGTGTGAGTTGGGCCAGAGCAATAGTCTAGCACTTAGCCTTGCACATGGCTGACCTGGGTTCCATCTCGTGTACCCCATATGGGCCCCAGCACCACCAGGAATGATCCCTGGGCATAGAGTCAGGAGGAATCCCTGAGTACTATCAGCCATGGCCCCAAAACAAAACAAAATGTGTGAATCAAAAAAAATTTTTTTATGTGAGTTGTCCCTTTATTCACCAGGCAGCAGGGCAAAGGTTGATCATACTTGGGGTGCTCAGAATCCATCCAGGTCATACCCGGCCATTTTTAGGGGCCACCAGGGCCATTCCTGGCAGTGTTCAGAGATCATGCTGTATTGGAGATTGAATTCAGGGCCTTGGACGTGGGCTTTGTTTCATTTGGGGGGTCCTGCAGGGCTTGGGAGACCCAGGTGCTGGAGGTTAGGTGCTTTAAACCATCATCCTGCTCCTGAGAACTTTTATGTTAACAAATGAGGGTTTGGGCTAGAGAAATAATGGTTCAGTGGGCGAAATACATGCTTTGCATGCAGGAAGCTTAGGATTTGATTCCCAGCACTGCCAGGAGTGACCCTAAACACTAAGAAGTAGTCCCTGAGCACTGCTGGGCATGGGCCCTCAACCAAAATAAAACAAATGGGGTATAGATAGAATAATGTTGTTAAAGAAAAAACAAATACAAAGCAAGACAGAGAGCTAGCTCAGTGTTCGCTCCCACCAAACTCTGTTCAAGGCACCGTAGTACATTTTCTCATTTACTATTATTATTGGGGGGGGGGGGCATGACCAGCTTTACTCAGGGATCATGCCTGGGGACCACATAAGGTGCTGGGATCTAGCCCCAGTTGGCAGAGTGCAAAGTGAATCCCCTTCCCGCAGTGCTGTCTCTCCGACCCCATAATCACAATCTAGTATCCTCACTTACAGAGGAAATGTTTTTGGGTGACCTAGTTTCCATTTCTTGTGACTGAGGGGTTGGGGGCTTTCCCAGGATGTGGGGCTTTGAGGGCAACAACCAGGCTAGGTCCAGGCAGCCTGGGAAGGGGTCCCCTAGGTCTGAAGTCACTTGTCTCACGTCCCATTAAAGGGCAGAGCCTGATCTCCAGTTCAGGGGTCTGATTTTGGACTCCGGCTCGCTGGGCAAGTGCCTTACTTGCTGTACTGTCTCTCTGACCCCCTTGCAGATCTTGGTCCCAACACCAGCCTGGCAAGTGTGAAAGCATTCCACCAGGGGAGATGATCTCTGTCTCTCTCTGTCTCTGTCTCTCCCCTCTGTCCCCCTGCTCCCCAGAGCTGTGTCATGTAGTCAACAGCCACGCCTTGTCATGCACTCTGCTCTCTTTCTGAGTCATCTGACTTCCCTTTCAAATGGGCACTCTCATGGCTGGGAACATGGGGATACAGGGCCCCGCGTCTGACCCCTGCCACCGCACACCTGCACACACACGCACACACATTTAAAATCTGAGTCCACTGAGTTTATTCTCTTGGGGGAATGCATCCTGGGCTGCAAGGAACCTCCATTTGACTAGGGGATTAGCCCACGGGAAAGAGGTGAGTGCCAAATTGAGCCCATCTGAGCTAAAGCAGGTTGAAGGGCCCCCAGGCCCTTCCCTGGCACCAGGCGCCCCGCTCACCCCACTATCTCCCACCCCTCTTCCTGCACAGTTGGAGCCCTTGTAGATGTTGTCTCATGGCCCTGCAGGACCCTCCTGCAGACATGCGGACAGGAAGGTATCCCTGAGCACTGGCACTGGCGGGGTGAGGCCTGGCCAGCCTCACGGCCCTGGGTCCCACCGGGAAATGTGAGCCTCAGCTGAAAGGAAGCAGAGGGGAGCGAGGCTCAGTGGCTGCCTGGGCAGTCCTGATGGTGACTCTGCCTGTGTCCAGAAGCACATGTGACTCTCCAGAACCTTCTAGAAGCAGCTGCTGGAGGTGGGCTCTTTGCCTGCAGCTTCTTCCACTGGGATCCCACAGGCAAACGGGTTGTTGGAGAAGCTTCTCATTCTAGAGCCCTGTGGTACCTCAGAGGGGACCTGCTATGTGATGGCAAGGTCCCTGGCAGGACCCTCTCAGTGGCCCGGGCAGTGACCTGATCCACAGAGCTGCCTGCAGTGGCAGCGGGGAGTCTGGGGAGGGGGGGAGGGCGGAGAGAAGAGGCGGGCACCGCGGGCACTCACTGAACTGGCAGATGTAACGGTTCCGGGTTCTGCAGCGTTGGTCATTCCAGTCGAAGGCGGACGAGGCTTGCAGCTCCACACAGTTGCCAAACCTGCCGGCAGAGAGTGGGGGGCTTGGGATGGAAGGATGAACTTAGGGGAGTGGCAAAGGCTGATATCCTCCCCTGGCCTGCATCCATCCCATGGGGTGGGGGTAGACCCACCCCCGAACTCCATTCCAATCTTGCTCTGTTCTTTCTGAACAGTTCAGCAGGTGTGTGTGTGTAATTTTCCTGGTTGCTCTGTGTGTGTGTGTGTGTGTGTGTGTGTGTGTGTGTGTGTGTGTGTAATTTCCCAGGCTGCTCTGTGTGTGTGTATGTGTGTAATTTCCCAGGCTGCTCTGTGTGTGTGTGTGTGTGTGTGTGTGTGTGTGTGTGTGTGTGTGTAATTTCCCAGGCTGCTGAGCAGGACAGCTACCTGCACCTGCTGGGTGCTGTGTGCTGAGAGGTCAGGTGGAAAAGGACTGGAGAGCTATCTGTGGCCCGGCTGCCTCCCATGTCCAGACCTTAGGCTTTGAAGCCTGAGCTGTGTCATGTAGTCAAAGACCTAGCATAACTAGCTTTTGCGTGTGTGTGTGTGTGTGTGTGTGTGTGTGTGTGTGTGTGTGACTGGGTGCAGGCAGGGCACAACCCAGGTGTTTATAAAGGTGGGAGTTTCAGTGGGAGGAAGTGTGAAGGGTGGGATGGGTTGAGGGTGTGCCCCAGGGTCACACTGACGTGCCCACATCTGATTGGGCCCCTGAGAAGCCCAGACCCTCAGAAGGTTGGGCCAGGCAGTCAGTTGGGGGGTTTTGCGCATCTTCAGGATCATCAGAAGGCTCAGAGAGGGGAAAGGGGATAGGACAGCAGGGACAGCGCTTGCCACACCTGCAGCCATCCTGGGTTTCATCCCTCGCACCCCACATGGCTCCATGAACCCCTCCAGGAGTGACCATGAGTTGCCCCGCCAGGAGCAAGCCCTGAGCACTGCTGGGCATGCCAGAAAAAAAAACAACATTCAGCAAGAAGGTTCAGGGAAGAGGGGTCCCCAGACTCACCCCTGGTTGTCAGGCTGTCCAAAGGCAAAACTGGAGAAGGACTGGCGCTCCCCAGTACCCCATCGGAAGGCATCCTTGGCGGCCTTGTAGGTGAGCCCTGGCCCCGGCAGCGAGATTGACCTTACTCCCTGCCACGTTCCAAGCTGGGCCCCCAGGACTGTCTGTCCTGCCCCAACATGGCCCGCCCTGCTGTGAGGTTCCTTCCTGCAGCCTTCTCCCAGGAAAAGAGGCCCTGCCTGACCTCTGTCCCCTTCTGTTCCCAGACCTCACTCCTACAGCCCCCACCCCCCACCAGGCCCTCACCGATCCAGAAGTTCCTGGTCTCCACGTCGCCATGGGTGACCTCGTTGGTGGTCTCCAGACGGCCCAGGTAGAAGGCGAGGATGTCCTGTACTTTCTGGCTCTCAATCTGGGCTAGCACCCCTCCTCTTCCCTGGAACCCCCACTCGGCGTCACCTGGCCAGGCCCCAGGGCCAGTCCAGCCAGCCCTTCTGGTCCATCCCGCCACGTGCTGTGACCCGGGCTGTGGCTTTGCAGGGCAGACTGCCCCTTTCACCTCCTACTTTTGAACTCGGGGTATTCCAGTTTCTCTTCCCTGTGCATGGGACCCAGATGGACCCTTGGAAGGATTTAACTACCTGCACCAAGTCTCAAAGACATACTAAATTGGGCATCAGTGCAAATGAATACAGAAATGCCACCAAAAGTCTGAATTTTCGGTTCTCTTTAAAAATCTTGGGGCTGGACCTTCGGAAAACAGTATGGACGATTCTCAAAATTAGAAATTGAGCTCCCATTTGACCCAGCAATTCCACTCCTGGGAATATATCCCAGAGAGGCAAAAAGGTATAGTCGAAGTGACATCTGCACTTGTTTGTTCATTGCAGCACTGTTTACAATAGCCAGAATCTGGAAAAAAAAACTGAGTGCCCGAGAACAGATGACTGGTTAAAGAAACTTTGGTACATCTACACAATGGAGTACTATGTAGCTGTTAGAAAAGATGAAGTCATGAAATTTACATGCAAGTGGCACTACATGGAAAGCATCATGCTAATGGAAATGAGTCAGAAAGAGAGGGACAGACATAGAAAGATTGCATTCATCTGGGTAACATAAAGTAACAAAATAGGAGACTAACACCCAAGAGTGGCCGAGATTAGTACCAGGAGTTTTGCTCCATGGCTTGGAGGCCAGCCACACATGCTAGGGGAAAAGGCAGCTCAGATAGAGAAGGGAGCACCAAATAAAGGGTGTTGGGAGGATCCTCCTAGGATGGGAGATGCATGCTGAAAGCAGACTATAGACAGAACATGATTGTCTCTCAATGCCTCTTTTGCAAACCACAGCACCCAAAAGGAGAGAGAGAACAAAAGGGAATGCTCTGCCACACAGGCAGGGTGGGATGGGGAGATGGGGTGTGGGAGGGCTACTGGGATCCGTGGTGGTGGAAAATGGGCACTGGTGGAGGGATGGGCACTCGATCATTGTATAACTGAAGCCCAAGCACAAAAATTTGTAAGTCTACAACTGTACCTCATGGTGTTTCACTGATAAAAATTTAAAAAAAAATCTTGGGGCTGGAGAGAGAGTCCAGAGGTAAGGCATTTGCTTTGCTTGTGACTGACCCTAGTTTGATCCCTGGCACCACACGTGGTCTCCCTGAACCTCACCAGGAGTGATCCCTGAGTGTGGAACCAGGAATAAGTCCTGAGTACTGCTGGGTGGGGCCCCCAATAAACAAAAGCCAAGGGGTTGAAGGAAACTTCTCTGGATCTCTCCACTGAGACTCTGCTTGGGCCCTGGGGAAGGGCCCTAGGAAGGCGCAGCCCGTGGTCACCTGGCATTTCACCTTGGCCCCATAATAGGTGTCGGCCTCTGAGGACACCACGAAGCAGTCTCGGTCGATCCTCAGGTCACAGGTGTGGAAGGGAAACTGCACCTTGGCTGGAGAGAGGGAAGCCTGAGTCTGCATGGAAGCCCCAGGCGTGACCCGCCCTGCCCAGCCCGTGGGGTGGGCCAGTGGTGTGCCCTGAACGTGTGTCAACATGGTGGGGTTTGGACCTGGAGCTGGGGACAGATACCCACTTGGGCTCCCGGGGAGCAGGATCTAGCACCCCGCTGAGGAGGCCTGACGGGGTCTGGCAGGTTGGGGGTCTTATTAGGAACAGGACTCACTGGCACACTGGGCCCCGCCGAAGCCGATGTCACAGACGCAGGAGCACTCCTCTTCCTTCAACCGGCCATGCACACAGGACACGCTGCACCGCACTGCAGGAGAGGGTTAGTGGCTGCCGCTGCACTGCACGAATGGGACTGCAGGGGGCAGCCCTGAGCAACCGCCCATTGCTGGAAGCGTAGGGGGCACTGCACTGCATTGCTGAGACTATAGGGGGCAGCACTCAGCTCCCACCCAGGCCCTCATATGTCATGGGTATACAGGCCTGGCCAACCTCACGGTCACCCCCTCTCAGGGGTGGAACTCATCAGAGTAAGCAACCTCACCCACGTTCACTGTTGGTGCATTCGCTTTGATCTCCATTGTAAGAGAGAAGGGAGTAGGGTTTGGGGGTGACCTGCTCACGATGAAAGAGCTGGCAGCAGGGGGGATGGGAGAAGAAGTCTCTCCTGTCTTTTTCCCAGAGCCCAGGGAGTGACACTGGAACCCTCCCCGCCCCCCCCCCCCCCCCCACTGCACAGAGGGGGCCTGGCATAGCCGTGCTCCGGGCACACTTGCTGAATGTCTTGCTGCCTGTGCAGTTCTGTCAGGGCACAGGGGCACCCCGTTGCCAACCATGTCTCCCTAGAAAGCCCCTCAAATGCTCTTAAACATCACGTTAGTATCTGTTTGGGGCCCCCAGCTCCAAATCCCTGGGGGGCTGCCTGCCTGTGCACTGGGTCCAGAGGCCCCGGGAATGGGGTGCTAGAGTCCACATGTGCCCACCTTGACAGTATCTGCCCGTGTAGCCAGGGGGGCAGTGGCAGCGGCAGGAACTGATGTTGAGACGACCATGATTCCGACAGTGCATGCGACACGGATTCCTGGGGACCTCTGTTCAAACGAGAAGGGAGTCTGAGAGAGGTGTCTCCAGGGCCTGAGGTCCAGGGCGCTGGGAGACAGGCAGGCAGTGGGCACTCACCACAGAGTCCCCCTGTGTGGTCCCAGGCCTTGAAGCATCCTGAGACACTGGCTGTGCAGAGCGAGCACCAGGCACCTTTCTTATAGGGGGCGACCGGCCTCCCGTTCACCTCCCAGTTTCCTCTGTGAGAGCAAGCAGTAGACAGCTAGTTAATCCTGGCCTGGGGATGAGACCCCACTGGCCCCTTCTCACTCCTTCTGGCCCACCCAGGGAGTTGGGTGAGCCAGGGAGATTTCCTAGGTAAGAAGAGATCACCTCCAAACGAATATGGGGAATATGCCCTGAAAGCGTGGAGGGCTTCCAGGAAGTGGCACTGAGAAGCCACTTTCTGTACAGTCAGTCTTGGGTGTTGCTCCCTTCAGCAGCTTCCCCCTTCTCCTTTCTTCCCCGTCCCACCATGAGTGAGGCCAAGGAGCAGAGGCCTTTGGGGTGGGAATCTCCGACATCCCCCCGACCCATCCCCACCCTTCCACCTGTTGCTACTTCATCCACCTAGAGCAAGGCAGTGCCCCCAACATGGGGCTTACCCGGGAGCATAAGCGCAGACAAAAGCTTCCATGTGGGCCTGGGTGCCGGAGCAGGGGTGTCGCGCACAGCCCAGCTGGCTTGAGGTGGCCCACACGAGCTGTAGGAAACAGTGGCGCAGACATTCATCATATGCTCACACACACACACACATACACATACACACACATACACACACAAACGCACACACGCATGCACGCACACAGCATGCCCCAGCCGTGGGTCAGTAGCACAGCTGGGGCTTGTCTCAGAAGGAGGAGACACAACCTTAGCCTCAAACCAGGCCGACAGTGTCTGCAGTGACCTCTGGGTTGCAGGGCGAGGAGAAGGACGGAATCAAGAAATACCCAGGAGGGCGTGGGCAGAGAGAGAAGAGAGGGTATCCCAGATGAGTACCCAAGCTGAACGCCGGAAAGGTTTTCTCTGGGTGGGGTGGAGGACAGGGCTTTAGTTGGTAACAGAAACAGAAAACGAGTATTGCTAACAATTGTAGCTGAAGTTTAGGACATATCCTAGATGTGTGAGGTCTTATTCCTGAGCCCACCAGAAAAACACTAGACACACAGGTAGTTCTGATTTCTGAATCTAGGTAGTAGCACAGTGGCCGCCATTACTGGGCCTGTGTTCAGCTGCTGTTGGTCCTTGAGCGAACAGAGGGGCTCAGGAAGCTAACTCTGCAGTGTGTGTGTGTGTGGGGGGTGGCACCACAGGCCGGAGGGCAGCCCTCCATGCGGGAGCCCTGAGCTCAATCCTGCCACACAGTTCCCAAGCACCAAACTAGGAATAGCCCCTGAGCATTGTAGATGTGGCCCCAAACCAAAAACCAAACAAAGAGCATAGGGGCTGGAGTGATAGTTCAGTGGGTAGGGTGTTTGCTTTGCATGCGCCGACCCGGGTTCGATTCCCAGCATCCCATATGGTCCCTTGGGCACCACCAGGAGTAATTCCTGAGTGCAGAGCCAGCAGTAACCCCTGTGCATTGCCAGGTATGACCTCCCCCCCAAAAAATTAAGAGCATAACCATCTTTTTTGATGGTGGTTGTTTGGGGGCCACATCCGGCAAGGCTCAGGGACCACTCTTGGCAGTGACCATGGGACCATACATGGTGCCATGGATTAAACCTAGATCAGCTGCATGTGAGGTAAGTGTCCTCCCTGCTGTATTATCGCTCTGGTGCCATGAGTGTAACTTCGGATCCCCATAAACTAGGACTTGATAGCTCTGAGCCTGGGCATGCATCACTGCTCATGGCCCCCAAGCAGCCAACCCCTGCTTGTAGGGATGAGAAAGCTGTTTGTGGCCCTGCCCAGCGTTGGTCGTGGGACCATACGTTTGCATCCTATTTAGAGGAAAATCTGCATTAGGTGGGCCCCCATGAATTTGAAATCCCTGAAGTTCGGGGATCAACTGGATTGAATATTTAAAACTGGCAAAAGCAACAGGAAACCAAACAGAGGAAAAGTAACCTCTACTTTGGGGAGCGGCTATTGCTCTTTCAGACTGATCCCAGTGGCATGGGACCTGCAGAGCCTCACCTGTGTATAGTGGGTGCACGTGGTATTGTGGGCACACGTGGCCTCCGCAAAGCTGTAGTGCTGCCCCTCTGCGAACCACAGCCCCAGCACATGAGGGAAGGTCGTGGAGCCCAGTGGCAGGCGCTGCACATTCCAGCCCACGTGCAGGGCGACCCCGGGAACGGATGCTGGGCTCGGGGCTGCAGCACCGCACAGGGCTGCCCTGGTCTGAGCCCACTGGGCCAGGCTCTCGCTCCAGTCCTAGGAAAGCACAGACTGACGTTCGCCGGGGCCCAGGTGCCCAGTCTCCCGCTGCCCTGCAGCCCTGCACACCACCGCGGGGACAGAGCCAAGGTCAGGAGTTCTGCTGGCCCCGGCTGACTGCCTGATGAGCTGCTTTCTGCTGCTTCCTGGAGTCGGGAAAGGCCAGACTGGAGCTACAAGGGCTCCGAGGAGTGATGGAGAGAGCATTGGGACGTCTGGCCCCAAACCTGGCGCACCAGGACTGAGAGCATCCATCAGTCCAGTTCCTGCCTCTCCTCATGAGGGCAGGGACCCCTGAGGGACGACAGCCAGCCCGTGCAACAAGGTGGTCATTTCTTGTGGCTTCTGAAACCCATGAGCTTGTGTACGTGAGGTTGCCAGGAAGGTGCCATCTTCCCTCCCCCAGCCAGCCCCGGGCATGTGTGGGGACACCAACAGGGATACGGGACAGGACGGAATCCATGGTCACCAGGCTGAGTAGGCAGGCTGGGCAGCACTGTGCCTTCCTGAAATGCAGCTTTCCCGGACACTGGGAAACTGCACTCAGGAAGTGCTGGGGTGGGGGTGGGGGGCAGGAACACCACAGCCCAAGGTAGAATAGGCGAGGGGGCGGGAGGGCAGAAGCCTGACTCTGAGCCGCTTCAGCTTGTGGGAAACTGGTTGCAAAGTGCCCCAAGGTGACCTCGTCATGGGAGGCAGCCATGGGAACCCCACACCCCTCCTCCCTGCCCGTCATTGCTTCCCACACTGTGGGGGCAGCACCCAGCCCCGCCCCGGTCCCCAGCAAGGGGGGAACTGGCGAGGGGCCTCCTGGTCCTGCTGACAAACCCAGGATGGATGCGGTTTCTGTTCATACACAAGCTCCTCCCCATACAGTCCTGGGGTCCCCCGTCCTGGCCTGGGTCCAGCCGGGACCCCTTTGTGAAGACCCTTCTCCTGGAGGCAGCGTCCTCTGTGACTGAGTGTCTTCTGGTCTCCGGGGTAACAGGGCTCAGGAGGGGAGGCCAGAGGCCGCCAAGTGACACGGGGATCCCAGAGGAAGGGTGAGGGGGTGAGGGAGGGGAGAGGATAGGAGGAGGCGGGGGAGGCGAGGGAGGGGCGAAGATGGGACGAAGTGGTACCGAGGGGATGAGGGTGGGACTCACCATTCTCCGCATGTTGGCTGCAGGGGGCTGCACGTGACTGCGTAGACGGTTGTGCAGGGTGAGAAGCAGGAAACTCTCCTTCCTGCTCAGGGCTGGGACGGGAACACGGTCAGGATTGGACCCTCACCCCAGCAAGAGGAGAGCCTCCCCCAGAAAAAAGAGGGGCTGAAGAAGCAGGGCTGTGAGGAGCACTTGGCTGAGAGCAGGTGGGGCCCGGCCTTGCTCACAGCAGTCCTGGGATGTGGCTCATTCTTTCTGTCCCTGACCCTGCTGGGCCCACTCCTCTCCAGTCTTCTCCCCCACCAGCCAGTCTTTTGAGTATCTCCCTTTTTTTTTTCTTTCTGGGTCACACCTGCCACTGCACTCAGGAATAACTCTTGGCAGTGCTCGGGGGACCATATGAGATGCTGGGGATTGAACCTGTGTCGGCTGCGTGCAAATTCCTACTGTCTATATGTAGCACAGTACTGTCACTATGGTCCTGCGGATCCCTCTTTAATTTTGCTTGGGGTTTGGGATCCCAACTGGCAGTGTCATGGGCTCCTGGCAGGGCTTCGAGAGCTGGGATGGAGACCGGGTTGGTTAGCCGCATGCAGGACGGGGCCTTACCTGTCCGCTGGATCTCTCCAGCTCCGAGAGTGACTAAATCCCTCCAAAAGGGCTTCCGAGAACCCCTGAGGGTCCCCAGCAGAGCCATGCTCCTTGCACAGGGATCTCCTTACCTCCAGGTACTGTGGGTGGTTCCTCCTGCCCCTGAGGCTGCTGTAGCTCTGCCCAGGCAATGCCCAGCAGCACCAGGAGTGCCAGTAGGAGGCTGGGCAGGCGGCTCTCCAGCCCCATGGAGGGCTCCAGCCACTGCATGCCCATTGGGTGCATGGGGTGATGCCCGGCTTGGCTGTGCAGTTGCCCAGCCCCCTCCCAGACTCTCCTGAGGCTGTCTCCCCGCTCAGTGGTGTCAGGCTGGACTGGAGAGTCCTAGGTGTGTCCAAAGAGCCTCCGGTCGAAGCTGGCAGGAAAGAGACAGGCCCGGGGCTCCGTCTCCCTCTGGCCTGCAGCCTGGCCCGCCCGCCCACTGATGCAGTGTGCAATGACCCCGTGGCCTCTGCTAATCATTGCAGGATTATTAGAAGCCTCGGGGAGCCTGCAGAGACCCCACTGATTGGCCCACAGACATTCCAGGGCTGTGGATTAGTGACCCATGACTGTGCCCCCGCTGGGACCGTGTCCTGGGAACCCACTGGCGCTGCGATCCCACCTCCAGGTCGGGAAAGACGGCCGGGCCCTCGACTCTGTGACCCGCAGACCAGAGGACCTCAGGTTTCATCCTCTGGGGGTGCAGCTCCCAGTCCCCAGCCCCAAATTCAACATGGGCAAGGGTGATAACTGCCTGCCAGCGCAGTGCTAGGCATGCGAGGGGCACTGGAGTGGTGAGCCCACTGGGAAAGAAAAGAGGTGCCTTAGGACAGTTGTTTGGGCACTGTGCCTTTACCTATGTACCTGCCAGTGATGCTCAGGTAAAGCCGGAACACATGGCAGCCTGGCTGAGTTGGGGCCTGCTGGGGGCTGCGCTCAGCAGGAGGAGGAGTGGGAAGGAGCCCAGCACAGCCCCATGGTCCCACATGTCCCCCCCCAGGACAGCCTGACAAGTCAACTGTTTCCTCCGCCTGCAGCTGGGGTAACCCCTCCCTCTCCCCCTGCCCCTGAGCAATGAGTGGGCTTGGATTTCCAGGAAACCATGGATGGAACACCAAAACTAAACTGACCAGCATGTCTCCCCTCCCTCCCACCCCCTGCCCAGGGCCGGAGGAGTTTCTTCTCCCTCATGTAGATGATGGACAAGTTCAAAGTCATCCCAGCTGGACCTTAGCCATTTCCCCACCGTCCCCTTTTTCCATGAGAGAGCATGTTTGTTGAATTGCAGCTGCACTGAGTGTGATAGTAAGGCTGGTGACTGCTTTGGAGGCAAGAAGCTGGGCTCCCAGTGGGGCAGTTAGCTCAAAGAAGTTAGCTCAGGCTTTGTCATATAGGGCACGGGGGCACCTGGAGCTCCGAGTCTGCGTATGGCATCCCCAGCACCACATGGTTCCTCCAGACACAACAGGGAGAGAACCCCAGCTTTGTGCCCTTCAGACAAATCTAACCAACAAAAAAATTCACAAAGCTGGGCTCTGCCTGAAGCTGCCCTGAGAGCGGCTGGGGTCACAGCTACTCCGGTTTCTGTCCTCATAGCCCAGAGGGTCCTTCCCAGTGTGCCCCTTTGAACTAGTTTCTTTCCTTTTTTTTAGAGTGGGGGCACACCCAGCAATACTCAGGGGTAACTCCTGGCTCTGCACTTAGGAATCACTCCTGGTGGTGCTTGGGGGACTATATGGTGCTGGGGATCAAACCCCGACTGGCCATGTGCAAGGCTAGCACCTTACTATCCCTCCAGAGCTCAATTTTTATCACTCTACTCCAGAGAAATGCCCCAATTCCTGTTCCTGGGCTTTGATGATGGGTATGGTTAATTATCCCAGATAACACTGGGGATGAGCAGGAGGAAACTGTATTTTGGGAACAGGCTCCCTACAAGAGGGGGCCAGAGTGGGTCTGGTGCCAGGAAGCATCAGAGAAGATGGTGAGTGGATGAAACAGAGCAGATATGAGGGTTTCAGTTCTAGCAGGGATTCTTGGAGGGTCATTTCCACCCCTGGCCACAGCGTCCTAGGTAAAGCAGGTTTGGATAGTTGAGATGGAGAGCAGTGAAGGTATGAAAGAGCTGCCACAATGAGGGACTAGACCAGGAACCCACAAAAGATCGTTTGTTGGTGGCAAGGGCTGGTTGGGTTTGGAGACTGTTCTCAGTTGAGTGACATTCATTACACAGCCGTATTTTTCTCTAGCAATTTGAAAGACAAAATTAAAAAACTAACAACAACTCAGGAGCAAATCTCGAAACCCAGTGGCTTTTGGCAGAAATCCCTCCAGATTTAAGTGTTAAAATTTCGGAATTTCAAAAATCACATGACCCTACTGCAGCCAAGCGACATCATATGTTATTCATAACCAGCAATAGAACACAAATTGTCTACTGTTGCCTTTTCAGCAGATTTGAGTGTTGGGGTAAAATCTCAAATAACAATGGTGGGTCTAGTGTCAGGTGTCAATATTGAATGTGATCAAAGTAGAGAGTAATGTGGAAATCATCTGCCCCACAGGTAGGGGGAGGGTGTGGGATGGGGTTTTTGGTGGTGGAGAATGGGCACTGGTGAAGGTACGGGTGTTTCATTGTGTGACCGAGACTTAGACCCAAAAGCTTTGTAACTGCTCTCATGGTGATTCAATAAATAAAATTATAAAAAAATGAAAAAAAGTAAGATGGAGTTCATGCACAATTCAATCAGCTAATCAGTGGCTGAATAAATAGCAGTACTCCTACATAAAAAAATTAACAACAAACAGACACCAGGTAGACTGATTAAAGAAAAAGGCATATAAGGGTTGTGAGAAATTACAGTGATGGCGTGGCGTGATATACCATTCAGGTTGCTACTGGCAAGGCTGGGAAGGTTGCTCAGAGGGCTGGAGATCATCTTTACATGTGGAATTCCCTAGTCTCAATCCCTGGCATCCAGGTGTCCCCCAGAACCTCTAGAGTAGTCATTAGGCCCCAACAGGAGTGCTCCCCTCCCCTGAGAAAACCCTAGACTAATTAGACAGAGGGGCTAGTACAGCAGGTAGGGCATTTGCCTTACATTCAGCTGACCTGGGTTCAATCCCTAGCACCCATATGGTTCCCCTGAGCCTTTTAGGAATGATCTCTGAGCATAGAGCGAGGAATAAGCCCTGAACACAACCAGGTGTGGTCCAAGCAAAACCAAACCAAACCCCTTTTAGGTAGAGCTTCACAAGCATGATTCAGGGTCAGAGAACCCAATAGACTGAAGCACATGCTTGGCATGTGGAACTCTGGGTTTAATCGCCAGTTCTGCATAGTTTCCTGAGCATCCCCAGTAGTGACCCTTAGGACTAAAAAGGAACAACCCCCAAGCTACCCATCCCCCAAAAGCACAATTTATAAAATGGAAAACTTTAACTTTTTTGACTTTCAAAAAACATCAATACGAGGGCTGGAGCAATAGCACAGAGGGTAGGGTGTTTGCCTTGCACGCGGCCAACCTGGGTTCGATTCCCAGCATCCCATATGGTCCCCTGAGCACCACCAGGGGTAATTCCTGAGTGCAGAGCCAGGAATAACTCCTGTGCATTGCTGGGTGTGACCCAAAAAGCAAAAAAAAAAAAAAAACCCCAAAAAACAAACAAAAAAAACCAACATCAATATGACTAAAAGACAAGTCACACATAGACAATATTTAAAATTCATCGGTCTGGTAAAGGCTTTATTTGCAACTTTCAAAAGATTTTTACAACTAAATCATGAGGAGAAAACAACCAATTGAAAAATAGATTAACGGGGCTAGATAAATAGTATAAGGGTTAAGGCACTTGTCTTGCACATGGCTGATTCTGATTCTATCCTCAGCATTACATACAGTGTCCTATGCACCACCAGGAGTGATTCCTGAGTGCAGAGACAGGAGTAAACCTGGAGCACAGCTAGACCTGGCACCCCAAAAAGCCAAAACAAAGGGGGAATTATGAAAGTTCCTAGGAATTTGGCAGTTACTTTGAAAGCTAAATACAGGGACTAAAGGGATCAATGACAGCTTCACATTTGAATTCTAGCAATGCAAGATCTCCCCCTCCCCAAATAGAGCCAGGAACAGCCCTCCAGCACCACATGTACCCCCCAAACTAAAACAGAAAGTTAAATATATAACGAACCAGAGACATAGTCAAAGGGCTAGTGTGTACGTTTTGTATACCAGAACCCCAGATTTGACCGTCAGTACCCCAGCACCCAGCTGATGAGGAGGCCTTGAGCAGTTTGGGGTGTGGCCCAACACCCACCCTAAGTGATATGCTTAATATAAAACAAATACTTTTCATTTGTAGTTTTCTGAGCAAGAAAAGCACACCACACACACACACACACACACACACATACACACAAATGCTTGTACACAAATCATCAGAATCCATCATCCATCATTGCCAAAAGCCGGAAACAACCTGAACAACCAATGAGATATGAATATCTGTAGACAAAAGGAACAATACTCTCAGCTTGATTAAGATACAACTGACAAACGGGGCCGGGAAGTAGTAGAGGATAGGGTGATTGCCTTGCACGAGGCCGACCCAAGTTCGATCCCCGGCAACCCATATGGTCCCCTGAGCCCACCAGGGGCTATTCCTGAATGCTGCAGAGCCAGGCAGTAAGCCCAGAACACCCTTTGGAGGGTGGCTCCAAAACAAAACAAAACGAAAGTATGATAGAACTTTCTGCCCTGCAGCCTCGGTGTGCTCCCGCTCCTTGGGACAGTAGTTTTGGAGTGTGAAACCTCTTGGGTCCAGATGTGGCAACGAGCTTCGGGGGGGAGAGAGGCACTGCTTGTCCAGTTATTCATCTTCGATTTCCCGGCAGGACTTGTGGGGACCATGACCAGCTGGGTCTGGGCTCCACCCCCTAAATCCGTTTCGCTAGCCCAGCCCAGCAAGCCCGCTCACCCGGCACCCACGAGCGCGGCCCGGGGGCGGAGCCTCGCGAGACCCAAACAAGCCCCACGTGCCAGGGGCGGGCCCTCAGGGTGACGTCACTCCGCGCACGCGCGCTGACGACGACCCGCCGCCGTCCCCTTGCGGGGGACCGTAAAGCGCGGAAGGTCGCGGCCGGCCGCTTCCCCGGAACTCGGCGCTCCCTCCGCCCCGCCCCTCCCGGCCCCGGCCCCCCTTCCGGCGCCCCGGGACACCCCCCTCAACTGCTGCGGTTGCCGGCCTGCCGCGGCGCGGGGTCGCTGAGCGCGGAGCCCCGGGGGCCCGTGAGGTAAGAGCCCGCGGCGGGGCCTGACGTCCGGCCCGGCCCGGCCCGGCCCGCTGGGCGCTCGCTCCCGCGCGCGGCTGCTCCCCGGCGGCGCCGTCGCCTCGGGCCGGCGCGTCCCGGCGCGTCCCGGCGCTCAGCAGCGTGAGGGGGCGCCCGCGGCCGGGTGACCTCGCGCGGCTCGGCCCGGGACTCGCCGCATCTTCCCTCGCGGGGAGGGCCGCGGTCGGCAGCGGGGAGGCGCCCCTCGGGGCGGGCGCGATGACCCTGCGCCGGAGCCTGGAATGTTCTAGGCGTTGGAGACGCGGGCGGGGAACTCGCCGCGCTTCCTGGATCGCGCCTGACCCCCGTGCCTGGTTGGAACCCGCGCGGCTTCCTGAGGGGGCGGCAGCGGGGGCTCGTCGGGGCCGCGCGGCCGTGGTTTTAGCAGAGATTCTTCCACAGTCACCGTGTTCGAATTTAATTGTTATTTTTTGTTTTGGGTCCCCGCTGGCGATGCTCAGGGGGCATCTCGGGGCTCTGCACTCCTGGCGGTGCTGTGGGTGATTCGGGATGTCGGGGAGTGAACCCCGCCTGTCAGGCACACGGCCTTCCCGCTGTGTTGTCCTTCCGGCTTTGGAATTATTATTATTATTATTTTTAATGTAAGAGTAGTTCTATTTATTCAGCCGTTGATTAAGCTGATTGAAGTGGGCATGAACTTGGAATTCATTTTCGAATCGGGGTTGTCCAATGAAATTTCGTAGTGGGAGATGTGTGTGTGTGTGTGTGTGTGTGTGTGTGTGTGTGTGTGTAGATTGGGGTTTGGAGAGAATGGGGTGCAGACGAGAGACCGTCAGGGAGCGCTGTGGGAGTAACCCGAGAAATGCCTACGTCTGTTCAGGTTTGGAGATTCCAGAGGATGGTTCATCCGCCTAAGAAAAATGGAGAGTGTAGATTTGTCAGGCACCGAGATTGGAAAGAACAGTGAGAGAAGAAAGTAGAATGCAGGATAATACCCAGGATTCTGGTACATGGGTGTTTCTGGGGATTCCGGGAAGTGGAACGGATTTTGTAATTACCTTTGGGATATGCTCAGGTAGTTATGGAAATCCAAATGCAGTGACCTATTTTTCTGGTTTGTTTGGTTAATTTTTGGTTTTGGGCAACACCAGCAGTGCTCAGGGATTACTCCTGACTCTACACTCCTGGTGAGCTTGGGAGACTTCTGGGTTTCCAACCTGGATTGGACCTAGACTGGCTGCGTGCAAGGCAAATGCCTCCCGGCTGTACTATCCCCCCCCCCCCCCCCCCTTTTTCGGTTTGGTTTTTGGAACACAGACCTGGCTTTACTCAGGGATCACTATTCAGGGATGATTCCTGTGTCTGCATGCAAGGCAAGTGTCTTACCTGCTATAGATCTCATACACTATAGGTGGTTGTTTTGTTTTTGTTTTTTTTTGTACTGCCAATCCAGTGATCAGTGTTAGTATTAACAGCTTCTGGGAGGATCCAGTGATCAGTGTTAGTATTAACAGCTGCTGGGAGGTCAAGTGACTGGTGCCCAGAGTGCCCTTGGGAATTAGCAGCATTAGCATTCTTTAGGAGAGGGCATGGCATAGTGGAGCAAAAGCCTGATACCTTTCATTTAGGAAAAAGTAAGATTAGGGAAAAATGAAGAACAAAGTAGAAGCAGTGTCTCCTGTATTTTATTTGCTCTTATGTGAAAAAAGTCATATATTTAAATGTGTTAAGATTAGGTCAAGAAATTTTATTTAGGGACTGGAGCCGTAGTACGGCTGGTGGGGCACTTACCTTGCACTCAGCCAACCTGGTGCGATCCCCAGCATTCCATGTAGTCCCCTGAGCATGCTATGAGTGTTTCCTGGTTACAGAGCCAGGCGTAACCCCTGATCACTGCAAGGTGTACAGTCTCCCCCCCAAAAAAGAATTTTATTAAAATATGAAATTTTTGCTTAAAAAGTTTTGCAGAATGGGGCTGGAGTAATAGTACAGCGATAGGGCATTTTCCTTGCATGCATCCGATATGGTCCCCTGAGCACTGCCAGGGGTAATTCCTGAGTGCAGAGCCAGGAGTACCCAAAAAAGAAAAAAAAAGTTTTGCAGAGGGCTTAGAGTGATAGTACAGCAGGGGTAGGGCATTTGCCTTGCATGATGTGGCCAACTGAGGTTCAGTTTGAGGCATCCTGTGTGGTCCCACTAGAGCTACCAAGAGTTATTCCTGAGTGCAGAACCAGAACCCCTGAGTACTGCTGTGTGTGGCTAAAAAAATAAATAATTAAAAAGTCTGGCAGAGAGCAAGTGAGATGTACAAGGGTTAGGGCACATGCCTAGCATGTATTTGGCTGGAGTCAACCTCTGGCACCCACGTGGCCTCACAAGCATCCCTGGTATAGCGCTGGAGTTCCTGAGAGTCACAGGATGTGGCTCTGGAGGGACTCAAGCTGCACCACGTCCTCTGGCCCTGTCACTGAACTGCTAGCTGAGTTGGCCATGTGTTGCTAGGATTGACCCTGGACCCCTCAGCACTGTTTGGGAGCACCCCCACATCCCAAAAAACCTGGTAAAGTGTGCAGTCACTGAGGTATAAGAGGAAAACAAAAACAAAAAAACTGGCAATCAAAGGGTTTCATGAATAACATTTCAGACTGGCCCTCTCTCTTTTTTTTTTTCCTCCACGAGTGTCTCAGGGATCCACAACTCATTTATTAGTTTTCTTTGTCTGGATTTTCTGCACAGCATTCAACCTGAACTCTTAACTCTTTTACTGGTCTGTAAATAATGTAAAAAAAATCAGAATTCTTTGGTTGGACTTTAAGTATTTTATGTATACTAATGACTCCCCTAAATTTCCTCCAAGTTGCATGCTTATATATACAGCTACTGTTTGCTATTTCATGTGGAGGCCTGCTTGGTATCTCACTTAATACTTGAGTGGAACATTTGATTGGGTACACACACTCCCCACTCACCCTTACCCTCTCTCTCTCTCTCTCTCTCTCTCTCTCTCTCTCTCTCTCTCCCCCTCTCTCCCTCCTCTGCTCTTTCTGTCTGCCCACCCTCACTGTTTCCCTCCTGTTTACTCTTCCCTCTCTGCTTCTGTATTCCTAAACCTTTACACTATAGTTTTGTGGTAACATGCTTAATAGTAACTTATACATTATCCCTCTTTTTCCCCATTTCATTTTGTAAAATTGTTATTTTTTAGTTTTGGGGCCACACCCAGTGGTGCTCAGGGCTCTGCAACCAGGGATCACTCCTGGTGGGCTGAGGGGACCATATAGGATGCCAGGGATTGAACCCGGGTTGGCCCCATGGCAGGAAAATGTGCTACCTGCTGTACTCGTGCCCTGACCCCCTCTTTTTCATTTTTTATTTGGTGTCTGGGATTGGTACCCAGGATCTGTTCTACTGAGTAACACTCCCAGACCCCCTTTTCCCATTTCCAGTTTCTTGGCAAGTAAGGTCTGTCAGTTCTGTTTTCAAAATTATTCTTTAACTCCACTCACTCTACTTGTCCAAGCGACCAAAATAAACTTCTTAAACTACTGTAGTACTTTCCTGTTTCTCACTTATCTTGGCTCTCCTCCTCATTCTACAACCCATTCTCAGCTTATCAGATGTCTTAAAATTCCCCTGCATTAGTATTTTCATTTGCAATTAGTTGGTTTCTATTTTTGGCGATACCCATCGGTGCTCAGGGCTTCTATCTTCTGGTGAAGCTTGGAAAATCATATATGGTTCCCTGGATGAAACTAAGTCTGCTGCACGGAAGGCAAGGGTCGTGTTCTCGGACTCCTTTCTTTCCTTGTTTTTTGCTTTGTTTTGTTTTTGGTTCACACCTGGCAATGCTCAGGCGTTACTTCTAGCTCTGCACTCAGGAATTATTCTTGATGGTGGACAGGGAACCATATGGGATGCTGGGGGTGGAAACCAGGTTGGCTTCATCCAAGTCAAGTGCTCTACCGTTTCATGCTCCAGCCCCTGTCTGGACTCACGGTTTCCTTCTCATCTGTTAAGTCTCTTGAAACTACCTTTCCTGAAAATCCTATCATTTTATTTATGTTGTTAGTTGTGAGGGTGAGAGCTATTCCTGGAGGTACTGGGGGTGGGGTGGGAGTGGGGTTTGGAAGGAAAGCGTACATGTGGTGCTGAGGCTTAAATCCAGGGCCTCTTCCATGTAAGGAATGTGCTCTGTAATTCAGATGACATCCCTGTCCTGCTGGTCATCATGGTCATTATTTTAAATGTCCCCTTAGTTATTCTACAGTATTGGCTTTATTTACTCATTTTGTGCACTAGCTGCCTTGCTCCCATTCCCCCATCTCAAATGTGTAAAATCAGGGACCTACTCATTACTGTTCTCTGCTCTATCTATAAAATGCATGTGGAACTCAGTAGATCTCTAGTATTTTGCTGAAAGAATGATTATTGTTCATTGCTGCATCCTTTTCTAATTAGTTCTATGGTCTGGAGTGATAGCACAGCGGTAGGGCGTTCGCCTTACAAGTGGCCAACATGGCCGACCCGAGTTCAATTCCTCCGCCCCTCTCGGAGAGCCTGGCAAGTTACCGAGAGTATTCGATATGCCAGACACAGTAACAACAAAGTCTCCAATGGAGACGTTACTGGGCCCGCTCGAGCAAATCGATGATCAACGGGAGGGCACTGAGTACAAAAGAATGAAGTTTGGTTTTTTCTTGTTTAGGTTGAATGTGAAGGATCTTCTAGTTGCTGGCAGACGTGATGTTTTACTGGTTGCTATCCGTTGGCCGAAGACAGAGAGCCAGCAGAGGATGGTGGAAATGGTCCTCATCAAGAAGCAGTTCAACAGCTGCTGAGGCACATTCTGTAGCCCTACCTGCCCAGGCACAGGTGGTCATATGTGGCGGTGGAATTATGGGCACATCTGTGGCCTATCACCTCTCCAAGATGGGGTGGAAGGATATTGTCCTTTTGGAGCAGGGCAGGTAAGGAGCCCACTGGACAGGACTTGGAGCTCTTCTTCATTAGCTGTGTGGGATTCCGTCATTTTCTCTTGATAATACTGTACTGTGAATAGTAATTTAAGTGTTGCTAAGTAGCACGAGAAGAATCATAGAAGGAAGAAACCTGTGCTTCATTTTGTGATGCCTTATACTGTGTTTTTTGTTTTCTTGAGTGGGGCAGATTTCATCAAAGCAAGTATCTACAAAGATATATTTTATTAAAAAAAAAGATATATTTTATTTTTTAAATTTGAGCCACCTGTGGCAGTGCTTGGGGATTGCTTTTGGTGGTGCTTGCTCAGAGAACCAGGAAATGGAACTTGGGCCTTCCACATGCGAAGAATGCTTTGCATGTGCCCAGATATTTGAACTTTCTCACTGCCCTAAAAGGATGTATTATACATCTGATCATCTTGCTAATTTATTTGTCTTTTGAGCTACACCCAGTGGTGTAGCTTACTCAGTTGGTGCTCAGGTTGGCAAAGTGCCCTACCTGCTATATTCTCTCTCTGAACCCACTGCTCTTTTGTTGTAGTCACACAACACAAAAAATATCTACAATTCCAGAGCTTCCTCTCTGAGCCCAGGTGAAACAGTTTTAGATTTACAGAAAAACTTTGTAGCTTGGGGCGGAGCGATAGCACAGCGGGTAGGGCATTTGCCTTGCATGCGGCTGACCCGGGGTTCGAGTCCCAGGATCCCTTATGGTCCCCCGAGCAGTGCCAGGAGTAATTCCTGAGTGCAGAGCCAGGAGTAACCTCTGTGCATCTCTGGGTATGATGGGAAAAAAAAAAAGGAAACTGTGTAGGTAGCAGTTCCCATATACCTCAGATCTGTTTCACATATAGTTGGTATCTTATGTTATTGTTACTATTTCAACTATAGAACCTATATTGATGTTGTTCACTAAAGTCCGTACTTTGAATTTTTTTTTCCATTTTTCCCCTATGTCTTTTTTTGGGGGGCTTAGACTTTATGTTCTATTGCTTATCACAAATCAGACATTTGAAAAATTACATCATAGTTGCTTATGAATAAACATGTCTCTGTGATTTAGAATTGAAAATATGTAAGTGCATGTGAAAAATATGATTCCTAGGACTGGGGAGATAGAACAAAGTGCTAGACTATATTATTTATTTATTTGTTTATTTGGTTTCTTTTTTTTTTTTTTTTTTTTTTTTTTGCTTTTTGGGTCACACCCGGTGATGCACAGGAGTTACTCCTGGCTCTGCACTCAGGAGTTACCCTTGGCAGTGCTCAGGGGACCATATGGGATGCTGAGAATCGAACCCGGGTTGGCCGCATGCAAGGCAAATGCCCTACCCGCTGTGCTATCTCTCCAGCCCCTTATTTGCTTTTTGGGTCACATCTGGCAATGCACAGGGGTTACTCCTGGCTCTGTACTCAGGAATTACTCCTAGCAGTGCTCAGGGCACAATATGGGATGCCGGGAACTGAACCTGTGTTGGCCGCTTGCAAGGCAAACGCCCTACCCACTGTGCTATCGCTCCAGCCCCAAGACTATATTTTTTACACGTAGTAACTCTAGGTTCAATCCTTGGCACCTCATGGTTTCCTGAGTCCTTCTGTGTGTGACCCCAAAAGAAAACAAAAATAGAAAACAAAACAAATGTCTTTCTCCTATTCTTGTAGACCTCTCACTACATGTTTCCCTCATTGAAAGTTAATTTTTTGTTTCTTTGTTTTTGAGTCATCTACTCTGGAGATGCTCAGGGGTTACTCCTGGCTCTGCATTCAGGAATGACTCCTGGAGATATCTGGGGCCCATATGGGATGCTGGAGATTGAACCTGGGTTGGCCGCAAGTACCCCACCCACTGTCCTCTCTCTCCAGCCCCATTCTTTATTTCTTGTTCCAGATAGCCTATAATATGTGTGTATTTTCTACACATATATATATTGTCTTGGGCTGGAGCAATAGCACAGCGGGTAGAGTATTTGCCTTACATGCAGCCAACATGGCCGACCCGAGTTCAATTCCTCCGCCCCTCTCGGAGCGCCCGGCAAGCTACTGAGAGTATCTCGCCCACACGGCAAAGCCTGGCAGGCTCCTCGTGATGTATTCGATATGCCAGACACAGTAACAAGTCTCACAATGTTACTGGGCCCACTCGAGCAAATCGATGAACAACGGGAGGACCGTGACCGTGACCATATATTGTTTTGGGAGGGGGAGAGGGGCACATCTGGTTGTGCTCAGGGCTTACTCCTCTGTGCTCAGGAATCACTCCTGGTAGGGCTCAGGATGATAAAGAATGCTGGGGACTGAATCCGTGTGGTGACTGGCAGTGCTTGAGGGACCGTGTGCGATGCCAGTGTTGAACTGGGATCTACTTTTTGCAAGGCAAGCACCTTACCCCCTGTACTATCTCTTCAAATCTAAAATGTATGCAATTATTTTGTTTTATTTTTTGGCCACCCTCAGCAGTGCTCAGTGGTTACTCTTGATTTTGCACCAAGGAATCGCTCCTGGAGGGCTCGGGCGACCGTATGGGATGCAGGAGCTTGAACCCATGTTGGCTGCATGCCAGATGCCAGGCAAGCTCCTTACCCGCTATACTAACTCTCCAGCCCCTACGTTTTGCTGTTTCTTAATTAAATTAAATCTTTGCAAAGACGTGTGTTGGGGATGAGTTTTGCTCCTCTGTAATACCATCTTACGAAATTCTCAAGAAGTTTTACAATTCAGAAATTGACTTGTTGAATTATTTAGATGTTAAAGTCGCAATCCTGAAATCAGTTAAATGGATTCATCCAATTTCTTAAGGCAATCCTTGTAGGGGTATCCCAAAGCTCAGACTATAGTAAATAGTATGTCTTACTACTTGCAAGTAGTAAGGCTGTTTTCACTCGGGGTGCTCCAGAGGGGGGGGCGGGTGAGAGCCCTTCCTGCCCCATGGGACCCAGCTCTGGCAGCCGACCTCCACTACCCAACCACTGCTATGCTCCAGGCTGCTTTCCATACGCTCAGGAACATGTGAGTGAACATATTCATGGACACATCATAAGATACTCCCTACCCATTTTCCATAATTACCACACCATATTTGATGTGGTTCAGATAATAGGCAACAAGTCACACACACACACACACACACACACACACCTCTTGGAGAGCCTGGCAATCTACCAAGAGTTTCCCGCTTGCACAGCAGAGCCTGGCAAGCTACCCGTGATGTATTTGGTATGCCAAAAATAGTAACAATAACGGGTCTCATTACTCTGACCCTGATAGAGCCTCCAATATGGCAGGATTGGGAAAGACGAGTAAGGAGAGGCTGCTGAAATTCCAGGGCTGGGGCGAATGGAGTTGTTACCAGCGCCCGCTCGAGTAAATCAATGAACAACGGGGATGACAGTGTTGACAGTGATACACTGATACCACTTGCAAGTAGTAAGGGGTATTTCTTGCTGCTGGCCTGTCAGAAGTTCGAGATTTCCTTCTCTTAAGTCGTTTTGGGAAGCAGGCAACATCTGGCCTTTTGATAAATCAGGCTCCTGCTGTGTTTTCCAAACAGGGCACAAAAGAAATCATCTCATAATCTTCAGGATCCTTCAGATTAAAAGCTTTATTAATAGAATTATACCTACTGTAAACACGGGGATATCAAATTGCCATGTAACTCTTCCATCTTTTGTTATTACAAACAGTGCTGTGATGAGAAATCTTTGATTTGTCGCTTTCATAGAAACAGTCTACTTACTAGCATTTTGCCTTCATACTGTAGGTTGGCTGCTGGCTCTACGAGGTTCTGTGCTGGCATCTTAAGCACTGCAAGGCACTCGAGTATTGAACAGAAGATGGCAGACTATTCAAACAAACTCTACCACCAGTTAGAGCAAGAAACAGGAATCCAAACAGGTAAGCTAGTAGTTCCTCAGACACTTATTCAGCATTCAAAGTTGTCAGGTGATAATGCTTGATTTTTTTTTCTTTTTTGGGGCGACACCCAACACTGTTTAGGGGTTACTCCTGGCTCTGCACTCAGGAATTACCCCTGGCGGTGCATGAGGGAACATATGGGATGCTGGGGATTGAACTTGGGTCATGCAAGGTAAATGCCCTACCTGCTGTACTATCACTCTAGCCCCTAATACTTGATTTTAATCGCAGCTCTACCACTAGTCAGGGTATTACCTTGGGCGAGGTTTGAGTACGAAGAGTGTCTGCCTGTTGGTTCAGAGATGGAACTACTGATTCCTGATCCATTGATTCAGTTACTAGTGGTCTGTTGAGTTCTGCTGGTTGGATTCCCTCCCACCCCCCAAAAAAACACCAGTGGGGGCCAGGAGATAGTTTAAAGACTAGGGTACCAGTTTTATATATAGGAGGTCTGGACTTGATTTCCAGTACAGCTTAGTGAGGTCTGAAAATTAAAAAAATTTTCTGAGTACTGTTAGGAACAATTGATCCCTGGGCACAGAGCCCGGAGTAGGTCTTGATCATCTCTGCTGTGACTCAGAGCCCCCACTCCCCTTTTACCCCACTCTCCCCAATCTGTTGTGAAAGAATAGATAGTCCAAATTCTCTCCCTCCCCCCCCTCCAAATTCTCTCTCTCTCCACTCCCTCCCTTCCTCTTTCTCTCTTCCCCCTAACTCCCCTCAACACACACATAGTCCCTTGTTCTATTTAATTTGGTGTGAGGGGGCCGATATGTGGCCTTTGGTCTACACTTGGCTATGCTCAAGGTTTACTCCTGGCTCTGTTCTCGGGAAAAAAAGATTAACAAAGAGCTTTTTACCAGTGGATGCTGTTAACTACTAACAGTGAAGATCTGTGGAGAAAAGGATAGTTATTCTTAAAGAATCTTCCCACCAGATGATAGTTATAAAGGGGAAAACAGTGACTTTACAGTTCTCTGGCAACCATGTGACCAAAGTTAATGTCACCAGGAATGGGATATTTAGTCTTTATGGAAGGGAAGTGCATCATTTCTGGGGTCTTTGTGGCAAAAATGCATAATCCACATCGAATCATGAAGATCCGTCAGACAAATCTAACAAGAGATGTTCTGTACTCTTAAATGTGTCAAGGTCAAGAGAAGAAATTAAAAATTAATAGCTCCAGATTGAGAAGACTAAAGCGACATGAAAACTAAATGATGTGCCTGAACTGAATAGGATTCTAGGCTGAGGGCAAAAACAGCTATAAAAGTAACATTAAGACAGCTAAGGAAATTTGAATGCAGACTCTGGATTACACTGATCCTTACACTGAGCTGAGAATGTTTGACTAGAAAATGAAAGCAGAGGAGTGTATCTGGTGTACTTGAAGTTTTTTCACTAGAAGGTCAAGGGAAGCTAATTTCTTTATCTAAAAATATTAACGACAGGCTGTCCCAGGATTCATCGTAGTCCTCTAACTTACCATATAGTGAGCTTGTGGCTCTGCGTTTGTCTCAGTTCAGTCTGAATTTTTTCTAACAGGTTACATAAAGACAGGTTCCATTTTTCTGGCTCAAACTCAAGATCGACTGATCTCCCTGAAGCGCATCAATTCAAGGCTGAAGTATGTATGAGACTGAAACTTGTTCTAACTTTACTGTCAAACTGACTTCTCCTACAGGGCCAGTGAATGTCATTGTTCCCTTGTGTTCTGTGGCAGTGTTATAGGCATTTCTTCTGAGATCATCTCCCCCAAGAAAGTGGCTGAACTTCACCCTCTCGTCAATGTGCACGACCTGGTGGGGGCCATGCATGTTCCCGAGGATGCAGTGGTATCCTCCGCTGATGTGGCTCTTGCTCTGGCAAGTGCTGCCTCCCAAAATGGTAAGCAGGTTGGTTTTTGGATTAGGAAGAGGTTCGCTAAGAAAGAATCTCACCTGTACTAGGGAATGACAACTCTGTTCCGGTTTTGGAACACAATCACACCATTTTGTCTTAATATAGTATTTACTAAATATTTTTTCCTCAAGGTCATGTTTTTTCTTATTCAAGTCCCAGGGAACTTCTTTGAGTTCTGAAAAATGTACTTCAGTCTTACTTTTTGCTTTTTGGGTCACACCCGGCGATGCACAGGGGTTACTCCTGGCTCTGCACTCAGGAATTACTCCTGGCGGTGCCTGGGGGTCCATATGGGATGCTGGGAATCGAACTCTGGTCGTCCGCGAGCAAGGCAAATGCCCTACTTGCTGTGCTGTCGCTCCAGCCCCCGCACTTCAATCTTAAGGGAATTTTTTTTCTTGAAGAACTTGAGAGCGCCACTGTTGGAGCACACCTCAGAGGTTAGCCAGTGGCACAGATGGTGCCTTGTGTTGGGATGGATGAGAGGAGACTATAATCAGTGTCTTGGCTATTCTACCTCCTGGAAATACCAATTCATAATGTGGGTAGATGAGAACGTAAGACATCTGTTTGTGTGTTTCTGTCTCTGCCTTTTTTAATCCTAGAATTAATTGTGTACTACAATTGTTTTTTAAGTTTTTATTTGGTTTGGTTTTATTTTTGTCTTTTGGCTATTCTCAGCAGTACACAGGGACTGTTCCTGGCTCTGAGCTCAGGAGATGACATCTGGTGCTGGGGATTTGAACCAGGGCTGTGCCTCTGCAACTGCGTGGAAAATCAGTGCCTTGCCTTCTGTGCTATCTCTCTGACCCTATAGCAGTTTTTCAAATTGGCTTGCCATTTTCTGTGTACATGGGAAAGGCTCATACTCAGTCTCAGAGTGTGGTTCTTAGGAGTTTCTTTATTTTTTCCTAGTTACAGACTTGACTTGGGCTTTTTAATGTTTTGAGTTGAGAATCTGTTGCAGATGACTTAATTCTGGATCATCAGACGATGGATTCACCTGTTGTGTCCCCCCCTACAAACTCCTCCACCCCCAATATTTGGACCACACGCAGGGGTAATAAGCTCAGGGCTTACTCCTGACTCTGCCTTTTTTAAGGGATCACCTCCTGGTGGGGCTTGGTAGACGTAATGTGGTACTGGGAATCAAATCTGGTTCATCTGTGTACAAGGCAAGTGCCGTTATTGCTGTTCTGTCTCTCTGGTCCTCACCAATTATTTCTTTACCTTGGAACAGGTGTTCAGATCTATGACCGGACAAGTGTCCTTCATGTAATGGTCAAAAAAGGTCAAGTTACTGGTGTGGAAACAGACAAAGGACAGATTGAATGCCAATATTTTGTCAATTGTGCTGGTCAGGTAGGTAGTAGTAATATCGGGTCACTAACTTTTATCTAACTTTTGTCTCCAGGATTTTGGGGTATTGAGACAGATGAGTAATACTGGGACAAAATAAACAGACTTCCGAGACCACACTTTCTTGTTTGGACTGGAAGAAGAATTCTTGTATTCCAAATCAGACACCTGGACCTGTTCTCTTACAGAAGCACCCTTGACCTTTCCTTCATGCTAGTTGGTGCTGTCCTGTCAAGGAAGGCCAGAAGGTGGTTGAGCACGGACACACCTCGTGGCCCTGGGTTCTCTCTGTGTTTTATTTTATTCTGCAACTTAGCAAATACAGCATGAGGCTCTTGTGTCATTCTCTTGTGTCATTCCAGACACTAAACTGCTTTTATTCCTAAGGCAAATTTTGGTCCCTTGGCTCTCCACCATAGTCTTAAGTTAACCTAGAAATATTTTTGCCACATTAAGTTTCTTTATGATTTGGTATTTTGGGTTTATAGTGAGGCCAGGGACTTTGTTGAAAGGGACTCATTTGTTTCCCATGATCTGCTTTTATTGGCTGGTAGATCTCTTTGATCTAACAATAGAATTTTTGGTTTAAAAAGTACAGTGTTGCTCCACATCAAATAATTGAATTAAAGCAGGCTTGAACTTGGCTTCCCAAAACTTGACACTGTAGCAAGAGCACACATAAGCCACTTGAAATTAAGTGCTTTTCAAGTGGTTGAAGTTGCTCATTTGTCTTTCTGTTCCTTTTCCCACCCACAAATAAATCTGTCCATTTGTAGTGGGCATACGAGCTGGGTCTGTCCAACGAGGAGCCGGTTAGTATCCCGTTACATGCCTGCGAACACTTCTACCTTCTGACTCGCCCCTGGGAGACCCCTCTGCAGAGCAACACACCAAGTGAGGACTTGCACTTTGTTTTTAATCTTGTTTCCTTGCCACTACTCTGTCCTCTGAAAAGAAAGGCTTTCTGCTAAGGACAGACTGCCAGAGTCTTTTCTTGAGCATGTTACAGGAAGTTGCACACAGTTCTAACTTTTTCCTAATAGCTTTGTATGAAAGGATGGCCAGTTTTTGGGCTTTTTGTTTGTTTGCTTTGCAAGTTAATTACTAGTTCCCCCAAAAGTCTATAAATTGAGATTATTTGCAACATAACACTGAGTTTTTTTATTTGAATGCTATACATTGTACAAGTGTCATAGGTAAGTTGTAAACTTAGTTGATTAGTGACTCTGGGAGCTTTGAATAATACTGTGAAGGTCTTACTCCCTAACAGTGAGCTCTAGCAAATCCCTCTTGCCAGAGTTCCATGTGGTATGGTGGCTGTTGTGTGGTTTGATTTTGAGGACTAGTTGAAAATTTCTAAGTAACTGATGGGATTAGATTTACTCAGAAACAATTCCCACTGTAAATTTGAGTGTGGGGTAGGTGTTTTTTTGAAAACTGATTAATGTCTGTGTTCAATTGGATGCTTTCCATTATTAAAGCCATTAAAGTGTGGTTTGATTTGGGTATTTTCCGGTCCATTTAGAAAGCTGACCCTGTTTTTCTTCTCTTCCCTATTCCCTGTGATTTCTCGTCCTCAGCCATTGTGGATACTGATGGAAGAATTTATATTCGGAACTGGCAGGGTGGCATCTTGTCTGGTGGCTTTGAGAAGAATCCAAAACCAATTTTTACTGAAGGAAAGAACCAGCTGGAGATTCAGAATCTGCAGGAAGACTGGGATCACTTTGGTGTGTGAACTAGATTGTTAGAGTAATGTCTTTATATTTGTTTGATAAGTTATATTTTCATTATTTTTTGAGATACAATTGTGAACAACATTTTTTATTTGAATAAGCGTGGTTGGTCATAAGCTTGGTTACCATCTCTCACTATTTAGTTAACCATTTTTTCCCTTGAAATTTTGGGTCATATTTGGTGGTACTTGGGGACCATCCTATGCCAGAGATCAAATATGGACTTTCTGTATGTGAAGTATGTGTCCCAACCTTCTGGGGATCAACCCAGCTATGAAGTTTACATTTAAGATTTCTGCTTTTGGACTGGAGAGAAACTTTAATAGGCTAAGTGCATGCTTTGCATGCAGAAGGTCTGTGCAGGTCTATCCTGTGCAGCTCAAGGTTCTCTGCTTGACCCTTTGAGCACTGCCAGGAACAGCCTTGAGCACCACTGCCCCCAATCGACTAAACTGTTCAATCTGCTCTACGGTCATATTGACTGTGGTTACCAACCAAACTGATTATGATCACCATTATTACATCTCCATGATTTATTTTATAATTTATCCCATTCCCCTTTTTCTATTTTTGTTGTTGCAGTGTCTGGGTATTGTGCACTTGTTGTAATGCGCACACACGCGCGCACACACACACACACATTTTGCACTGAGCCAGAAATTACACATTTCCTTGTGTTGGGGATCCCAAATGGCATTGTGCTGAGATGGTGCTCTGTACATGCTCCTGAACTCACACTTGACAGCTTGACACTTGCTACAACGCTGTTTCTGGACCCCGGGCCTTATTTTTACAGCTGGGAGTTTGTATATCTTCACCTCATTTTTTCTGCCACCCCAGCACCCTTTCCCTCTGGGAAGCCACTCCACTGTTCTTCTATTTTTCATGACTGAGAAGATGGCTTAAAGGGCTGGAGCGTATGCTTTGCATGTGTGAGATATGACTTTGATATCTAGCACTTCGCTGTTCCCAAGCGCTGCCACCAGTGACCCACCAAGCACTGTTGGATTTGACCCAAAAGAAACAACAGCCAAAAAACAAAAAGCCAAAAGCAACAAAGTTGCTATTTTTAAAAAATTTTTTTTTCTAGTTTTTATAAATGTTACACTATGTTCCCAAGAATACTTCCTTGGGGCTGGAGTGGTAGTACTGTAGGTAGGATACTTGGCCTTGCATGTGGCCAATCCAGGTTCGATTCCTGCCATCCCATATGGTCCCCTGAGCCCACCAACAGTGATACCTGATGCCAAGCCAGGAATAAGCCCTGAGTACCACTGGACGTGGTCCAAAACCAAACAAAGAATACTTCCTTACTTGGTCTGTAGGTAACCTCATGTGGTGGTTAAAGAGTGGTCTACAGGGCTGGAGTGATAGTACAGCAGGTATGGTGCTTGTCTTAGATGTGGCAGATCTGGATATCCCCTGAGCCCTGCCAGGAGCCCTGAGTGCAGAGTCAGAAGTAAGCTCTGAGCATTGCCAGGTGTGGCCTCAAAATAAAACAAAAACGAGTGGTTTATAGAGTTTTCTGATCTTTCCTAATCTAATAATGCAAATTCAGGGAAATCAAAATCTCTTGCTTTCTTGTTTTGTTTTTTGGGCTGTGTTGGTGATTCTCAGGGGTAAATCCTGGCTCTGCGCTCAAGAAATTACTCCTAGCAGGACTCAGTGGGGATCCTATGGGATGCCAGGGATCAGACCTGGGTCAGCTGCATCCAAGGCAAGTGCCCTACCCACTGTTCTATGATTTTGACTCATAAAAATCCAATTTTGTTTTTGGGCTATACCTGGCAATACTTGTGACTCTGAACTCAGGAATTACTCCTGGTGGTACTCAGGGGACCCTGTAGGGTGCTAGATATCAAATCTGGGTCAGCTGCATGTAAATAAGACAAGCACCTTAGTTGCTATACTATCTTTCCAGTCCTTCCAAATTAAAATCTTGATTAATAGATTCTTGGCTTATTGAAGTTTTCGGCTTAATGAAGTTTTTAGCTAAGAGAAAACCTTTTATTATTTTTAATTTAAAATTTTTTTATTGATTCACCATGAGCTACAGTTATAAAACTTTCATGTTTGAGTTTCAGTCATATAATGGTTGAACAACCATCCTCCATCAGTGTACATTTTCCACCACCAATGTCCCCAATATCCCCACTACTCCCCCCTCCCCTTGCCTCTATGGAAGACAGTTTCCCTCTTACTCTCTCTCTACTTATGGGTATTATGGTTTGCAATACATATAATGAGAGGCCATATGTTTGGTCCTTTATCTACTTTGAGCACACATCTCTTATCCCAAGTGATCCCTCCAACCATCATTGCCTTGGTGATTCCTTCTCTATTCCAGCTGCCTTCTCCCACAGCTCGTTAAGGCAGGCTTCCAACCATGGAGCAATGTTCCTGGCCCTTGTCTCTACTGTCCTTGGGTGTTAGTCTCATATTATGGTACTTTATATTCCACAAATGAGAGCAGTCATCTCTGTCCCTCTCTTTCTGACTCATTTTACTTAGCATGATATTGTCCATGACTTATAAGCAAATTTCATGAGTTCATCTTTCTTAACAGCTGCATAGTATTCCATTGTGTAGATGTATGAAAGTTTCTTTAACCAATCATCTGTTCTCGGGTACTCACACAGTAGAAATGACATCTGCACCTGAACATTCATTGTAACACTGTTCACAGTAGCCAGAATCAGGAGGAAACCTTTTAATAGGACTTGATATTATTTTAAAGAGCGTTTTAGAAGCACAATTGCTTAATAAGGTCTTTTTTGTTTTGGGGGCCCCTCAGCAGTGCTCAGTGGTCGCTTCTGGAGGTGCTTGGGAGATTATGTGATTCTGGGTTCAGCCTGTTGAGTTTGCTCCTAATAGTCTTTTTAGGAAATTTAGGTAATTTTAGGTAAATATATTTATTGTGGGCTGGAGCAATAGCACATTGGGTAGGGCGTTTGCCTTGCACGCGGCCGATCCAGATTTGGGATTTGATTCCTCCACCCCTCTCAGAGAGCATGGCAAGCTATCAAGAGTATCTCGCCTGCATGGCAAGGACTGGCAAGTTACCTGCGACGTATTCAATATGCCAAAAATAGTAACAGCAAGTCTCATAATTTGTTGTGAGATGTTACTGGTGCCCGCTCGAGCAAATCGATGAGCAACAGGAGGACAGTGCTACAGTATTTATAGTTAACACGCAGTCTCATGGTTCCAAATTCATAAAGCATGAAATTTGACAGGACTTGCAGGGAAGTTTCTCTTGATGAATTTTTTTAGTAAATGTTTTTTCAAACTTTTTGAAGTGGAGATACTGCTATAAAGAAACCACCATGTATTTGTCAATTGGCTTCAGTTTGGTTTCACATATCCCACTGGATTATTCCCAGAAAATAGATTTACATTGAAACAGGCAGACTTTCTTCTGCAGCTATCCAGATTAGAACAACAGTGCCTTTCGTTGTACCTCTCTTTGGGTGTCATTATTGGTTATGGCTTTCATTGCACCACTGGATGTGGCCCCACCCTTACTTAAGCATAAGGAATTAAAAATGTTTCCCTGTAAGCTGAGGACTCTGGATTTTGTTTCATTGCTCAGAGCCCCTGTTGAGTTCCCTCCTGCGTCGAATGCCAGAACTGGAGAGTCTGGAGATACTGAAGTTGGTCAACTGTCCCGAGACCTTCACCCCAGACATGAGGTGCATCATGGGCGAGTCTCCCTCAGTGCACGGCTACTATGTCCTGGCAGGAATGAATTCTGCTGGCCTCTCATTTGCGGGGGGAGCTGGAAAGTAAGTCTTTCTCAGTCAGAGCTTGCTGGGCTTCTTCAGCTGCAGTCATTTCTTGTTGAATATGGTAGTATGCTAATAAGATGACACATGTAATTTGAGAGTTGTTTCCTTTAAAGCACCACGAGAGACTCTGCCATTATTCTAGAAATGCTGTGCAAAAGGTTTTAGAGTGCTGAAGTGAACCAAAGAACCGGTGGGATATTCTTTTTGTATTTTTTTGGTTTTGTTTTTTGGGCCACACCTGGTTGTGCTCAGGGCTGCTTCCTTCTCTGTACTCAGGGATCAATTCTGACCGGGCTCAGGGTGGGTGTCTGGATGGAACATCAGGAATCTGAACCCGGGTTGGACAGTTGGAAGGGAAGCGCCATACCTACTGTGGTATCTTTCTAGACCATGTTTTAAAAGTTTTTTTTTCTTTTGCTTAATTGAGATTCTGTGGTTTATAATGCTATTAGTAATGGTTTCTTATGCAATAATTCCAGCACCACACCCCTCGCCAATGTACTCCTCCCTCTCCCAAGGATCCTAAGTCTTCCAATCCCCTCACAACTTGTGTTGATCAGTGCTCCCATTATGTTGCTTTTGGACCTTTGTTGCTGCCTTGCGATATATCTTCAGGTCCCAAATATGAGAGTGATCCCTTTCCTTTTTACTTCACTCATGATTTTCCTGACTAACTTCTACTTTTACCCATATTGCTGTAAATGGTATGACTTTGCTCTTTCTTAGAGCTGCATAATATTCCATTATGTAGCTATGCCATGACTTTCTTTTTTGCGGGGGGGGGGGCACACCCAGAGGTGCTCAGAGATTACTCTTAGCTCTGCACTAAGGAATTACTCCTCGTGTTGCTTGGGGGACCATACAGGATGCCAGGGATCGAACCTGGATTGGCCACATGCCAGGCAGGTGCCCTATAGCTATACTGTTGGCTCTAACTCCAGCTCATCTTCCTATATTCTTTGCTCCTTAACCAATGTGGACCACTGAGTATGTATTTGAGTTTGAGAACATCTATATGTAGTGAGTGAAATAGATGATCATGTTCTGTAATGTGAATGTATTTAAAAATTAGATACTATGAGATTCCACATTGCTAAAAGTGACCCCTGGGTCCTTAAGCATTGTCAGGGAAACCCTGAGTGTAAAAAAATCAGTAATGAAAATAAACCAGCGTGCAAGGAAAAAAAATACCATATGATTGCACTTACATGAGACATTTAAGAATAGTATGATGGAACCAGTTTGATAATACAGTGCATAGGGCATTTGCCTTGTATGCGGCTGAACCGGGTTTGATTCCCTTGCATCACATATGGTCCTCTGAGCCAGCCAAGAGTGCGAGTGCGGCCTAAAAAAACAAAAGTAGTACAGGGCCTAGGTTTAGTGGTAAAACCCATGCCTTATGTGTGTGAGACTTGGCTTCAGTCCCTGGCTTTTTTTTTATTTTGCTTTTTGGGTCACACCTGGCAATGCTCAGGGGTTATCCCTGGCTCTAATCTCAGGAATTACTCCTGGCGGTGCTCAGGGGACTCTATGGGACACTGGGTTTCGAACCCGGGTTGGCCGTGGCAAGGCAAACGCCCTACCCACTGTGCTATCGCTCCAGCCCAGCATTTTAAAAATAGAAGTATAGTTCCTCGGGTAGACAGTGGATTGGTGGAATGGAGGTTGTATGGGATAAAACAGGAGGAATGGCAAATGACTGTTTAGAAGAGGTAGTCCCAGTATGGGAGGAGAAAAGTGCTTTGGTGATAGTTCTACATTTACGTACTTAATGTACATGATAAATTTGGGTTTATTTTTGTTTGGTTTTTGGGCCATACTCTGTGGTGCTCAGGGGCAACTCAACTCTGTGTGATACTTGGAGATCGGTCCTGGCAGACCTCAGGGGGACCAAGCAGTACCTGCTATCACACCCTGGACTCCAGCATGCACTCCAGTCCTTTTAAGTGCCAGTTTTTTTATTTATGTGCATTTCCACAATTGTGTTTTTAGGGGCTAGGTGTCTCCCAAGCAGTGCTCAGGAGACTCAGGGGCCCCATCAGTGATTCTTAGCCCACATGGCTGGAGGTTCAGTGTAAGGGCCAAGGATGTGATGGGCCTGGTTCCCCGATGCTGCTGGGCACCTCCATGGCTGCACCCAGCAATGCTCAGAAGACCATGTGCTGGGGGAATGAGATCTTGGTTGGCTGCATGCTAGACATGCCTTCACAATCAAGATTTTTTTCTTTAATAGGTCATTTTCTTTGAATTGACGTTCTGATTGACTGTGAAAATAGTTACAGAAAAGGAGTTGCCAAAAGTACAGATGTGATCAGATTGTATAACGTCCCCAAGTGCTGTTTGACAGGAAAATCAATAGAAATAGACTGTGTTACGGATGTGTACTTTATTCTGTATTAAGAATTGGGACTTTGTGTCTTAACTATGTTCTAGGTAATCTTTAAAGCTAAAATCCTCAGGGCCAGAGACATAGTACAGCAGATAAGGTATTTGCACACAGCAGACCTGGTTTTGATTCCTGTCACCACTTATGGTCTCCTGAGCACAAATCTGCGTGTGGACTAAAAATGGATTAAAAAATAAAAGACTAACATCTTAAGTGGTTTTGTGTGGGTAATAGGTGAATCCATGGACTTCCCCCCAAAAAAAGGGACAACTCTCCAGAATTGCTCAACCAGTCTCTGACAAGATAGCATTTTTTGATTCAATGTAGAATCTTAGTAGTAGTGTCACATCTGATCCTTTCACACAGGTACCTCGCAGAATGGATGGTGTATGGTTATCCCTCAGAAAACGTCTGGGAGTTGGACTTGAAACGTTTTGGAGCCCTCCAGAGCAGCCGCACGTTTCTGCGCCACCGGGTCATGGAGGTCATGCGTAAGGAGGCTTGCTTCCTCTTGTTTCCTCTTCATCTGATGCAGCGGTCTTGGGCAGAGGCTGCTCATCAGAGAGAGGGCAGCTTTCCTTTAGTTTTTTAGTCATTGCTTCAAGTTGGGCTTCTGATGTTTGACTATTTCAGACCTATATTAGGGACACCGTGGCACACATATTCATGGCACATTTTCTTGTATACGTATTTCAAACTATTTCTGGGAGTAGACGAATGACTCATGGTGGTAATTCCTGGCAAATTTCTTATAGTCTTTTATATTCTCTTGTGTTCCACTTTGATTGGAAAGATCTGCTATCAGAGGAAAAGCTCTCTGTTCCCTACTTGATCTTTGAGATATGGTTTGTTTCTGAAGGCAGAGAATTTGTGAAGTGATCTTTATTTTTTTATTTCTTTAAAATTTTTATTAGTGAAACACCATGAGGTACAGTTGTAGACTTACAAATTTTTGTGCTTGGGTTTCAGTTATACAATGAATGATCCAGTACCCATCCCTCCACCAGTGCCCATTCTCCATCATTTACTTTTTTTTTTTTTTATTTTTATTAGACACCATGAGGTACAGTTGTAGACTTACAAATTTTTGTGCTTGGGTTTCAGTTATACAATGATCCAGTACCCATCCCTCCACCAGTGCCCATTCTCCATCATTTACTTTCTTTTTTTAAATTATTGTTAGTGAAACACCATGAGGCACAGTTGTAGATTTACAAATTTTTGTGCTTTGGTTTCAACTGTACAATGATCCCTCCACCAGTGCCCATTTTCCACCACCACGGGTCCCAGTATCCCTCCCACCCCCCATCCCCCTGTCCCACTCTGCCTCTGTGGCAGGGTATTCCCTTTTGTTCTCTCTCTCCTTTTGGGTGTTGTGGTTTGCAAAAGAGGCATTGAGTGGCAATCATGTTTGGTCTGTAGTCTACTTTCAGCATTCTTTTCCCATCCTGGGAGGATCTTCCCAACACGCTTTATTTGGTGCTCCTTTCTCTGTCTGAGCTCCCTTTTCCCCTAGAGTGTGTGGCTGGCCTCCAAGCCATGGACCAAAACTCCTGGTACTAATCTCGGCCACTCTTGGGTGTTAGTCTCCTATTTTGTTACTTTATGTTCCCCAGGTGAGTGTAATCTTTCTATGTCTATCCCTCTCTTTCTGGCTCATTTCGCTTATATGATACTTTCCTACACTGCATGATACTTTCCATGTAGTACTACTTGTATGTAAACTTCATGATGTGAAGTGATCTTTAAAGCTCTGAATGATTTTCATTATTAATCCAAAATAGGCTAGCAAGTTAGGAAATTACACTTCACAAATACAGAACATACATTTCATCCCTCTTTGTCCTTGGTCTTCCAACTTCGAAGGATTTGGTATCTTTATTTTTATGTTGTTATTCAGTAAGCCTTAAAGATGTAGCAGGCATTAAATTAGATTCTAATTTCATTTTTCTGTATACTGAGGATCTGTTCTTTGCCAAAGTGAATGTGAGTATTTTGGATATATTTATGCTTAAGAATTAAGTTTCTATATTGGTTTTGACTTGATTACAAAGGAACTGGAGGCCAGGGAAATAGCTGTGCATGTACAAAACCTGAGTCCAGTCCCCAGCTCCCAAAAGCAAACAAAACAGTTGAACTATTGATTTAGCATTTATGGTGAGCCTTTAGATACCCCTTTAATCTTGCATACTCACATTTGGCCATAGTCAGGAGAATTTGAATCCATGGAAGAAGAAGGGCCTGGCAGTAGTGTGTGTGTGTGTGTGTGTGTGTGTGTGTGTGTGTGTGTGTGTGTGTGTGTATGTATATAAAAACAGTCGAATTATTGACTTAGCATTTATGGTGAGCCTTTAGATAGCCCTTTAACCTTGCATGCTCACATTTGGTCAGAGTCAAGAGAAATAGAATCCATGGAAGAAGGGTCTGGCAGTACTATGTGTGTATCTCTCTCTTTCTCTCTCTCTCTCTCTATATATACATATATATGTATATATATATGTATATATCTGTATCTGCTAAGATTTCTAAGATTCCTTTTTCTTAAGCCAATCTTGTGGCTAATGTGTTGAACAGTTGTTGAGCTCTAACAGATATTAGGGCACTTTTGGTGCCTTCTCTGATTTCTATGAACTAGAAATGCAGCTATGGTGGAGACTGACAAATAGTTTGACTGTAGGTATCTAGCATGGATTCCTTCTCATCAGTCTCCAGCCTCCTTTCCCCTCTGGTGTTGGAATCCTTTGAGGTTAGGTCTTCTTTGTAGAAGTAACTGGAAATTATGCTCTTTCTAGCTATCAATGTTTTTTTTTTTAATTTTTAAATTTTTATCTCTTCTATTGAATCACCATGAGATACACAGTTACAGAGTTGTTCATGATTGGGTTTCAGTCATACAATGTTCCAATACCCATCATTTTGTTGTTTTTGTTTTGATTTTTGGGCTTTGCCTAGCAGAACTCAGGGCTTACTTCTGGCTCTGAGCTTAGGGTTCATTTCTGACCAGGAACGGGGGGACCAGATGTCATGCCAGGGATTAACCCTGGTTGACTGTGTGCAAGAGAAGCACCTTATCTGCTGTACCATTTCTACAGTCCTTTATGGCTAACTTGTTGCTTTTGCAGTTTGGACATTAGCAGAACTTAATTCTGATCTGAGCTTTGTAACTATTGGGACACTACTGTACAGATGTCAGGTACTGTCAGGTTTCAAAGCTACTGGATCAAGGTGAAATAGGTGCCCTTTCATCCCAAAATGGGTTAACATTTGTGCTGGCACATTGTTTGGTGGCTCATATTGAATGTGGTTTAATTATCACAAATTGCAGGGCTGGTATCATTTTAAATATTGAGAGAAAATGTCTAATAGTTCAGTTCCCAGTAACAGGTGAATATTCAATAAATTAATTTTCCCACAATTATAACTGAGTACCGTTTCAATGTCATCTCCATGCCTGCTGTGGAGCTTCGTAAGGTTTAGAATGATATACAACTTTTAGTCATTATTTCTACGCGTAATTTGGAATGATAATTGAAAAGAAACTTCAAACCATTGTCTGATTCATACCTGTAGTGCCTATAATTGGACGATGCTGACACAGCCATTGCAATGTTAGTCTTTCTTCTGGAGTAAGCTTATAATGAAAGATCCTGTTTGTTGGCAAATTTAGCTGCATTAGCCTAGGAAGTCTGTTCTTTTGAATAGGTGTACTCTGAGTCTACTGGATATTGCCTATTACCTGTGATTTGGGCTCTCATAACTGTCATATGTGTTCTAGCTCTGCTGTATGACCTGAAGGTTCCCCGTTGGGACTTCCAGACTGGGAGGCAGTTACGCACTTCTCCTCTCTATGACCGGTTGGACGCACAAGGAGCCAGGTGGATGGAAAAACATGGATTCGAGAGGCCAAAGTACTTTGTGCCACCAGACAAGGGTAGGAGGCCATTGTTTTCTTCCTTTTGTCTCGAGAATGAAAAACCATTTTTACTTATGTTATATTGTGCTGGGGGTGGTCCTCCCAAGCAATGCTCAGAGGGCCACTCCTGGCCATGCTGAGCCAGCTAGGCCTTAGGTTCAGTGTTAGTATGTTGGTGCTGATAAACACTAAGTTCAAGCTTAGTGCTTGGGGCCTCCAAGGCTGTACTTGGCAATGCTTGAGGGGCTATTTTGTGTCAGAGATTATGGGGGTCAGCTGCATGCAAGTCATGCACCTTAACCCTTGTACTCTCTCTCCAGCCCAGGAAAACTTTGTTTTTGCCCACACTTTGGTGGTATTTGGGGTTTACTCCTTGCTCTGCTCAGAATCACTTCTGGTGTGCTGGGGATTAAACCAGGGTCAGCCACATGCAAGGCAAATGGCTTACCCCCCCGGTACTGTCTCTCCAGCCCTCCAAGAAAACAACTGTTTTTGTTTTTGGGCCATAACCTGGAGGTGCTCAGGGAGCACTTCTAGAAGGGCTTGGGGGGGGTTCCATATGAGGTGCCAGGGAGCAAATTGGGCTACATGCAAGGCAAGCATCCTACCTGCTGTACTATTGCTCTGGCCCTGGAAGAATAAATCATTGAAACACTGTGCTATACTGCACTATAAGGAGACTCTCCAATGGAAATCCCTCCTTTCATCTGTTTTTTTCCCCCCCTATTCTGCAGATCTGCTTGCATTGGAACAGAGCAAGACTTTCTATAAGCCAGACTGGTTTGATATTGTAGAGTCTGAAGTCAAGTGCTGTAAGGAAGCTGTGTGTGTTATCGACATGTCCTCTTTCACCAAGTTTGAAATCACAGTAAGTATTTGGAACTGAAGTAGTGGACTAGAAAACTGCATATGTATTGTTTTTCACCTGTTATTTCAGAACTGTTTAAGAACTCTGGTGTGTTTCAGCGTTTTATCTGTATCAAAACATTTTCCTCAAGTTTTAGCTGTTTCTAGTCTCTTAAACTGCTTGCAGAAGTACATTTATCATTAGAATTAGGTGGTAGCTTTCTGTGGCACTTTTTGCAATGAACTAAATCTGCAGATATGGTTTCTTGAGTAGTGACTAGTTGAATTTCCTCAGAATAGCACTGTATGTCAGGCCATGCTACCCAGCCAGATGCTCTCCTGTTCACTCTCTCTGCTTTTTTCCCTAACCTGACAGTCCACTGGGGATCAGGCATTAGAAATTCTGCAGTACCTCTTCTCCAATGACATTGATGTGCCTGTGGGCCACATTGTACATACTGGCATGCTCAACGAGGGCGGAGGCTATGAGAACGACTGCAGTATAGCCCGGCTTAACAAGCGCAGGTGAGGAGGCCTGAAATACCTGAAATGCATGTTTTGCATGTTCAGTGGGCTAGAATGCATGTTTGACATGTAAGAGACCTGTCCCTGGAACCACACATAGTTTCCTAGCACCACCAGAGGCAACCTCTGGAGCAGTAAGCCAGGTATGGTTCAGATACTCCCCCTCACCCCTCAAAAAAAACCTCATCAGATTATATAAAAATTGGGTGTGAAGGGCTGGAGTGATAGCACAGCGGGTAGGGTATTTGCCTTGCATGCGGCCGACCCGGGTTCGAGTCCCAGCATCCATCCCATATGGTCCCCTGAGCACTGCCAGGAGTAATTCCTGAGTGTATGAGCCAGGAATAACTCCTGTGCATTGCCACGTGTGACCCAAAAAGCAAAAAAAAAAAAAAAAAAAAGAAAATTGGGTGTGAAGAAATTAATCTCTATTTACCCTACTAGGAACAGATGCTTTATCTCATGTTTATAGGTATGTATAATTTCTTGGCACTAACAACAGGTAGCTAAAAACCCATTTTGTTCTTTTATGGTATATTCTAGAATTATTTGGTCCTTTCATGTGCCAGGTCTGTATTCATACTTTGAAATGAGCTGAAAATGTTTCCTGATCTTTTTCTGCTGCCTGGTTTTAATTACTCTTGGTTATCACTTTTCAGTTTCTTCATGATTTCTCCAACTGACCAGCAGGTCCACTCTTGGGCCTGGCTTAAGAAGCACATGCCAAATGACAGTAACCTGCTTCTGGAGGATGTCACATGGAAATATACGGGTAAGGTGGCCTGATGGGGCCAGCTGAGCAAGAAAGGCCAGCTGATCCAGAGTTTCTTCATTTTGGCCTTTTTACATTTGATACTCAGAAATAAACATTGGGATTGGAAGCTTGGGGGCTGGACATAGACAACAGGGTTAAAGCACTTGCCTCACACATGGCTGACCCTGGTTAGGTTCACAAGTACCACCGGGAGTGATCCCATAGCATAGAGCCAAGAATAAACCCTGAGCAGCACTGGGTGTGGGCCCCCAAACAACAACAACAAAAAAAATGGAGGCATGCAAGAGGCTCTCTGGTCATAGAAAAACGGATCCTTAATGCCTCCCCCATGTTTTTCTATAAGTGAAGTGCGGATTACTAGTGCTTTAATTTCTTTGCTTTGTCCATTGCTGGATTCCTTGTGGCCACCATATTTGAGTTCAAATATTTGTTTAATGAATCATGGAATTAAAAATATTTGTAGAAAAAAATGTTTAGGGATCCAGGGAGATAGCTCGAAGGGTTGGTGCATGTGCTTTGTATTGAAGACTGGGTTCAATTCCCAGCAGTCCACAGTCACCCAAATAGCTTGCCAGAAAGTAACACCTGAACACTGCTGGGTATGCTCTAAAACTCCTCTCCTGGGGTCCGAAGTGATAGTACAGTGAGTAGGGGGTTTGCTTTGCATACAGCTGACCCAGTTTCACTTCCTGGCATCTCTTTTGGTCTCCTGAGCACTGCCAGGATTGATTTCCTGAGTGCAGAGCCAGAAACTCCCTGAGCACTGCCAGATATGGTCCTACTCCTCCCAAGCAAAATCCCAAAATCAAAATACTCCCTCTCCAAACTGAAAAAATAATTTGTAATATTTTCTTCAAAATATTCCCTTAGTTGTTTTAAAATCATTTTCCAGGATGGCTTATGATTATCTCTTCTCAGTCTCTTCCTTCCACCCCTTATTCCTGCACCCACTCCACTGAGACCTTCATTCACAGTTCCTCTAGCTCCTTCCTACCACATCAGCAAACTCTGGAATCTTGCTGGATCAAAGTTGTTTCCTAGCCCACATAAGGGTTGTTGTGGTGACTTGTACAAACTGTTGTCAGCAGCATGACAGAACCCAGGGTGGTCACTTCAGGTCTTGTCAGAGTTCTCCTTTAGGTAGTGTCAGGGGACTGGAAAGGAATAGGCATTGTATAAACGGTTTATGGCAAATCGTGGAAGTGGGTTTCTACTACTCCATGGACAGGACATGGTGTCTGATTCCAGTCTAATTGCAGGGGAAGCTATGGGATGTTGTCTTCCTGTGGACTCTGGAGAGGGATCACTAGTAAGGCTTTCATACAAGCAGAAGCTGCCTTAAGTAGGCCTTGGGGATATGTATCTGCCAGCATCAGGCTGCTCTGTGTCTGTCTTCAATACCTAAGCAAAGGGATGCTTTCATCGTTGTAACCCCCAGTCATTGCCATATGTGAGCAAGTCTAGAGCAGAGCCTACCCTTTGGCCCAACTGTTCACCTGGAGAGGCCAGACATGTCTTGTTCTTTTCCATTTAGCCCTCAATCTGATTGGTCCTCGAGCTGTGGATGTGCTGTCCGAATTGTCCTATGCCCCTATGACTTCAGACCACTTCCCAAGTCTGTTTTGCAAGGTGGGTGCTAGTAAAGCTGTGGTTTTCAAGTGAGTAGGAATGTTTCTTTTATAGAGATGGCAAGAACTTTCCTTTAACTGTGGCTTTAGCATCCCAAAGAGGGGTGATTTTTACTAAACAGAATTTGTTCTTTCACATTCAGGCTCTTCTTACCTAATAAGTGTAAGGACACCTCTGAGGTGATGTAACATCACTGAACAGCAGTTCTGTTTATTTGTTGATTTCTGTAGCAGTGATACACTTTGTAAAATAGAAGATTATGACAGTGATGCCAAAAAATGCCAGTCAATGCCAGGTGCCTTTTCTCCATGCAGTGTTTCCTCCTTTGCATGAGTAATTGCTGTATGTCTGGGTATGTGGCATTTTCAGGTTAATGGTTTAGTTAACTAGGAAACAGCTGATTAGAGGGGTTGAGACATGTTTTGGCAACACAAGTAACTGCAGAACAGTTAAGATGGGAGACTCTTTTTGAAGTTGAGACCAAAGTTGGGCTGTACCTGCTAACTGATGTTTCATTTTTCTTGTTGGTCCCTGACAAAGTGAAAGCAGTAGGAATGTTCCTGCTCACGGCACTCACTCCCTTTGCTGCTTGGAGCAACCCACATGCCAGAGCAGCACATTAGGTTGAGCTGTGCATGGAGTCAGCAGGCCTGTTTGCTAACTGAGCTGCTAGAATCAACATTTGAATACTAGATCCAGGTCTCTGCTTCTAGTGTAGCAGGAAGATTGTTTCTGTAATCATCGGCATCATCTCTTGTGGGGTAGATCCCAAGACTTATCTGTCAAGACCCTCAAGACATTTGCCTTGGTCTTCACTGTTTCCAAGCCTAAAGCCACTTGGGGATGTTGCAAAAAAGAAACATTTCCTTCTTGTCAAAGTCTTTGCCTCTGTTTCCTACCAGCAGCTTAGATAGCGCTCCTAATGCTAACATGCTGATGTTTGTGAGAAGAGCTATTAGAAAGGCTGTGCTCCCTTCAGAGTGACCCCAATACCGGAAACAGACTTAGGATGAAATAAGTTCTTTCCATGTATCTCCCTTAGGGCCAGACACAGGGAGCACAGCCAGGAGAAGTTACCTCAGGCAAGTGGTTCCCACTGACTTTCTCCCTTTGTTCCCCCAGGAGATGAGTGTGGGCTATGCAAATGGGATCCGGGTGATGAGCATGACGCACACAGGGGAGCCGGGATTCATGCTCTACATCCCTATCGAGGTGAGTACAGAAGGAGGAATGTTGGCTTCATTGTCAGAGATGCCGTCTCACCTGACACTTAGGAACAGGCTGCATTAAAGACAGCAATGGTTAAACGAAGTTAATTTTTCTGAACAAGAAATAACAGTTAACATAATTTAAAAATAAAAACCTATAGAAGCTGATGGCCATCTGACCAGTTCCACCAGTTATCACCAATGATACTATTCCCTTTTTTATGTCTTGAGAACTATGTGCATATCTCAGTTTGAAGAGTTCTTAAATCCCTTTGAAAAATGCAAATTTGGGGGCCTGGATTGGTGTTACAGCTGGTAGGTTGCTTACTCTGCACACAGGGACCAACGCAGGTTTGATCCCCAGCACCCCATAGGGTTGCCTGAGCACTACCAGGAGTGATCCCTGAGTGCAGAGGTGTGAGCCCTGAGCATGCCAGGTGCGCCCCTGCCCCAAAGAAAAAAACCCCACATAGTGGATACACCCTGTTCAAGCTTTTTTTCACCTGTTTCTCTTACAGCTCTTTCCTTGTCAGTACCTTTAAAAGGCAGTCTTTAATTTTACAATATACTTGGATTGTAACTTCTCAAGTCTGATAAAGTATTAATGTGAATACTAACATTTATAGTTTATAGTCTTTTCTGGTTCTTTGGACCACACCTGACTGTACTCAGGGCTTATGCTGGGGATTGCACTGGATTGGCCACTTGTAAGGTATCTGCTGTACTATTTATTTATTTGACTTTTTGGGTCACACCCCGTGATGCTTGGGTTACTCCTGGCTCTGCAGTCCTGGGAGTGCTCAGAGGACAATATGGAATGCTGGAGATTGAACCCGGGCTGGCCACATGCAAGGCAAACGTCCTACCCACTGTAGTATCATTCCAACCCTGTTGTACTATTTACCCCCTATAGTATCTGTTCTTTTGCTATTATAAAAAGCACTGTCTGGCTAGATAGTACAGCAGATAAGGCACTTACGTTGCAATGGCTGACCTGGGTTTGATCCCTGACTACCACAAATGGTACTCTGAGCACAGTCAGGATTAAGACCTGATGCCTGCAGATGCTGACCAAAACCAAACCAAACCAAAAAATACTGTCACATACAGCAGGATCTTTTACCATATAGCACGTACAAAAGATAGAGTTTTCAAATTTTATTATTATTGTTTTTGGTCCATTACTTGGTCGTGCTTGGCTGACCATATAGGTTGCCAGGAATCAGAGCCGGGTCAGCCATGTGCAGGGAAACTCCAGCCCATACGGTTTTCAAACTTGAATCTGATCAGTGTAAACTAACTTGTTTGTGCAATTCTATGCATGAAGTTGTACAACTTCAATACTCCTCATTCCAAATCCCTCTCCAGGGCCTGCCTCACCCTTTGTTTCCACTTCTGAAACCTCTCCTGTCTTCTCAACCTCTCACTTGCTGCTCTTTAACAGACTAGACATGTTTCTGTCTCAGAACTACTACTTTTTTTTCTTTGGGGCCACAGCTGGCCCCAAAGTACTTAAGAATCACTCTTGGTGGGCTCAAGGGGCTACATGGGATGCTGGAGATTGAACATGGGTCAGTTGTGTGCAAGGCAGGTGCTCTTCCCACTGTATTATGGCTCCGGCCCCTCTGCTTCAGAACTTTTATACTTGGTTACCTTTCCTTGGGATGTCCTTCCTCTAGATGGTTGAGGCTGACATCCGCAGCTGGTCTGTTCCCCTCACCTGTCACCTCACTGGAACCTTATTTCAAGTGCATCCCTCCTTTCTCCCTCTTCTCTCCATGATGCTGTCCAATAAAAAATAAATTTAATTGTAGCCATCAGATACCCCCTCATAATTTTTGGTTTGGGGGCCATATCTAGTAGTGCTCAGGGATCACTCCACGTCCAAGGCAAGTGGCTTACTGCTATATACTGCTCCAGCCCCCAGATACCCATTTAATAAGGTTCCCTGGAAACAGACATATGTTTGTTGTGAATCCCTAGTACACAATATTAAATGCTGCTTCATAGAACATATAGTGCTATGATAAAGAAGTCTATACCAGCGAAGATATTTTTTTTCCTGTGCCTTTTCTGTTTTCATGTTTCTTTCAAATGCTATAGTCTTACAGGATTTTGAACGTAACACTGTATGTTTAGATAGAAACTATATACTTGCTTTCAATTTGGAAAATAATGAGAAGCTGGATGTCAGGGAACAGGAAGGAGAGCTCAGGGTCCAGGCTCCACTGTTTCCTGTCTCACACCATTATCTGTGCCAAAAGGCATTATGCGTACACAACCAGTTGTGGTAACATGTTTCATAGTTAGGCCAGCACAGAAAGGAAGGAAAAAGACTGAGGAATTGGGTATGGAGAAGATGGCTGTCTTAAGACAATTATATTTAAGTACTGCTTTATAAAAGAGGAATTTTGAGGGGTTGGAGCGATAGCACAGCAGGTAGGATGTTTGCCTTGCACACAGCTGACCCAGGTTCGATTCCCAGCATCCCATATGGTCCCCTGAGCACCACCAGGAGTAATTCCTGAGTGCATGAGCCAGGAGTAACCCCTGTGCCTTGGCAGGTGTGACCCAAAAAAGTAAAAAAAAAAAAAAACAAAAAAGTGGAACTTGAGCCTGAGTTAAGGGTGATCTGGCTCATTACTACTGGCACTTTAAAGGACTCTCGATGCAGCGGTTGTTTGGAGATTTTATGCAGTCTCCACTGTTTATACACATTAGTGCCGGCACTGTGTTTGGCACTAGGTTGGCTGCATGCAAGGCAAGAGCCCTACCAGCTGAGCCTGAGTTAGGGGTGATCTGACTCATTACTACTGGGCACTTTAAAGGATTTTTGATGCCGAGTCTGTTTGGGGATTTTATGCAGTCTCCACTGTTGAACACAGTGCCTGCCCTGTGTTTAGCACTGTGTTTGGCACTAGGTTGGCTGCAAGCAAGGCAAGAGCCCTACCAGCTCTTCAGCTCTCTGGGGCTCTTCGGACAAAATTACGGAAGACTGCATATGGTGAAGGAGCGATTTTTCACAAACTGCCAGGCATATACATACCCATGTTTAATCCTGAAGGTCTGTTGATGACTAACCTGTGATCTCTCCCTTTAGTATGCACTACATGTGTACAACGAAGTGATGAGTGTTGGGCAGAAATACGGAATCCGGAATGCTGGGTACTATGCTCTTCGTAGTCTCCGAATTGAGAAATTTTTTGCCTTTTGGGGTCAGGATTTAAATACTCTCACCACACCCCTGGAATGTGGACGAGAATCTCGGGTGAAATTGGAAAAGGTACTGTATAGCTACAGACATCCTATATGGTTCTGCAAGCACTGCCAGGAGTAATTCCTGAGTTCATAGTTGAGGAGTAACCCCTGTGCATCCTGGATACAACTCAGAGTACAAAAAGCTGATGAGGAAGAAAAGTAGGAAAAAGATGAGGACTTGGTGAGAATATTGGGAGAATTAGGAGGTCCTGAGAGTTAAAACAGGTCTGTGTGGGATGAAAAATACTCAAGTTTGGGGGGATTTGGGGCCACACCACCGATGCTCAGGAGTTAATCCTGGCATTGTGCTCAGGGATCACTGCTGGTAGGTGACCAGGGGACCATGTGGGATGCTGGGGATTGAACATGGGGCAGCTTTGTACAAGAAAAGCACAGTAACTGCTGTATTATCTCCCTCTGGCCCCTGGGATAAAGTCTTAATATAGAAACAACATAAATGGATCACACTTAGGCTCCAAGCACTTTAGTCTGTAAGTTCCTTCTGGGAAGATTTTCAGTTGATTCATTAACATGCCACAAATCAAATTATGATTTACATCCAGCTAATGTCTTTTCAAAAGCATATTCATTAAAAAATCTCTCCTCTACCACAAGCAGTCTTCCCTGATTTTGTCCGAAGAGGGCCAGAAAGCTAGAACAGCCGGTAGGGCTCTTGCCTTGCATGCAGCTAACCTAGTCAGTCCTGGCATCTCATGTGGTTCCTGAGCCCACCAAGAGTGATTGCTGAATGTAGTCAGGACTCCTGAGCACTGCCAGGTGGGGTCCCCAAGCAAAACAAAAAAACCCCTTAAAACCTAATTTTGCCAGGATAAAGTGTCTATTTAGAGAGCTTTACGTCGATTCCCCTCCCTACTCTTCTTGGAGGTTGAAGGGCTTCTCCTGAGGATATGCTGCCAACCACACTAGATCAGTGTTAGTGCCTGAGGATGGTGCTGACTAGAATGGATGGGGGCAGGGTGGGGGACATGGGGGATGTGGTGCCTGATCAAATGGTCCTGAACTATGCTCCCAGTGCAGCTTTTTAAAATACAGATAGTAGCCTATTTGTTATGTGTACTTAAAATATAAGCAAACATTCTATCTCAGTTTAACAAATCTGTATAAATTACATAAACTTTCTTTAATAATATTGCTACAAGCTTTTCGTTGCAGTCATGGTTCTAACAAGTATGTATACGTGTACACACACACACAGTTCTGGTAGTGCTCAGGGGCTACTCCAAGCTCAGTGCTTGGGGTAGCTTCTGGTGGTACCAAGGCTGGAACCTGGTCCTCCTGCATCTAGAACACATACTCCAGCCCAATGAGACATCTCTTCAAATTCTCTATCATATAAAGCATTTTGACCATTGATTTTTCTAAATATTTTCTATGTGGTCCTGTAGTTAGAATCTGTAGGAAAAGTAAAATATGTTAGAAAATTTTCTTAGGAAAATACTTTCCCCAGTTCAACAGGGTGTGGAGGAGTGTATACCTCCCTGCTGTGGTTCCTGTGCAAGCAAGATTTATCTCAGTGTGGCCTTGCTTTCCTAGGGGATGGACTTCATTGGCCGAGATGCCCTGTTGCAGCAGAAGCAGAATGGGGTATACAAACGCTTAACCATGTTCATCTTGGATGACCACGACACAGACCTGGACCTCTGGCCTTGGTGGGGAGAGCCCATTTACCGAAATGGGCAATATGTTGGCAAGATCACCAGCAGTGCCTACGGTTACACGCTGGAACGTCATGTCTGCTTGGGCTTCGTGCATAATTTTTGTGAAGACACTGGGGAAGAACAAGTGGTGACCCCAGATTTCATCAACCGGGGCGAATATGAGATTGACATCGCAGGACACCGGTTCCAGGCCAAGGCCAAGCTCTATCCTGTCACCTCTCTCTTTACACATAAGCGTCGAAAGGATGATGAGGAACTAAGTGACTTGCATGGGAAATAGTGCCAGGCAATCTCACTGCCTATCATCTCATCTTAGGAGTTTCTTTCTTCTGTTTCCTTCCTTGTTGCCCACTTCTTTCAACCTTTGTCGCACATCTTTTACCTCATGGATACAATTTTAAACTTGCTATGTCTCATGTTTTTCCATCTCCTGGTCCCTTTTGTCCAGTTTTTTCTTCACTCTGGGCTTTTTCCCTCTTCCCTCTGCCCCTCAGATTCCCATGGTGACAGAAAGCATGTCTGCCAGGCAGGACTCCTCTTGGGGAAGTGGGTTACAATGACAGCTGGGACTCAAATGCTGTATGTGAGCAATATGCCGAGTTCAGTGGGTTGCAAGATGTTTGCTATAGTCCTGAGGGTTAGGTTGTGCCTTTTAGCTTGTTCTGGTATGCTGTGGGCACCTTGACAACTTTAGCAAGAGGATGACCATCTACCTCACCAATGACAGGCATCATGTGGACATTATTAATTTGACCCATAGCAGAGATAAGCAGATAGCCATCCTGGCTTTCCTTGCCTAATGAGTTAAAGCCACTGCTTATAATTTTCTCCATCTCATGCTAATCTCCATAAATGGTTCTGTTTGTTTAAACTGAGTAAACAAACCAGTGTTTCAAAGAGGAAAATCACTTTGTCTTCTCTTTTACAAGGGTCTGACTTCAGAAAACCACCATTGTTGCTGAATTTCCTACCATTAAAACTGCTGCTTTAGGGGCCTACCTGGGTTCAATCTCCAACACCAAAAACAAAACACAAGTGTGTTGCTTTTACTTCAGCTATTCAAAGCTGTTATTTCATTTTGATTTTATCACCACCACAGGAGCTCAACAGGCACTTCTCTCCTGGGCTTGCAGTCTGTGCTCAGCAATTGGAATCTTAAATTCTGCTTCTTCCAGCAGAGAACGAACTAGACCCATCCGCGGATAGTCCACATGGTACTTTGAAAGTTGGTTACAGAAGATGTTATGTGAGTCTGTAGAGAACTGCTTTACATCTTTTCTTCCCAAAGTATTTCTCTACCTAACCATCTCTCTAACTTCTAGGACAGATGTCTTGCACATTTTCAAAGAAGTATTTCTGCTTCCTGAAGGTGATAACACAGATGTTGCTGCCATCCCAACCCTCACCTTTATCTTAAATCTAAATTATCCTAGTCTGGTTTTTTCCTAAGCTGCTTTTAACATGTGGTTTTTACAATTAAGGATTGATTGCCATTTAATTTATATCTCAAGGTTAAGGGGATATATTCTTAGGATTATCCTTCCATTCTTGACGGAGGCATAGTGATTACTAATGAGGAAAATCACAGATGTGAAGGCAATAAAGCAGAAAAACTTGTAAACACTGCTAGGGATTACTGAGGCTCCATCTATGGCTTTGGCACAATGGTGCTGTGGCAGCTTTGTGTCGTGACTATGAGGAAATCATATTTCTGTTCCAAGAACTGGATTCTTGAGGGTTTGGTTTATAAAACTGACCAGCTTTTAAAAAGAAAAGTTGAGTGGTTCCACTGCTCCACCATCTCCTGCTCATCAAATATGGCATCTTTTCTGAGACTTCTTGGCACAGGATTTTGTGGCACCTTTTACTTTGATTTACAGGAATAGATCTTGGTGTGGATTGTGTATCACAGATGTATCCTGCTTGCTTGGACATCTGGGCCAAGAGGACCAAACCATATAGTGCATACCCTAAAACTGGTCTTTGAGCTGTCTGTATGGTGCTGTTTGTACATGGTTCTCCCAATTTAAGTGCACGCAAGCTGCTGTTAAGAAAATTGTAACTGTAGCTTTTTTTGTGTGGGTATTTTGGAAGGGTTAGCTTAGATCTGTAGGCTTATTAAAGCTTTTCATTTTAGTATTGTATCTTAAAAATTTCAGGTGCCTATCTGCTTTGGTATTTGAAATTTGCTTACCCAATCAAACCTGTTAACTCTAGATATTTCTTAGCAAGCAACACTACGATTACAGATTTTAGTTTCTACCTTTTAGACTTGTTAAGGGAGTATGTGATTTAGTTAGGGAACCTTGCTATTTTGGAACAGCAGTGAAGATTTGGTGAAGGGAGAAGACAGGAACTTGGCTAAGACAGATGCTACCGGGAGGGATCCCACTGTCCCGTGAAGATGATGCATATACGCCTAAACTAAAGGTATGGGAACCATGCCAAACAACTTGATAAAATGAAAATTATTTAGATAGTCCAAACAAAAGTCTTAATTTGTGTATGAAATTACATTTTGTCCTTAAATAGGATATGCCTAAGATTTTGGTCTGTTTGGCCACACCTGCTGTTGCTCAGCGGTTACTTTTGGTTCTGCACTCAGGAATTACTCCTAGAGGTGCTTGGGGGATGATATGGGATGCTGGGGACCAAACTCAGGTTGGTTGAGTGCAAGGCCACTGTACTTTTCTCTCTGGCCCCATTTGCCTAAGATTTTCATCTTCTGAGGTATCACTTGTTTATTGAGTACTATGAAACATTTGACACTTTTAAATCCATCCCTTGAGGTCTTTTTTGGTTCATTCATTTATAGCTATTCTGAAGCTAATGTTTTCCTAAAGCAGTGACCCTTTCTTTTAGCATAACTGACAATCAGAAATCCTCATTTGCATGCCACTTCCATCTCCTGGGACTGCTTGTCCTGTGCTCTCCCTGGGGGAGCTGATTCATTTCTCTAGCTTGAGATTCTAAGGATTCTGAGCTCTTGTGAATGAAGACTGGCCTATTCCCACCCCTCCTCCCAAAAAAAGGTGTTACTTCACTTGTACAGCTTACATTTCTAGTTGTTTCCCCTCTGGCTTAAAGACATGTTTGCTGGCATCTGAGTTTCATCATTCTCTGAGAACCCTAAACATAAGCAAGACTCTTCTGTGACCTCTAGTGTGCATTCTGCACCTAAAAGACTGTCCTCGTAGAACTATTGCACTGGTTTGCTTACAGATGTTCAGCTACAGGGCACATTTTTCTGTTGTGTTACTTTGTGCACAACCCCTCTTCACACTGCTCACACACGAGATAAGCAACAAATTACCACCAGGATAAGAAATTTTTCTCCTAAGTAAAAAACTCCTTTTCGCTTTGCAAGCATATGAATTTTGGACAAGCACATGAAGTGTTTTAAGAGGTACCGCTTCCCTGCAGTCATAAAGGAGTAATGGGTCTACAATCAGCACCCCCTTACAACCCTCATTTTAAGGTGCTGAGTTGTAATGCTCCTTCACTATCAGTATGGGCTTAAACCTGCAAGCCCTTGTCACTATATTGCACTATTTTTCAAGAGGACCGAGTATTTTTGTATGTCTTTTCCGTCATTTCATCCATTAGACTCCAGAGCTGTTCCTTGTATATAATCCTCAAATCAGAGCATCCTTTGAAGAATTACATGTTTATTCATGGGCCGTTTTCCTTATGTATGTAGATGCACCTATTTTTTTCCTTGCAAATCTCCTGCCTCCTTGTCTCTAAAAGATGGGAGGTGGGGAAAATATTTTTAGCATCTGTTTGAGAAGATCTATGCCAGGATTTCCTTTGCACACCAAGAACTGGTGCTTGAAGCTCATTTTTCCAAGCCAAGTTCTAGTGCCTTACACTCCAGAATGTCAAGTGGTGGGTGTAGTGAGGCGGAGGAAGAGGAAACAGAATACCTTCATTTCAGTCTAGAGGTTCCCAACTCCCCACAGAGCCTGTTCTGCAGGGAAGAGATGGTGTCGGGTAGAAGCTGCTGCAGCTATCTCAGTTGAAAGAGTTTCTAGCAGCACAGTTAACACTTTACTCTGGTCAACTCTTGGAATGTATGAAAATGCCACTGTAATTACTGTCAAGTGCTACAATTCATTCTTTGCATCTGAAAATGTATAGTTTGTCTCAGCCCTCTCTTGTCCTTGTATAAAGTTAGCATGTTGTCCTGAGGACACTGGAGGCACTTTAAGACCATGGGATCTATTTTCCAGCGCCTTGGTGACCTCCTCTGACTCACAGGGTAACTGAGCATTTCTGCCCTCTGTGAACATGATACTAACACTGTGCACTGTATTTCTATCAACCAGATTTCAACGAAGGATTTCTTTTTCATGTTACTAGGTTTGTAAATGAATAAACATTTTAACTGCTCTTTCCATGTCCATTCTTGAAATGTCTTGCATTTATGTAACTTGGTGACTATGTTTTCCAATGCAAAGGAGAAATACTGTACATAAAAGGCCCTTTGTAGGGCGGAAAGATAGTACAGTGGGTAAGGTTGCCTTTCGTGTGGTTGACCTGGGCTCGATCCCTGGCACCAATCTCCTGAGTCTGCCAGGAATAAGCGCCCTGAGGTGTGGCCTCCAAACCAAGAGGAAACAACCCTTTGTACCATGGTTTTTTGAGTTACCAACCTTGAAAAAAAGAACTTGGTAAGAAGAAAAAAGTATTTGTTACCCTTGGTGTGCAGGGAAGCTTCTGTTCCCGCATCCTGCTGCTGCTGCTGTCCCTTGACTTCAAAGTCCTGAAGTGGACATGGTAAGAAACAGACACTTAACCAAAAGCCTGTGAGCCCACAACTGTATAAATCAATAGTGTACATTGTTGCTTACATCGGGGGAGAAAGGACATCACATGAGAGCATAAAAGAGGCACCATCATTGATCTTTTACTAGACCCAGTTTACACACCCACCTTTTGAGCAGCTACATGGGGGAATCCTGTAGGTTAATGAGTCTGCACCAATCTAATTACCTTGCCTTCCAAATCTGCAGCTTTCATTTTTCAGTTTTTTTGCTATTTAACTGTGCCAGAAATCTGGGGTGGTCTGGTTACCTCACTTTTTCCTAAACCTCAAGTTCTTCACAAACCTAGCACAGTCTTCTGAGTATTTCTGATCTTTTCTGACTTCTTCCCTGGTTGCCATGCAGACATTCCATCTTCGTCTCCCTCACTTGCATGGTGATCTCTGAAATGATCTGTTTATTTGTCCTGTCAACCCATCACACTACTGGCTATCTACTTAAAATGTGTCTGCTCCTGCCACTCATTGATATAAAACCCTCAACTCTCCTTTTTTTTCACAGCTCAAGCATACCCCTTAGCATGGCAATCGTCACAGTAGGACTGGCCAAATAGTTTCTGTATCCCACACTGGTTCATTCTCCCCCTTGTGTTTGGCTGGTTGGTCTTTTGTCACATCTGCTCTCAAGTAGTCCCACTGAGACTGGTCACACCTGCTCACTGAGATTCCTGGCATCATCCTAAGTCCGAATTTCAATCTGTGGTCCTCTAATTTCCCCCTCCATCATCCTGGGAGACCCCTTTAGAATTTCAAAATGTCCTCCAAGAGCACTACCATCTTAGAGAAGCCTTTACTTTCCTAAGAAAATTAATCTCCGTTATGTTTCAATGCATCCCTTACCTTTTATTCCCCTCCTGCACTTATAATTGCTCTGAAAAGGATTTAGCCTCTAAGAACTCCAAAAGCGTTAGGTTTATGCCTGGCATTTATAGAGGAATATATGGGGAACACAACTCAATTTGCCAGTCTGTAAAATAGACTAATGTTACAGTGGCCTCACAGGTATGATTCATTCAGCCGTTCGTTGGTCATATTAATAATAGGTGGTGGTGTGACGTGAATTGTCATTTCCTGAGTTCAAATAGCTCTTATAAGAGCACCAAGTTAGACTGATAAAATCCGCCCTGTGATAGCCTAGCAAATCCTGTGACTCCTCAAATAAAGACGAGGCTCCTTTGGAAAGTATTAAGTTACAAAACAATGAGATGGGGAGATAAATAGAACAGAATAAATGAAGAACTGAGGGAAAAAACCCACAATGGTTAATCTGCAACAAATGAACCCTCAAAATAAAAGTTCAGGAGACCTGGGTTCAACCCCTAATTCAGTACCACATGGTTCCCTGGGGGGGACAACAACAATAACAACAACAACAACAAAACCCAAAGGGTAAAAGACAGGGCTGGAGAGAAAGCACAGTGGAAAAAGTATTCGCCTTGCATGTGGCTGACCTAGGTTCAATTCTTAGCATTCCATATTGTCCCTGGAACAGCACCAGAGGTGATTCCTGAGTGCATAACTAGGAGTAACCCCTAAGCATCACAGGATATGGCCCCCCAAACAAAAAATGGGACAACTATTTTATACCACACAAAATACAATCAAAGTAGGAGGTCTGGAGCAGTAGTAGGGCAGGCAAGGTGCTTGCCTTGCACGCAAACGACCCAGGTTTATCCCCCAACATCCCATATGGCCCCCTAAGCTCTGCCCGGAGTGGTCGCTGAGCACAAAGCCGGGAAGAAACCCTCAGTGACCAGAAAAAAATAAACGATAAGAATTCTTGAAAGTAGGACTGCATCAAATTATAAAACTTGTCTAGGACTAGTGATGCTGAAGTGGTAGAGCACATGTCCTGCATGTGGCAGGCCCTGAGTTTGATCCCGGAGATGTAGCTCTGATTCTCCCAAGTACCACTGGTTGAGTGCCCCCCAAGCCTCCCTCAAAAAAAAATACAGCAAATGAAACTGGGGTAACCAATTTGGGCTGGAGCGGTAATACGGTGGGTAGGGCATTTGCCCTGCATGCGGCCGACCCAGGTTAGATCCCTGGCATCTCTGATATGGTCCCCTGAGCACCACCAGGAATGATTCCTGCGTGCAGAGCCAGAAGCAACCCCTGAGAACCGCCGGGTGTAACCCAAAAATCCATCATAATAATGATGATAAAGGTAACCAATTGAAAGTGGAAAATTTTGCAAATCTGAGGAGTCGATATTTAAAATATTTAAAGAACCCACAATTCACAGAAAAAATAATAATGGGACTTAAAAGAATGGGGCAGAGCATCTGAAGAGACATTTCCCAAACATACAAAGGCCAAGAGAAATGAAAAGGTATCCTATACAATCCATGACTAGGGACATTCACATTACAACCACATAAGATATGGATCAAACCTATTAGGACTACTCCAAGGATCAGGAGAAGAGGCAGGAATCAAGCTCATGGCAGAGTGCATGTTCTGCATGTATGAGACCTTGGTCTCTCCCTTGGAACCACACCTTTGGGGTACCTCACATTAAAAAGAAAAGCTGGCAAGGATATGGAGAAAAAGGAAAGATGCACTGGGTATAGACAACGGAGAAGCGTCTGGAAAACAGTATGGAGGTCATCAGAAAAGTGAACATGGTCTAATTTGTGATTCCCCACTTAACCTGAGTATTCATCCAAAGTAAAACACAAATTCAAAAAAGATTTATGCACCCCCACATAGACTATTTACAATAACCTAACACCAGTTAGAATAACCAAGACTTGCAAACAACTATGTGTCCATTGATGGATGAAAGAATAAATCGAAGTGTAAGATTAGATACTCAGGAGCTGGAGCAAGAGTACAGTGGGCAGGGCAAGTTTCCCATAATAAGTCCTGGGAATATAATGTACAGTGTGGAGGCAAGTAAAAAGATGTTGATGGGGCCAGAGATTGTACAACAGGGAGGGCATTTGCTTTGCAGGCGGCTGGCTGGGTTCAATCCCTGGCACCTCATGGTCTCCTAAGGCCCCATCAGGAGTGACCCAGTGTCAGAATAAACCCCCAAATCCTGCTGGATATGGCCCCCCAAAACAAAAACAATGCTGCACATCTGGTGGGGGGGTCGGGGGTGGAGGCAGGGAGAGAAGCTGACAGAACCCATAAAGTTCTCAGTACCTCATTACAAGAAGAAAAGTGTCAAGTATTTAAGTTTAGAAGACTCCTAGTGTACACAAAAATCCAACCAGGGGCTGGGGAGAAGGCTCAAAGGGCTGCAGTGCATACTTTGCATGTGGGAGCCCTGGATTTGATCCCTGGCACCATATGGTCTCCTGAGCACAGCCAAGTGTAACACCTGAGCATCATACTGGGAGGCACCCTACCCAATTTAAATCAGCATGTTTCCCACCTGAAAAGTTTAGTTATACATTATACCTCAAAAGAAAACAAAGAGATGTAGCCAGAGAGAGAGAGTACAGGGGTTAGGATTGATCCTGTCATCACCTCATATGGTCCCCCAAGACACTCGGAAGTGATTCCCGAGCACAGCCAGAGTTAAGTCCTAAGCACCACTGAGTGTACCCGAAGAGAGAAAACCCACTCTGGAGGCTGAGCGACAATACACAAAGGTGCTTGTCTTGCAATAACCAATCTGGATTCAAATTTATGTATCCCATATGTATACCATCCCATATGATCCCCTGAGCACCACCAGAGAGCCAGGAGTAAGCCCTCAGCACAGCCGAGTGTGCCCCCTCCCCCAAACAATAATAAAAATGAAAAGGACCAGAAAGATGGTACAGAGGTAATAACTTATCCAGGCTCAAATCCCTGCACTATATGTGATTCTTAAGCACAGCCAGGGATTACTCGTGAGCACAGAGCAAGGGTTAGCCCTGATATTGAAAGGTGTGGCTCAAAAACCAAAAATAAAAATGATTTGGAGAACTAAATGGGTTGAGTGCATGTCTTATATGCAGAAGGCCTGGGTTCCATCCCCCGCACTGCATGGTCCCCCAAACTCGGGAACATCGAGCTAAAAACAGACTGTAAGCATGGCCTGGCGTGGCCCCAAAAGAAAATGACTGGAAATGAATGCCCAGAGGAATACTGCAGGAACTTAAAGTACCTGCTTTGCATACAGTTCAAATCCCCAGTGACCCATCGGAACTGACCACTGGTAAAAGATGGACAGCCACTCACTAAAGACAAGCTTCAGACATGGACATATGTGGGTTCTGCATGTATGAGGGCTGAGAGCATATCAATAAGGTGCTTGCCTTGCACACAGCAGACCTGGGTTGGTCCCTGGCATCCCCGGAACACCAGCGGAAGTGAGTGATCCCTGAGCACGGAGCCAGGAGTAAACCCTGAACATCTCTGGGTGTGGCCCCCCAAAACCCCATAAATGTCCCCCAAACTTTTGCAGGCGGTATGACTTCAGCAAGCTACTCAATCTCTGGATTCAGTGTCCCTCGGAAACAGGCGAGGAAGGCCTGCTTCATGTGGTGCCAGTGCAGGCGGGAATGTGGCTGTTGGCACCTTACGGCACACTCAGAGGAAGCTGCAGAGTCAGTGACTTGCTCCAGTGGAGC